TATTCAACCACCAGCTCAGTGTCTGGCACGCAAACATTTAGGCCAGTTTCAGCTTGATTGAGTAATAAACAGAGAAAGTCAATCTCCAACCATATTGTCCAGGTACGTTAGTGTGACTATAAGACGTTCGATTTCAGTGTGGTTCCAGTCAGACAAACGTGTTTACATGCATTTCAGTCAGAGTAAGATAATAAATCACTTTTTTTGAGTGCATGTAAACGTATGTGGAAATCATTAAGCCTAATTTGAGCCTGGCTTGTGCCTCTGCATCAGGGCCTATGCCGTAGCCTACACTGTGGATCCACATAGCCCTGTACCCTACACAGAAACATTCATGCTGTGTCTGTGCCCTCCTTTGTCCCCCCCTCTAAACTTTTATGCAATAATTAAAGCATGATCAACTGCTGCACCATATTTATCAGATTCAACTCAAATTAAGTACACTCGGATTACGTGCATGGTTTTCTGTGCAAAAACAAGATATGATGTAGGCCCAATGCAGAAGCATAAATCAGACTGAAGCCTATGACCCTACAGCAGCCTAAACCAGTCACAGTCTGATACTGTAGCAGTCAAAGTCTACAGAAGTAGAACCAACAGCTGGTTCAGAACTGAGCCAACCACACGGACCGTTGAAAAACAAAGTGAGATTGTGAAGCTTGGAGAGAGAATGAACTGACTGCCCTCTCAGAGTGTCAGGACTTTTATTATAAAGCACTTAAATACCTAAACTCTACCTCAAATACTGTCAATCTGCCAGTCTCTTTGTACATGTGTGATAAAAACACTGTGTAAACACTGTGACTCTGACTAACTACTCTGTGTGTTTGTGCAGCGCTGATTTATTCTGTTATTTATTCATTTTAGAGGTCAGGGCAGCTTCTTATCCACTTCCTGTCAGGGTGATCAACAGCCTGCAGCAAAGCCGCTTTAGACACACACACACACACATACAAACACACAAACACACACACACACACACACACACACACACACACACACACACACACACACACACACACACACACACACGGTAGACAAACACACACACACACACAAACATACAGCCATCTGAAAACTACTATGTGTTTGGTAAACTAATCAGAATAATCTTTTTTTTTTCGCTGTCATCACTGATAATGTACTAAACTAGTTTATCAGTCGTAAAAGACGGTGAGTGAGCCTAAAGTGTTATATTAGAAATATCTGCGGTATGGTGGTTAATAACATAGATAGACCTGGATATAAACACAGGATGTGACTGACACATGATTACATGTGATTCTGATTTCAGTTCATTTCTGTAACATGAGTGTCAATGCTTCTCTGCCCCCTGCTGTTGTATCTATAAACTATCTATTGTCTGTGTGTGTGTGTGCGTGAAAACCACAGTCTGTATGAGCTGGTCTGTCATTGTTTGATCAGGTGACCTAACTGGACTGCAGTCTGTCATTTTGTTTACTACCCAGCTTCCCAGTACTGCATCCATGCAATTCAAATTCCAGCTGAAAGCCTGGCATTCTGCACTGGAACATGTGCAGAATGCTCAGTCCAGTTTCACAGTACCCACAGATAAGTGAAAAGCAATCTCACTACCTTTTGCTTAGTTTTTATCCTGTAACATGCTGCTCTTTAGTGTTCAAAATGGTGAAATATTTCTCAAGAGTTGCCAAAAAGCAGCTCTATGCTGCTGTGTGATGAGCTTGTCACACCAGACTATAGAGCAAAGCTGCTCTGTGTATATCTTAATAATGGAACTGCTGTTAGAAGAGGATCAAAACACTCATTGTTCTTCTCTGAGAGGGCAAATGGAGGGAGTAGTGGGGTGATATAAAGTGATTTGGACACAAGATGATGCACTGACAAACACCGCTCTTAAAGTGAAGTTTGATATTAGTGTAACAAAAACATGGTGCCTTTTTTTTTCTTACAGCAAACCTATTCATGCCCAGAAAACAGACATAGATGGAGCAAACTGACTACCTTTGTCACACTACAGTAGCAGATTTCAACCAAGTAGCAAAACTAGGCAGAACACCAATAAGTTTAATGCCAAATAGGTCACCCCACTTCACTTCTAGATACCCAGTGAGAACTCGGTTTCTGTTCCTACATACAGCTTCCATTGGTCATTACTGAACATTTTCAGGAGCTTTGTGCAGGTCTGAAATGGGCTCATGAGGACTGACTCATGTTCAGACACAGCCTCTAGTGGAGTCACCAGGAACTGCAGTTAAATGCACTTCTTCACACAAAGCACAACCCGTCCTTTAGTGAAGGATCGAAGGAGTACTAACTGAAGACAGTTGTGATACTCTGTAATATTAGTGAGAGCTTTGAGTGTGTGTGTGCTGCTGCAGCTGTGTGTGAGTATGTTTAATGATTGATGGAGTGTTTTCTGTGTTTGCATTTTAATAAGATAAAACTTTTCCATTAAAGAGAAAAACCATCATCACTGCTGACAGACACCGCGCAAAGATATTAAACACAAAGAGATGTTTAACAGAAAGAGATATTCAACACAGCAATTATGGAGAGGAGGAAAGACAGAGCCTGTATCTCCCCTCTCCTCCTCCTCCCCTGTCTGGAGGTTAACCTTCGTCTCCTTGTCGTTGGTCTGCTCTTTTGTCCCTCCATAATGAATGTGTTTTTTCTCTCTCTCTCTGTGAAACCAGCAGAGATAAAACCTCTTTCTTCTCTCACAGTAGAAAGCCACCGCCACACTCAGTCAAACAGACACTCTGCTGAAAATTCAGAGATCTAAATTTAGTGAAATGTTGTCCTGGATGTTACATTTCAGCAGAATGAGCCGACAGAATATTTTTGGTACCGGTCTGATGTGAGTGTGAGTTTCTGTCAGAAAGGTTCCTGCAGCAGAAAATAATCAGAGTGAATTATTCTGTGGAGAACAAATGTGAATAAAAATGGTGTTTCTGCCCACAGGCTGTGGCGAGCAGAAGATATTTGCATAATGGACGTGAGTGTGGTTATAAAGTCTGATTAGTTTCTGCTCTGATTCTGAGTTATGAGCACAGATAGTGTCAGAGCCAACACATCAGTGAGACACAGAAATGTTCATGTGAAAATGCAGCAGCTGATACATATGAATATTCAGTATAGATTTATGATTCTGTATGAATAATCAGAGCGTACATAGTGTTCCTGTTTCTCTGAGTGACTTTAATTTAAATTTTCAGGCAGAGTCTCAGCCAAACAGACAAAGATGTGCCAAGATTCAGAAACTGGAGGTTCATGTTGGTGCTCGCTTTGACATGAAATCAAAAACACTCTCACAGAGCAGTCAATAATGTGTCAGTGTTTGATTTATTATTCATTATTTTAATAGTTTATAGTTCATCCTTTGAGCAGCTGCAGCTTTGTGATCCCTTTGTTTTCATTTTTACCCTCAATAACACATTCAAACTCACACACTAACACACACTGTATGTGAAAGTTAAAATGCAGATTACAGCTACACAAACAGGACAAGAGTGTATTTTTTATTTTTTTTTTACTCACAGGGGGTATACCTAATCAAATATAGCTGAGAGAGAATTAAAGTCAGTTATTTAACACCGAGCACTCTCTGCTGGACTAAAGTGGAACTGTCATTATATTTGAACTGCACAGAAAATAAACCAGGTAGGATTTCCCTGAAGTAAATTTAAAGGTTCATGACAGAAACAGTCAACAGCCACTGTCAAATGTATTATTTTCTCAAGCCTAAAGAGCAGGCTAAAATTTTAAGAAGGAGGATAAGCAAACATAAACTTTTAGACTGATCAGAGACTGTTAATCATTTCATGCATCATTGTTATTCTCTTTATTTTGACTGTTATTGTAAAACACCTTGCTCACATCCTCTCAGGGTCATTTAAACCACTGCAATGAAGATCTCAGACAGGAAGACAACAAGATAACTCAAAAGAACTGATGTATGACCAATAAAAGATTACATGTGGTAATTTTATTAAATTCATACTTATTTAACCCATCCAAAAACGTTTCAGTTACCAGAGCCTGTGTTGACTGATAAAGAGTATCAGGTTCGGAATCAGTGGGAGCATCTAACAGATTATATAATCTTAAAAATGGTGGCACATTCTCTGTGCTGAAGCATTACGCAGAACTTACACTGGCTCCTCACTAGGATCAGTTTAAAGTAAACTGGATGCTCCTGGGTCCTAGCTGGGATTACCAAAATGGTTTGGAAAAAAAAAATCCAGAATGAAAGAACTTTAACTCTCAATGGATCCTGATAATTCAAAGAAATCTGGGTCCGCACTGAGATCATTACATCTCATACTGGATTAAGACTTTAATCATATAGAAAGTTTGAGATCATAAAAGTCCAAATTGGCTTTCAGTGGTAACATCTAAACTCAAGCAAGATAATGTGATCTTTCAAAATCAAACTGGACCCAGACTGGTGCCATTAATACTGGATCCTGCTCAGAACCATTTCAACTCCAACTTTAACATTACAAGAACTATTTAAAATTCAAAGTGGATCCTGATTGAAATTACTGACATCTAAACAGCCCCCTTACAGGATTCTTTAGCCCAGGCAGGATCCTGACAAGGATCCCACAACTACCTCCAGTTGTTCTTTGTTTATGATGCCATAATAAGTTTTATAATTGTAGTTTTAGACTGGTAGACTGCTACAGTGTTCATTAGCTTATTCCTTGTTTTTGCCTTTAAAGGCTCTTGATGAGCAGGCATGATATTTTAACTGGGACTAACAATGCTGTAATATGTGATGTTGTTTCACCTGCCTTGTACTTGTCCTTTGCATCTTTGTCTATATATATTCTTTCCATTTCTGTCGTTTTTCTTTCAGTCTTGGTCATGAGAAAAAGACAGGAAGAGACCGGAATGGGTGCTTGACAGGAGGTTTTTGTAATATCTGCTATAGAGACTTTTAATTTGAAAGTACCGACCGGCACTCGTAGTGACGTCATCTTACCGCGTTGCTAGGTAACCTAATGAAATAATTTGTGGATCCTGGTTAATGAGCCTTTCTGAGGTCGAGGAAGACATGAGGTGAGTTTCAGTTTTGATTAAATGTTTTCTTTTTAGTTCCCAGATTAAATCCGTCAGACTGTAAAAAAAAACTTGACCTTTTAATATAATTCAAATAAAACAACAAATGTTTGATTTTTGAAGCTCATGATGAATAACTGTAGCCTGAAGAAGTTGTTGTGTGTTGTGCTCACTTCCTCACAGATTAGATTCTTAATCCAGATTTGTCAGACTCCTAAAAGTTTGTCCTTCATTAAACTGTATAACCAGGTTTTTAAGAGACATTAGAGAATTTTATTTTGTTTTTATCCTGTTTGTCTTTCCTTGTGTTAAATGTGTTTTAACAGGTTCAGCCTAAATACAGAAAACTAAACAAGAAAGGTTGTTTCGATAAGAACAGAGTCACTGCTAATGGCACATAAAAACAAGGAACAGAAACAAAACACCTTTAATCCAGTGGGTGATTACTGTATCTACATTCATGGATCTCTAAATTATACTGCAATGTGATTCTCTGCAAAGTCATAACCATGGGTTATATTCATTCAGTAGTCTCATGTTTGTGAGGAATATTTTTATCAGTGAGTTATCTGATTCACTATATTTTATTCAAATGTCAAAATGAAAATAATCAGAAGATTAAAATGCAGCAAAACAAACAGCTGTAGATTATAATGCATGTTTGTTCAGCAGGATTCAAATAATATGTATTTAACTTACTCAACATTTACTTATATCATATCTTGTGTAAACCTGTCCTGCATCGCAGTGTCATCACCTAGTAGTTTCCCAAGAGGCCTCGTGAATCCTAAAGATGTCATTTAACAGTGGAGGAGCTAGATGTTTTTTGCCAACCCCAATTCTAGTGGCTGTCTCCAATAATCACATCTGCTTTAATCTCTAACATGAGAGGGATAAAAAAAATGTGACATAACTGTATGATTTCTAACTATGAAGGTAACTTAACAGAGTGGCAACATGAAAATCTGCAAAATGTTATTCTATTGTAAGTTCAAAAAGAAAATATTCGCAAAAAAATCACATTTAAAGTACCAAGTCCCACAACGGAATGCAGAGAAGTTGTACTGGCTGACTTTTGAAAGTGAGCATAGTGTAAATTCAGGAAGGCTTCATTGACCACACCCTCTTCTGGGTAAAAGTCAGAATTTTCTGGTCTTTGTCAACTTTATTAGCCTTGAACAAGAAAACTGTATCTCTTAATGGTTATGAAGAGCCCAACTCTGATTGCTTGTAAGGCAAATATATAAACCACTTACTCGTAACATTTGAAAAAATGTTCTGTTTTTTATAAAGATACTCAGTTCTCTGAGGGGGATGGATGGTGGTCCTGTAAGGAATCAGATAGTTGCCTCCAGCCTTGTCAGAGCCTTTGTCAGCCGGCTCTGACAAAGCAAGTAACCAGTGATGGTTCAAAATTTCAGAGACCAATTATGATTATGTCTGCTGTAAAGTTCACCATTTACTATTGAGATCTATGAGGACTGACCCATCTTAGGAGACATCATCTGGTGGACACTCAAGGAACTGCAGTTTTTTTGGACCACAACATTTTTATTCTTTATCATAAGAGGTAAATGCTAAACCTGTATGCGCCTCTAATCATCAGCTCCAGCTTACAGGAGGAGGTGCAGCAGCAGGAGGAGGAGGCTTCCCAGGAGAGCCAGCAGGAAGCGCTGGATAGGGGGGAGCCCGGCAAGGAAGAGCTGCAGCAGGAGGAGGAGGTCCAGCAGGAGGCTCCGTATCAGGTGGAGCACACAGAAGAAGAGATCCAGCGGATGGAAGAGGAGCTTCATGAGGAGGTCCAAACAGAGGAATTCCAGCAGGTTGAGACACACAAGGAGGTGCAGAAAGAGGAGGAGGTCCACAGAGAAGGGGGCCACAGTGACGAAGTCCAGCAGGCAGCAGCCAGTGTCATTCAGCAGGCTTGGAGGAGACATGTGGGAACTGCTGCTGGGGACACACACACTGACACACCCTCTGACACACCATCTGATACACAATCTAATACACCCTCTGATACACAATCTGATACACACTCTGATACTCACATTGATGCACCCTCTGATACACACTCTGATACTCACACTGGTACACACTCTGATACTTACACTGATGCACCCTCTGATACACACTCTGATACATACTCTGAGACTCACACTGAGTAAAACCCTGTCTTCTTTACTTCTCCTCCTCTGTTAGAAGTAAAATTAAGAAGTCAGAGGTTGAACAGTCTTCTGGGGTAGAAAACACTCTGAAATTGAGTTTATGTGTTGTTGGTATGCTAATGTTTTAACTCCATTCATGTTAGCGTGTAGCATGAGGGGTAATAATGTCAAACTCAGATTGAAGATTAACCTCCTGTTATCTTAACAAGTAGCTTGAATTCAGCCTCATAGAGGATCACATTAGCTGATCAAGTTCATTATTATTATTATTATTATTGTTATTATAATTATTGTAGGAACCAATATTGTGCAGAGAGCTCTACAAAAGAAAAATGATTGTTTGCCAAATGAAGTGAAATAAAATAAGGTAATAAAGAAATTACTCTCAGTGTGGTTGTGGTTGTTCATCTTTGGTATTTGGAAAACATTTTGCAGTTATGGTACATGCTGGCTTTCACTGCCACAAATATTAAGATCAATCTACACTCATTGTAGACTGTCACTGGTCTGCTTTCACTCTTAGTTTTGTTCTGTGCCTCAGTATTCTTGTAGGCACTTTATAATGGCATGGTTGGTTTGCAAATCCATCATGAACAACAACGAAAAACAACTCTAGAGATCACCTGGATGACACGCCTGTTCTGTGGATGAAGTCTATTCTGTTGATATGGATGTATCCCTTATTTGAAGACCCCAACCACATGGACTGTGCTGAAGTATATTCGAATCATGCTTGGGACCACCTCCTCAAAGCAAACCTGGATCTTATATAATTGTATTTACACTGATCAAATGAACTGGCCTTTTGGGTCAAGTGAACTCAGATCTGGCCCTCATCATCCTTATCTACTCTTTGTGTTGGGGTTTTGTAAATAGTAACTCAACAGGGGTTAAAAAACGACTTAGTGGTTTCCTAAATAGTAAAATAATTACTTAATGTTTAATTTGAGTGCAGGTTATTGACTCAGTACAGTGGCTTTTGTTTGTGTTGGGGGTGAATACTAATAGTTTCAAATGTTACCGTACTTAAAATGAGACTGGGATAATGTACCGACGGTAACAAAAATGGTTATAATAGCTTGGATGCACCACTAGGGGAAAAAATGAGGGGGCACCCGGATTTGAACCGGGGACCTCTTGATCTGCAGTCAAATGCTCTACCACTGAGCTATACCCCCGATGTCTATACAGAGTTGTATCATCTCGTTTTATCTTCACCATTTAGGTTGTTGCTTCGTGTCATATTGTAAAATGTTATGTTATAATTAAGTTCTAAAAAGGCCGTTATAAAATAGGTCACCACCATTCTTTCGAAAGTCAGATTACTTCATCGACTTCTTTTTCTTTTATGGATTTATCTACAGAGGCATGAGCTGGTGTTCCGTCGAGTTTGCTTCTTGGTGGAAAATAGCTGCCATGGCGCGTATCGATTTTCGACACTTATAATGCTGCACAGATAACCAATAGGAGCCTTTTTCGAATTTCTGTAACTAAATTTTGGCGTTATACTACAAGAGAGGATTGTTAAATACATCAAAGTCCATGGAAAAGGCAGAGGAAGTAAGCGCCCAGGGTTGAGGGTTGTGTCTCTGAGCCTGCGCAGTTTCAGGGAAAGTCCCTGAGCGGCACATGTCGATAGGTAGCACTTTTCGATAGAACACCGGACTTGACGTCAAGAAAACGCGGCTAACCGGATGTTGAACAGAGTGTAACAGAAAGTGGAAGACTCGGGATCAAGATGGTAAGGTTTATGATTGATTTTTAAATTACTATGTACTCTTTCTTTATCATATTTATATACCAAGCTCCGTTCAGGTGGTTATATTATCATCTATCCCACACTGGCCCCTCTGTTAATGTCTAAATGTGCGTTTTCATCCGTTCAACCGGAGAATTTGATTAGTCACTGAAGCTAATGCTAGTTAGCATGCAGCTTTGAATGGTTAGCTATTATTTATTATTGTGTGTTTTATGTAAAGAAGTAAGAAAAGGTAAACGAATCGAATCATGAAATCCAAATACAGAGCTTCGTTTCACGTCTTCTCACGTTTACACAGTTATATCATTAGTTGTTCATTTCTGTCAGTTCTATTAATGTGTAGTTTTACTATTGTAATAGTCAGTGTTTAACAAGTTAATTTCCCTCAACAGAACAGCAGAGGTTTGCGCTCACAGCTGAAGGACAGTGTACCTGTGGCAGGATTGTGTCCTCAGGGAGCTTACGGCCTGCAGGACTCTTTAAGATCGGGGTGAGATGCTGTATATTCATGTCATCCATATTGAAATACTCCTGATGATATACATGCACAAGTTACAAACAGGACTTTTTAAGAGCAGGGTGAGACACCATACAGTCATACCATTAATGTTTAATGTATTATATACCGGTATGTTATGTCATAAATATGTTAAATTATAAATAAAAATGTTATAACAGGACTCTGAGAACAGATTGAGACCGGAAACATTCATATGATACATACTTAATAAACATAAAGGTTATAGAAATGCTGGATGATGCATGTAGACTGCAATAATGGACTCAGAGATGCCATATTTAAACATGATCTATGTTTATGTACCATACCTGACAATGTTAAATATAAGGGTACAGTATGATACTAGAACCTCATAAAAGCAGGGTGAGGTTATCAGCACAGTCTAATTACTCTGTTTATGTAGAACTGTAACCTCCTCTTAACATAGTTGTTGACACACTTATCTCAGATTTTTGTGGCATTTTAATCTAAGCTATTGAATCTTCACAAAGATAGTTTTTACATGATGCTGGTGTTTTTCTATAATTATTTTTTCAGATTAAATTTGTAGTATTCTTGGGGCGTGTTCACACCACCCTCGTTTAGCCCAGTTGAACTGAACCCTGGAGTGTTTACCCCCTTGGTGCGGTTTGTTTGGGTCGGTGAAACGCTGACCTCGTACTCTGGTGCGGACCAAATATACAAACTCTGGTTCATTTCTGGTGTGAACGTCATCCACACCAATCACAGGAAACGCACCACACACGGGTTATTTTATAATGCTGGTTGTGAAATAAATGTTGTCCGCTCACCTCAATTGTCCCGATTGACACCAGAGAGAAAACGCATCGTGGTAGTCTGTCGCCGTCTTGTCTTTATCCGTCTGTTGTTTGCAGCACGTCTACTTCAGAATTTATTAATTAATGCCGCAGTTCGAGCTCGCTGGCTAACAAGGTGTTTATACGCGCAATCGACTAGCGTCTTGTGATACGCGCTCCAAATGAGTAGCAAAAGCAAAATCAGCCTACGATGCTCCATGACAGGCGAAGACAGCAAAGCGGGGTTTGTATTTCCCCAAAACTAATGACTAGGCCTGAACGATATATCGTTTGACTATCGTCATCGCGATGTACGTGTGTGCGATAGTCACATCGCAGAGCCTGCGATATTGGAGGTGAATGAACTCATTTAATTTCAAGGGTAACCGACTGAGATACACTCCATGTGACTCTGCATGTGCTGTGCAGCGATCCACCAATCGCCTTCGTCCTTAACTCAGTTGCCAATCAGACTCACTTCTCAGTTCCCAATCAGACTACCCTGCCAGCTGTCAATCAAAATCAGGGAGGAGAAAACCCACCCCTGCACATGTTCTGCACATAGAGGGAGACGTGTGTCCGCTGAGAATTACTTTCGGAACTTTACTCATGACTATTAAGCCCAACAAATAAGAACTGTATGGGTTTTAAATTGTACATTTCCGTGGACCACTCTACTATAAGCAGTGCGCGTTTTGCGAGGTGCATGCAATTCTCGGAGGACATGCGTTTCTCGGCACAACACCGCTAACAACAACAACGATCGCAAAATGAACAACGAACAAGCGAAAACCACCGAAAATGAAGATTTGTTGCCAAAAAGAAAAGGAAAGTCAGTTATCTGGAATTATTTCGGTTAAAAGAAGGATGATGTCGACCAAAACACGTCTTCTGTGTTCATCTGTTGCCACAATAACGTCCCAGCACAATAAAAGCTAAAAATATCTCTGAGACAGACAGAAGCCGTTCTACTAACATTCACAAAAAGAGGTAAGATCAGAGCAGATTAACTGTCCTCAAGATTTCAGCAGTGCAGCATAACATTAAGTGCTATTCAGGTCATCTGGTGAAAATACTGTATTTTTAATATCGCAATATATATCGCAGGGTTGAAAAAAATCGCAATATTATTTTTTTCCAATATCGTGCAGCCTTACTAATGACCAATAACCGAACGATATTCGCGGTCACGCGACCTCTGGTTCCGTTTTCTGGAGTGATTGAGTTTGTCCTTTGTGAACGCAAACCGGACCAGTTAAACAATCAAAACGAATGTATCGTCTTGCCTTGGATTCGAATCAGGAAATGGACCTTAAAGTGTGAACACGACCTTAGACATTCTGTCCGCCTTTGATCATTATCATGGTCTGTTTGTACATAACACAGATGCTCTTTCCTTGTTGTCCTGATCTTAATCAATATTAATAACTTGGACATGGTGTCTATGTTTGTTAACTCAGTGGAGGCTGTAGGACAGAGAGTTGTCACACGTCCACCAGAATAAGTGAAACAATCTGAGACTGACTGACCGTAAAATACTTTGCTCATTATACAGCAGGGTTTAATATCTGTTCAATTCACTCTTGTGCAAGAAGCCAGTGTATTTAAATTTGATTAATTACTGTCTAATTGTTTGTTTTCTGTAGTTTCAGCAGTGTTAAGAATGAACTCCTCCCAAGTCACCCTCTGGAGCTGTCTGAGAAAAATGTGAGTAAAGTCAGCTAAGAGGGATCACGAATGAACCTGTGCAACCTGAACCTAACACTTCAACTTTTGTGATATCCGGATTTTTTACCTCGGTTGGATGATTTAGTTTCGATTCTTCTGCCAGTGTAATTCTAATGTGCTGTCCCTGCTGAAGCAATATAGAGGAGTTAGTCTTGCTACAAGCCAGTATACAAAAAATTCTGTCCAAGGCTGCTTTGGCTTTAGCAATCTTATTCAACATCATCTTTTTGTGGGGTGGGGGGGTCAGGGCTCAGCCTGTAATATTACCCTTGGGGAGGCAGGCTGGACAGAGACAGTTCACTGCTGTCTCAGCTGTATCTTCATATTTGATGAGTTTGATCATTGCTATGAAACATTTAACTGAATTTGCTTAGCAACATATGTCCAAACTAGAGCCAGTGGTTTTGATACAGCGCTGTTAGCAGTTATAGGGGCAAAAAAAAGTCAAACATGAAGTATTGAACCATCATCCAACTAGCTTCCTGTCTTTGTTATCAATAATAAAGATAAGATATTGAAACAGGAAGGTAGAGAGGATAATGGTAAGCTTGGTGCAGATAAGGGACAGAATGAACACTGCGCCCCTCAATTAACTCGACGTGTTACAGGAATGTATTGCTCCTACCTTAGGTGAAGGATTAGACGCAAAGTGAGGAAAATACATTGAATTTTAGATTCCCATTGGTCCACCTAAATTATCCCACACATCATCATCCGGTTGACAGAAAAGCTGTGAGAACGCATGTGCCCTCTGTGCACACTCTCACACACAGTATCATTTTGCCTCCTGCTGAGTCTTACACTTTATCATCACCTTTAATGTGGTCACATGATAGAGTGTGAATCATCCCCTCAGTACATTACATTACTGACCACACTTATACTCACCTTTTATATACGTGTGTGTGTGTGTGTGTGTGTGTGTGTGTGTGTGTGTGTGTGTGTGTGTGTGTGTGTGTGTGTGTGTGTGTGTGTGTGTGTGTGCGTGCGTGTGTTTAGTTCCAGCTGAACCAGGATAAGATGAACATGTCAACTCTCCGGAACATTCAGGGTCTCCACGCTCCACTTAAACTGCAGATGGAGTACAGAGCAGCCCGACAGGTAAGCACACACCTGTCTCAGCTAAGCTTATCACCTGTCACACCTCCATTATCTCACCTGTTCTTATGTTCCCTCTCCTCATGCCCCACCCCCTCAGATCCAGAGGCTGCCCTTCTTACAGAGCTCTAACCTTGCTCTGGACACACTTAAAGGAAGTGATGATGTTATCGGTTTTGAGGACATCTTAAATGGTGAGAAACTCCGCCCCCTCATCATGACTGTTATTATTAAACATTGTGAATGTGTGGCCCCTGACCACCCCCTCTGTTTCTGCTTCCCCCCACAGACCCAGCTCAGAGCGAGGTGATGGGAGAGCCTCACATGATGGTGGAGTACAAACTGGGCCTGCTGTGAAACCAGAGCACTCACACACAATGCTTCACATTAACCTTATATCTGTTATAATTTGTTAAATAAAAGACCAAAACATTTAGGTTTGTAGAGTTCAGTCTGTGATCTGTTGGGTGGGGCCGCTTCTTCTCAGTGTCTGTATGTTCAGTCTGTGTGTGTTTTTAAGAGTGTTACAGATATGAGAGGTTTCAGATGAAGGTCTGGTGCTTCTCATCATGCTTAGTTTAAAGCTCTATACCCTTCCTTGTCGGGTTACCTTTTCTGGTAAAGGGGATTATATCAGAGATAATTCATGGGGCTTAAAGTTCTCTGGCAGGGCGCTGGATTTCTGGCGTGGCGCTTCTTCATTCCAGCATAAGCCGTTTTAGACATAGACTTAACATACGCATTTATTGTACTAATATTGCAAAGATTTTCCCGCCTCTCTGTATAGAGGTATACTTTGATACACTGGTCTTGTACAATGTTCTGCCCATAGTGTTATCTGATTGGGTACACATCACAAGAAATGAGCCAGTCAAAAGTGGAAGCTGTGTGTTGCTGCAGGTTTTGCATCCCTGAGGCACTGGGCAGTGATACTGCCACTGAAGTTTGACTATAAACCCACAATCTTTTGTGAAATGTACTTTTTGTCTATAATGCTAAATAATTGATCAAAAAAATAATGAACTTTCACTATTGCATTCAGTAGTTACAAGCCTCAGCTTTAGCTGACGCTATTGTGGCTAATTGGCCAATTATCCTGATCACTTGGAAACAAAACACAGTCTCGTATTAACTTGCATGCTCCGTGAGCTAAAGTAAGATCCAGTTGCACTGGCACAAATGTTACTCTTATATATAGCGCTGTTATCACTACTTAGGTTAATGTTATGGCTCATCTCATAGTTCATCCATATAGGACTGCACACAACAGATGGTGTACTGTTATAATAGTTGAATAGTCAGTGGCTGTTTTACACATTCAGCTATAGGTATCATTAAGTGGAAATGCTGATTAAGCAGTTCCACTTATTGTTATTCTCCTGTTTCTTTAATTAAGTGGAAATGCTGATTAAGCATTTCCACTTATTGTTATTCTCCTGTTTCTTTAATCTTATTATTCTTCTGCCGTTTTTTGCCGCTTTTCAACTCCTTCAAACTTTGTGCTATTTCAACTGTTCAAACTTTAAACTGTTCCACTCCTTCAGGACATGTGTGCTTGTATTTTTTGCTTTTCTACCATTTATACTTTTTGACGATTTGAAAAGCTAGAGTGCAGACCTCGTCTTTGATCGACAGAACCTCGCTCGAATATATCGCTCCCACGTCCACAAATTTCACTCCACAGCCATAAAAAATACATCAAAATGGAGGTATATGTCTCCTGCTTCTCACAAAAGAGGTTTCAAATCATTAAATCCTACCCCTTGGCCAGCAGGTGACCAACTGTCCAAATAGGCAGAAATCTCTCCCCATTGGCCCTAATGTATTTTTTCTCCTAGAAAATCCTTATCGCCACTCAGGCTCAGACTTTTTTAACTCGCTGTTGTGGCCACATTTTTCGGAGTACAGACATGAAAAACACATCATTGTGTTCATGAAGGACGGCGGATTCGTACGATGTTCTTATTTTCATTCTGGGACTTAAGGAAATCACGCTATGTGAAGAAGTTCACAGGCCTTAAATTCACTGCAGTTCAGCACCTCTCAGTCAAACAGTAGGTCAGTGATTTGCCTTCGATCTCACAGCTGTTTAGGATGCAATCATTAACGAGACACACACACACACACACACTGGAGTGACCTTGATTAACATGAAGTTATCTTTTTATTCTTTTGTTACATGTGCATGAACATAGGTCCTGGACAGAGCCTTTAAGTCCAACATCACCAGTTTTAGTTTTAATGTATATCTGGACCATTTCTTTGCCGCTTCGATTGCTACAAAACCTGCTGGTTTCAAGGGAAAACTGGTCTTACACCTGGGGCTTTGCCCATGCATCATGCAGGGTCTGCTATGCAGAACTGCTGGGGCCTTATCCATACCTATGTTTTTCAACACATGCAGCCATCTCTACTATACTGCTCGACTGGGTTATAGCACTTCAACGTCTGTACTTTGTTGAAAGTGTTAAATCTCTGACTTTGCAGCAAGTACATGCACGCTTTTGTCCAGCCGTGCTTTAGGTATGCTGCTGCTGTTAGTTCAGTAGGTGCCTTATTCCAGTTGTTATACATTAAGTTAGTATGCAAGTATGAAAATGTTGCAGGAATAAGACACTGATGTTACTGCACTGCTTGCCAGAGCCAGAGATGTACTGAATGTCTGTCCTGTGAAGTGAGTGAAGGATTTTTTTTTATACTGTGTATGAATTAATATGTTGAAGCTGTCAGGCTTACTTAAACATGAACAAAAAAGTTTTACAAATATCCCCAAAATAGCTCAATAACAGTTTTTACAAAACTGAAGATCCTGAGTTAGCTCTAAAATTCAAAAACCTGGAAGTTGCGATAAAGTTTTGAGTTTTCTCAGCTTTTTCATTTTTAGAAATAATTTTCTTTTTTTCTTTATCTCAGACATGTAATCTTTTTGTTCCGTAACACCAGCTGATATGACATGTCACACCTACCACCAAATGACACTTATGAGGAAGGCGTAATTTTCTGCCGAAACATGTCAAGGTATGTGAAAAAGATTAGCTGTCTATAAAGAAAAAAAAGAAAACTATTTCCAAGAAACTGAAGACATAATGAACATCATTCAACTATTTTTCATTCAAGTGTCAAATTCGTGACTATACGTAATTTTAAAAATCCTCAGAAATACCTGCGATTCCTTCTGTAGATCACCGTGATCATTGCATGTGGTTGACAGCTCTTAGCAATAAGCTGCATTAGTTCCTGATTAAGAGATTTCTGCACATTAAAGTCCCACCCTCATCAGACAGGAAAAACAATCCATGACTCCCTCTCCACAGCACTGCATTGTGTGGTACAGCCCTCTCATCTTTTTGGTTTTCTAGAAAACAACAGAAAAGCGCCTTAAAGCAGCTTTGTGCAGGGATGTGTTTCTGATGGAGTAAATAACCTGGATGTGACTTTTACCAGCATCAGAAAAAAGCATCAGACATCTGTTCAGACAACCTTCAGAGGTTGATATTAAACTCGAATAAATCTTTTTTTTTGGGATTGGATGAAGATCTCGTGAAGTTATTGAATTGATTTGGTGTTAATTTTCTTCTTTCTGTACCCATCCTGTTAGAGTTTAGTGCAATATTTAACCGAACAGACTATCCCACCCTGTGGCAAAGACTATAACCAGTAACGTTACCATACCTTGCAGTCACACTCTGAGCTGGTGGTTAAATAACATGAATGTGTTGCCAGCAAGGTTGGAAATTAACAAAACGTTGACAAAGAAAGACAGAACAAGACAAAACTTTCATATTGTTTAAACAACCAGTATAGAGCTGCAAAAATGACTAATGTTTTCAGAGTGAGATGCACATTCAGAGGCAATCTATGACTTAATATCCTTCCTTCCAAATCTGTTCCGTTAAATGCTTTAAATTATCACACACTGTACCTTTAAAGTCATGGGACTCCTCTGACAGCAGCAGAGTTCATCAAACAGAGAATTTTCTGGTCTGAAGCTAGATTGTTGGTATGTTGACAATGCAATACTAAAAGGATTTGAGTTTCTTCTCATATAGGTCACACAAATGAAAACTTTTGATCGAATTCTAACAGAACAGATAAAATTTTCTTGATTGGTAAGCAATAAGACGATATTTAAGGAGAAATGTAGTGGCTGCTGGTCATTGCTCGTGTCCTCCAGGTGGAGGCGCTGCAGGCCAAACTCACACAGCTGCTCTGTACATGTTAAGATCTTATATACAGTCTATGGTTAAGATAGAGACATGAAGCTGCGGAGTCAGTGCTGAAGCTGTTTGAACACTGAAAACTCTGTTGTTGATCCTGTGTGTGTTTGTTAGTCTGTGTTCAGAGTGTAAAAAGTCGGAGTCTCGCTGTATCACTCAGGCTGTACTACAGCGTCTATTCACGGGCGCGAACCCACTACTGAGCGGCACGAGAGCTTTGACCTGCTCCGTTTCCGACCTGGGCCGGTTCACCCCTCCTTAGACGACCTGCTGGTCCCGGGCTCCCCTAGGATCAGCATATCGATACCGAACTTAGTGCGGACACCCGATCGACATAGTCCACTGCAGCTCAGAGCTCCTGAACTCAAACGATCCTCCAGACTCAGCCTCCCGGGGACTTGGATTACAGGCACGCGCCACCGCACCCGGCGACAGACACAAATCCTGATTCAGAGAGGTTTACGCACGAGACGTCACCGTGGAGAAACAGCTGAACCCGGAAGACAACAGACCTAACAGTTTATTGACAAACAAAGCGCATACATTATCATTGTCATTTTTTTATCATTGTCATTCAGATTTTCATACCAACCATCTTACACTCAAATATTTGGCATATTATCATTTAAATAGAACAGTATGAGACAATAAAAGATATATGACAGCTAACTTTCAGGTTATTTCATGAAAAGTCTTCGACATGTCACTGATGAAGACTTGTCAAGATTCAGAACTAAAACTGGTGATGCAACTGGCCCCAAAATCACACTGCTAAGTATTTAGAGGACTGCAGAGCGACCTGGACACTCCAGCACACAGCTAAACTCCAACTTAAAGGACTTCATGTTTTTCAGAAGATTTGAATATTTCCTCCATGCTGTGCTTCTTTAAAGTGAAACATTATAAACAGGAAAATAACCTGTTTTGGATACTGCAATGTAAACATTTAATGCGGATTAGTGAAGCACTTGAGGGGTCAGGAGTCCAACTGCAATCTTAGTCCTTGAGCCAAGAACCAAAATTTCACATATCGGTACCACCTGGGTGGGCAAATTCTAGTTGTGATTTTTTTATTGCTATACATCCCTACAATAAGTTTTTATATGATAGACCTTGGTAACTGGTAGCTTTATTGTAGTTATCACTCATTAAAGTAATAGAGTGCAGCTGTTCAAAAATGAAAAATCGCCTTCCTTCAAAATTAGCTTTCTTTCATTTTAACCTCTCATTTAGGTGTGTTTGAACTATTGGCTAGCCATAGAGACTTGTAATAACCCCCTAAGTAGTATTTCAAGTAATTTATCTAATACAGGTGTGTATATATAAGCTTCAATTAGCCAATTGTCAGGTCTAAATCAAGGTCTAAATTAAGGATATTTTTTTACTTAAAAGTAGAAGTAAAGTAAATGCCGACTAATAGCATTATAATAACACAACTTTAATATGACACTGGCATATTTTCAATGCAGGAACTCAATATACAATCATCCTGGCTGGTGCAGGGCAAGAAGACATTAGCAACAAAATAAGATCTACTGATGTATACACTCTATACAATCATCTGAGAAAAACTCAAATTCCTATTCAAAGTCATATTCTTTCCATAAGGAACAGTGACAGCAAATATGACTGTCAAGTTTTGGCTTAGTACGTAATACTGTCACTGAGTCACAGTGGGTCTGTTAACATAGCTCCTTTCGGTCATCACTTATTAATCGACATCAGTAATCGACATCAGTATCTGTATCTTCTTCTACATCTGAGTCTGCCGGTGTGCAAGGGGCTCTTCCTCACTGTATTGGTTGGCACAAGTTTGTAATTTGCACAGGTTTGTGCACTTCAGCCCATGGCTGAGACACGTGCGGTCTAGTGGTTTGCATGTCCTCACACACTTGCAGGATAGCAACTGCAAGACTGCATCTGGTGCTGGGGAACCACGCATCCACTGTATTTCCAGCTGCCCTTCGTCATTTATGGTCCACCCATGGTCCTTGGGGCTTGGTACAGATGGCTTGGTATGAAGAGACCGTCTCCAGATAGCAACCTGGTAGTTGGCACGAATCGGTTGCATTAATAGGCAATCCTGACATGGTGGAAGCTGGCTGGACTCAACTTTAGCGGAGGTCCTGCATGAAGGTGGTGATAGTGAAAGGATTGATGTTGTCTTTGACGTTTACAAGGACATGTCAATCAGAAATTCAGAAAGACTAAACAGAGGTGCAGACATGGGGATCCAGTTCAGAAACATTGTTTCTAGCCACAATATTCAGCAGTGGAGGAAACTTCTCTGCAGCCCTGCCAACAAAGCCAGTCTCATCAAGTTCTTGGTGGAGGAATGGAGTTTTTCTCAGATGATTGTATAGAGTGTATACATCCGTAGATCTTATTTTGTTGCTAATGTCTTCTTGCCCTGCACCAGCCAGGATGATTGTTTGAGTTCCTGCATTGAAAATATGTCAGTGTCATATTAAAGTTGTGTTATGATAATGCTATTAGTCTGCATTTACTTTACTTCTTCGGTCTTGCAGTTGCTATCCTGCAAGTGTGTGAGGACATGCAAACCACCAGACTGCACGTGTCTCAGCAATGGGCTGAAGTGCACAAACCTGCAAATTACAAACTTGTGCCAACCAGTACAGTGAGGAAGAGCCCCTTGCACACCTGGCAGATTCAGATGTAGAAGAAGATACAGATACTGATGTCGATTACTGATGTTGATTAATAAATGATGACCAAAGGGAGCTACGTTAACAGACCCACTGTGACTCAGTGACAGTATTACGTACTAAGGCAAAACTTGACAGTCATATTTGCTGTCACTGTTCCTTATGGAAAGAATAGGACTTTGAATAGGGAATTTGAGTTTTTCTCAGATGATTGTATAGAGTGTATACATCAGTAGATCTTATTTTGTTGCTAATGTCTTCTTGCCCTGCACCAGCCAGGATGATTGTATATTGAGTTCCTGCATTGAAAATATGTCAGTGTCATATTAAAGTTGTGTTATTATAATGCTATTAGTCGGCATTTACTTTACTTCTACTTTTAAGTAAAAAAATATCCTTAATTTAGACCTTGATTTAGACCTGACAATTGGCTAATTGAAGCTTATATATACACACCTGTATTAGATAAATTACTTGAAATACTACTTAGGGGGTTAATACAAGTCTCTATGGCTAGCCAATAGTTCAAACACACCTAAATGAGAGGTTAAAATGAAAGAAAGCTAATTTTGAAGGAAGGCGATTTTCTGTTTTTGAACAGCTGCACTCTATTACTTTAATGAGTGATAACTACAATAAAGCTACCAGTTACCAAGGTCTATCATATAAAAACTTATTGTAGGGATGTATAGCAATAAAAAAATCACAACTAGAATTTGCCCACCCTGGTGATACCGATATGTGAAATTTTGGTTCTTGGCTCAAGTGCTATGATACCTGAAAGAACTGCTCCACCATCAAATTGGGCCACTCCCACTTCATCAACTCATTTAATTAGACACAGGTTTGATTCATTTATAGAAAAGAGCAGTGTGACCCAAAAAGAGAATGACTTTTAATGTGCTTTTGACTTTCTGTGTTGCTTTTGGAGTTAACAAAAATTCGCCTATTGAGGAAAATAACAAAATGAGAAAAAATATAAAAAGCTACCCCTATGAAAAGTCTATCATATTTTAATTTACTTATATTGACCCTAAAAACAATTTAGTATATGTAAGGTTTTGCCCACCCAAGTGGTACCGACATCTGGTCCGGCTCAAGGACTATATAGAGTGGAGTCATTACATGCTTTTATTAACTTAAAAATTCTTTCTAAATCGGCATAAAAAATAAAAGATATTTGTCTGAAAAAGAGATTTAACAGAATATGAAATATAATCTAAAAATACTTCCTTAGGAACCAGAGGGTGACAAGAAACATCCTTGTTTCACACAGTCCATGATTTCAACATATTTTGATTCTGAGGTAGAAAAAAATAGATAAAAAATAACAAATGCATCTTTATTTCTATTTTTGGGTTTGGATGCATGTGAAAGGACTGTGCTCAGTTGTGTGGTATTTTATTCATATCCCGTTAAAACTGCTTTTATAGCTGTGGCTCTTAATCTGATGACAGCTCTGGATGGTAATTTACAGAGCCAACTTTTATAAATAATCCCTCAATATTATCTGCAAAACTGATTATTCATCATTGCAAAGTAAAGCAGGATTTTCATAAAATCAGACTGGATAATAAGTTGGATTGGTCTAAGAATATAGACTACATCTACAGAAAGGGGCAGAGCTGCCTCTTTTGCCTGAGAAGACTCCGATCAATAGACATCAGTAGAAAGATGCTGCAGATGTTTTATCAGTCTGTGGTGGCAAATGTGCTGTTCTACGCTGCAGTCTGCTGGGGAGGAAACATCAAACACAAAGATGCAAAACGTCTTAACAAACTGGTGAAAAAGGCTGGCTCAGTGGTTGGACTCAAGCTGGACTCAGTGGAGGATGTGTTGGAGAGATCTACACTGAGGAAGGTGGAGACTATTCTCAAGAACATGGATCACCCACTTCACAACACCTTGATGGACCAAAGGGCAAATGGTGGTGGACGGCTCCTCTCTCTTCGCTGCAGGTGAGAAAGATTCTGAAGATCTTTGTACCAACAGCTATCAGACTTTAAAACTCTTGTGTAAATAATAGATAACTTTTATAGACATATTACGTGAGACAACAGACAATTGAATTTCCCTTCGGGGATCAATAAAGTTCTTCTTCTTCTTCTTCTTCTTCTTCTTCTTCTTCTTACCTATTTTCAAACTACTTCTAGTACTTCAACTTAAACTTATGCCACTTCTCACTTTTCTGTGTTTTAAGGTAATTTTCTTCCTTATCCATTTTTTTGCAATTTCAGACAGTTTTTCTAGCCTTATTCAGCATGAATGCAATTTTAATTTATGAACCACATTCATACTATTTGTACTTTCATCTAACTTCTACTTCTGTTTCTCCAGCCCTTTAACCAATTTTACATTTAAACCTTCCTCCATTTTTTTTAGCAGTTTTGCATTGCTTTTTCAGCTTTCAGCACTCAGCACTTCCACGCATTTTCTGCAATGAAATGCAATTTTTCTATTTTCTATTATTATTCTTCCGTACCTTTTTTGCAACTTTAATTTCTTCTTTTTTTTTTTCCTTATCCATTTTTTTTTTTTTTTTTTTTGCAATTTCAGGCAGTTTTTCTAGCCTTATTCAGCATGAATGCAATTTTAATTGTAGAAGCACATTCATACTATTTGTACTTCAGCAATTTTCACTTTCATCCAACTTCTACTTTTTTTTCTCCAGCTCTTTAACCAATTTTACATTTAAACCTTCCTCCATTTTTTTAGCAGTTTTGCATTGCTTTTTCAGCTTTCAGCACTCAGCATTTCCACGCATTTTCTGCAAGGAAATGCAATTTTTCTAGTTAGTATTGAAGTCTAGTTGTCACGTGTTAAACTACAACATTAAAACTGTAGTGCAGTAAATCCACATTAGCAGGAGAACTCTCAAAACAGGATACTTATTTGCTCTGAACTCTGTATCATTCAGAAACAAGAACCACACAAGGTCCATGTCAGTCCACATCAACCACACAGATCTCTCAAAGCTCAGTATTACAGAGTCACTGTTAGATGGAGTTAGAAAATGTAAGAAGGAAACAAGGATATTTTCAAGGGAGTCTATGAAGGCAAACACATGAAAAACAAACCATCTGTTTATCATTCCCAGCCTCAGGTTAATTATATTCGAACAGAGAAATCTTCTCAACAACCTGTAAGGACTGAGTAACAGTAAAGCTGTAGTCATTTCTCCTGAAGTAAATTGAATCTGTGACATCTATTTATACAGAGATATAGTTCATATAGGATTAACAGGACAAATATCTGGATAAAATATCCAGATATCCATAACACAAACTAAACAGAAATTAACATCAGTTTTATGAACAGCACTTTTATTTTTTGATGCAAATGCCATTCTTTGTAGGCAATAAGTGACTGCAATTACACTTACCTAGTTGTTGTAATACAAAATGAGCAAACAGTAAAAATACACGCCTATACAGAAGAAAACAGCAAGAAAAAATACAATAATTAAATACAAATAATAAAATTCAATGAAAGAGAAATGTTTACACCTGATCAAACTTATCTTACCTAAGTAACACAGTGTATATCCTATTTGGTATGAAACTTGTCCATGTGTAATAATCAGTAAAAAAACAAAACAAAAAAACAAAAAAAAAACATGTAGATGTCCTGTTGTATAACACCGTAAATCTTAGCCTAACATTTTTCATAAAACATACCATCTTATGACTTAAAGCTCAGGAATTTCTGTCTGTTAAAATTTATATTTGAGGGGCAGATTGTTTTCTGATTATTTTTATTGTAATTATTAGGTCTAAATTGAAAAAAGACGAGAAATTGAATCAAACAAAGCTGTCATCTTAATTAACACAGAAATGATTATGACAGCTGTACGAACAGAACAGACAGACGAGTAACCTCCGTGTTTACCATTACATATTCAAAGTATGCGCACTGTATTCACGGATATTTTTCTTGTATTTTCTAAAACTTGTGAGCAGGCAAAAGGCTGGTCAAGGTCGGCGGTGAGGGAGGGGAGAGAAGAAACGTAGAGGTTCTGTAACTCACTGTAGCAATCAATTGAAATCTCACCGCCATCGGACCAACCAAGAAAACCAACAGGCAGTCGGAGATTTTATACCGGAATAATATAGCTTTATTTTTCACACGCGGTAGGAAACGTTATTTTCTAAATTGCGCTAACGTTGCTGAGCGTGAGATTTTCTTGCTTTTTCTACACACAGAATACAATTTATAGCCGACAATGAGCTTAAATTTGTCATATATAAATCCCTGGGCGCAATGAATGCTGGGAACAGTAGTCACATGGAAACGTCCCGGTTAATACAGCAGCATATTAACCAATCAGCAGCAAGTAACGGGGGCGCCAGCAGCTCACATTTCGTTTATACCTGCAGAGGTACATACACAGGTATTTCTTAAGTGTTAGTGAGTTAAATTATTACCACTGTTGAAAATGTAAATGAATTACTACAACACACTGTAAGTTGCTGCAGCTCTGTTCACCTCCAGCCAGCAGATGGCGATATAACTCCATGCTGAGCATATTTAACTCCGTGACCCAGAGAACCAGTTTACCTATACCTGGGGTGTTTCTCAATTCACTGATATGGATCTACATTATTTATTATTATTATTATTTTTTTTTTTAAATAAAAGTAAATGTAAGATATCCTTGTCATCAGATTTTACAGTTAGGCTTTCAGAGTTAGCCATGATGCTAACCTGTGATTATTATATGTTACACTCAGACTTCTAACTCAGCCCTGTGACTGATGTTTCAGATTTTTGTCAATTAATTTTCTTCAAGTTTATCAGTATGATGTTGGATCTGTGTGCGGGTTGTATGGTGATGGAGTAAATTTATCACGAATCAGTAATATATTCACTCTGAACATTGAAACACATAAAAACATAAAACTCTCCGTAAACAGTGTCTGTAAGCAGTTTAACTATCACCTGAACAGACACAGTATGGACCTATTATCAGATTATAAGACATGTTGACAATTGAAGCTTATAATCAGAATATATTTACTTTTAATGTTTGTTTCTGTGCTGTTTTGCTTCTGTGTGTATTTTCACATTTGATGTTGTGTTATTCTATGAAGTCCCAAACCCCACTAATATTAGAAATGTAATTAAAACTTCTGGACCCATTTTAAGCATTTCACCATGAGAGTACAGGACTTTCTTATAGGTCTTGGTGTGACACATGTTCCTTAGTTTTCACACATGCATGTACTTTTTAACCCCAGTGGAGGGGACAAACTTTTTGAAGATTTTGGGGGTGTTGTGGGGCCAGTTTTGCTATATATTCTTTTTTTGATAACTCAAAGCCCAAATAATAACACGTTTTTTTACCATGCCCAATGTGTGATTTTGTGAAGTTTTGGGGCATTTTAAGCAAGGAAGTTGAAAAATTGGGGGCTCCAGTGTACGCAGGCCCTGAAAAAGAGTGGTGATTGTGTGTGTAGAAATGGTAAAGGTTATTCTGACTGAATCACAGGGAGTTGACTGTGCACTCACATCCGACTAATACACTCAGTGAGGTGGAGCCGTCTGTGTATGTGTGTGCTTGCACGCATGTGTGTGTAAATGTGATTATAACATCATTTGATGGAGGCTGCTGGTGTCAGAGTGTCTGTAATTTAGAGGATTGATTTACACTTAGTCATGTGATCAGCAGGCTCTTGATGTCACTCTGATCAAGTTTGTGACTCAACTGAAGATATCATGATGATGATAATAGTATAATGTGGTATGAGAGGTTTCAGCTGCTGCAGATCATAAAAAAATCTTAAAGTTTTTAACCCTTGAGAAAAACCTTCGCAGTGAAAATGAGCAGTCATATTATTCCTGCTAACCCCCATCTGCACTTATGAAAAACAGTTTAGGTTTTCTCACTCTCAAAACAGGCTGCAGACACAGCACCTCCTTCTCATCACTGAAGATTTCAACCATGCCTCTTCTTCCTCAACTCTGCCCAATATCTATCTGAGATCTGGGGCATACTCCACATCTCCTCTTCCTCTTAGGAAGATCTGATCATACAAAACCCAATTCCATTGAAGTTGGGAAATTGTGATAAACGTAAAAACAGAATAAAATGATTTGCAAATCCTTTTCGACCTACATTCAATTTAATACGCTACAAAGACAATATAGTTAATGTTCAAACTCATAAACTTTTTTTGTTGTTGCAAATAATCATAAACTTTAGAATTTGATGGCAGCAACACGTGACAAAGAAGTTGAGAAAGGTGGCAAAAAATACTGTGAAATTTGAGGAATGCTCATCAAAGAGTTCTTCTTAGTCTTATTAGTTGGAACATCCCACAGGTGAGCAGGTTAATTGAGAACAGGTGGGTGCCGTGATTGGGTATAAAAGCAGCTTCCCCAAAAATTCCCAGTCGTTCACAAGCAAGGATGGGGCGAGGTTCACCACTTTGTGAACAACTGCGTGAGCAAATAGTCGAACAGTTTAAGAACAACGTTTCTTAAAGTACAATTGCAAGGAATTCAGGGATTTCAACATCTACGGTCCATAATATCATCAAAAGGTTCAGAGAATCTGGAGAAATCACTGCACGTAAGGGACACGGCCTGAAACCAACATTGAATGCCCGTGACCTTCGATCCCTCAGGCGGCACTGTATCAAAAACCAACATCAATATGTAAAGGATATCACCGCATGGGGTCAGGAACACTTCAGAAAACCACTGTCAGTAAATACAGTTTGCTGCTACATCTGTAAGTGCAAGTTAAAACTCCACTATGCCAAGCGAAAGCCATTTATCAACAACATCCAGAAACGCCACTGGCTTCTCTGGGCCCCAGCTCATCTAAGATGGACTGATGCAAAGTGGAAAAGTGTTCTGTGGTCTGAAGAGTCCATATTTCAAATTGTTTTTGGAAATAGTGGATGTCGTGTCCTCTGGGCCAAAGAGGAAAAGAACCATCCAGACTGTTATCGACGCAAAGTTCAAAAGCCAGCATCTGTGATGGTATGGGGGTGCATTAGTGCCCAAGACATGGGTAACTCACACATCTGTGAAGGCAACATTAATGCTGAAAGGTACATACAGGTTTTGGAGCAACATATGGTGCCATCCAAGCAACGTCTTTTTCATGTACGCCCCTGCTTATTTCAGCAAGACAATGCCAAGCCACATTCTGCACGTATTACAACAGCGTGGCTTCGTGGTAAAAGAGTGCAGGTACTCAACTGGCCTGCCTGCAGTCCAGACCTGTCTCCCATGTGTGGCGCATTATGAAGCGTAAAATACGACAACGGAGACCCTGGTGTTGAACAACTGAAGCTGTACATCAAACAAGAATGGGAAAGAATTCCACCTTCAAAGCTTCAACAATTAGTCTCCTCAGTTCTGAAACGTTTATTGAGTGTTGTGAAAAAGAAAGGTGATGTAACACAGTGGTAAACATGCCCCTGTCCCAACTACTTTGGCACATGTTGCAGCCATGAAATTCTGAGTTAATTATTATTCTCAAAAAAAAAAAAAATAAAGTTTATGAGTTTGAACATTAAATATCTTGTCTTTGTAGTAAATTCAATTGAATATAGGTTGAAAAGGATTTGCAAATCATTGTATTCTGTTTTTATTTATGTTTATCACACTTTCCCAACATTTATGGAATTGGGTTTTGTACATAATCTGGTGCGCGTCCAGCCAGCGTACAAACCTCGGGTCCACAGACAACCAGCAGTGACACACACAGTTAAAAGATGATCTGAAGAGGCTCTAAAAGATGGTTTTGCTTCAACTGTGTGGGAAGTGTTCTGTGAGGATCACGGGGGGGACATTGACAGTCTCACACACTGCATCATGGACTAAACGGATTTCTGTGTTGACAACACTGTTCCCATCAAAATGGTACAGTGTTTTGCCAACAACAAGCCATGGATCACTCCTGACATAAAACCTCTCTTGAAGGACAAAAAGAGGGCTTTTCAGTGTCAACAAGGAGAAGATAAAGACTGTACAGAAGGAACTCGGGAGGAAGTTCAGAGAGGGAAAAAACTGCCATAGGAGGAAGATAGAGGACCAGCTGCTGAGAGAAATGTCAGTGGATTTTGGAGGGGCCTAAAAACCAATCTGTGGTCACAAGGCCTCAACAGCTGTGTCAATAAGGGACCAGGATTAGGTGGGCAACCTGAACACCTTCTTTAACTGGTTTAAACAGCCAGCCACCCCTCCCCCTGCCCAACCCAACCCATCCTACTGCAACCACCACCATTCACACCTCCTGCTGACTCTATGACCCCCGCTCTCACGACTCTCCCTGTCATACCCTCACAACCCCCCCTACACATCCTCTGCTTCCCTCTGAGTGGCCTACACCCATCAGCACTCAGTCGCCCAGCTCCAGCCTGTCCTTCTCCATGTCCCAGGTAGAGAGCAAACTGAAGAGGCTGAAGGTCAGGAAGGCTTCAGGTACAGATGGCATCAGCTCCTCAGATCCTGCACAGACCAGCTGTGTGGTATTATGGAGCACCTTTACACCATAAGCCTGAAGCTAGGCAGGGTGCTCCTGCTGTGGAAGACCACCTGTGTGGTACCAGTGCCAAATCTCCCTCACTCCCATGACTTCAACCATGACAGTCCAGTGGCACTGACATCACACCTTCTGGAGACCCTGGAGAGACTGGTCTTGTGTCATCTTTTCCCCCCTGGTGAGCTCATCAATGGACCCGCTGCAGTTCGCCTATCAGCCAGGCATCAGGGTGGATGATGCTGTTATCCTGCAATGATCTCTCTCTCACCTGGATAGGACTGGGAACACTGTGAGGATCCTGTTCTACAATTTCTCCAGTGCCTTTAAGGCTGTACAGCCTGGCCTAACAGAGGGTTATATATCTCCACTTATTCTCTTAATTTCAATATTTTTCAGCAGATGAAAAATGATCAAACAGATTTTAAGATGAAAATCTTGTGCTGACAGACACCGTTTCTGAGGGTTTGTTTACAGTATTTGACAAATGTGGCTGAGTCTGATCATAACGTTAAAGTTCCAGTTTCACTTCAGCTCTTTAGGGTTTAAAACAAGAGATAAACTGATGTAGAAGCACTGATGTCATACTAAACTCTATATACAGTTGGAGCTGGAGTCTGATTCATCGAGTGTTTGTGCTGTGAGCCGATAACAAACAGGTTCAATAACCATAAAGACTTCAGACATCAAACATCACTTTATCTCCTTTTCCATCATCTTTTACCTGCTCCTTCAGTCAAGTGTACTCACCTCCTGAGGACAAACTGAAACCATAAAAACCTGAGAGACATCACAAAGCTGCATTCAGCACCCTAAGGGGTTATTTTAGGAGGAATAAAAGGTTTAACATCAGAGGAGAGGGAAGTTGTTCACTGGAGCAAACAGCATCATAAAAAAGATTAACACCATCGAAAAAAGCTAAAAGAATAATAGAAATTAACCTAATTTAATAAACAGCATCACAAGCTGATGATGGAGCTGCAGGGCGGATCATAAATAAAAAGTTTAAGATGTTCAAATTACTAAGTCTCTGTTCAGGTTGTTTTTTTTATGTTTGCCCTGAGCCATCAAACACAATGTGCAGAAGGTTTTAGATTATCAAATCAGTATTAATGCTAGAAGACTGAATATCAAAGCTCAGACTGTAAGAATGAGAGGTATTGCGAAGACATCCTACAAACCAAAAAAGACCCTGGAGTGAAAGTGAGGATACTGGGACAGGACCTGGGTGACAACTCAAAGGCTTCCAAACAACAAACTAGAACCCAACAAGTGAAACTGTCCTAATACTGTCACCATTACATCATTTCACAAGTAGAGTTGACTCAGAGGAGGATTGAAAACATAGATTGTATAAAACATCAGATTCCTGATCAGATGAATCATCCTCCTTCTGCTGCTTCTCCTGAATCACCTCTCCGTCTTTTTGCATTTAAAGGATTTCTTCAACAGCAGCTGACCATCACAATAACTCACTCATAAAACACCATTTAACATTGTCAGAGATCTGTGTATGAGTCATTAAACACTGAATAATTTAAAGCGTTAAAAATAAGTTCTTCTCATTCAGTCTCTGGGGTCTTCTTAATGAGCAGCTCAGCGGTGATCAGTGAGTCTGTCCGCTGCTGAGGGAGAATAATGTGTGGATAATAATCAGACAGTAAATGTTTAATCGTCTGTTTCTGATTTATAAAAGTAAAACGGGACAGAGCTGTCAGCAGTCTGAGTCAGTCTCATCACATCTTCATTAACCAACATCCTGAGAATATCTCCATCAGCACTCTTACCCATCATGCATCTAGGCGTTCCTGTCTCTCAGTCCGCAGCAGGAACACTTTAGATAATGAATATGAGCGGGAGGTTGCAGATCTTTACTGCAGAGAGACCCTCTGTCTGCATCCAGAAACAACATCAGCATCTCTTCTTTCATTAGCAGGTTTAATAAAAAGGGTTCAATGAGGAGGTCTCTGTCCGTGTTTAAAAACTAGGCTTGTGTGTCATCAGTCCACTTATAAGAAGATGTCTTCATATATTTTTGAAAGTCCACTTTATGTGAACATCCATGACTATGTGAGGCCCTGCCTGTCTCCTCTATGATCAGGATTATTGATAAAATTATTGCAAAAGGGAAACTATGAACCAAGCTGGTCCAGGAAAAACAGGCCCAAAATGGCAGCATATGTTTCCCCCAAACCTTTAGCATTGATGGAGCCTTCACAGATGTGACAGTTAGCCATGGCATGGGCACTAACAAACTCTCAGACCATCACAGATACTGGCTCTGAACTTTCACCTTATAACAATCTGAATGGTCCTCTTCTTCTTAAGACCTGAAGACACCACATCCATGATTTTCAAAAACTGTTTGAAATGTGGACTTGTTAGACCACAGCAGACTTTTCCACTTTGAGTCAGTCCATCTCAGATGAGCTTGGGACCAGAGAAGCTGGAGGGGTTTCTGGTTGTTGTTGATATCTGTCATTTTCTTTGCATGGTAGAATTTCAACTTGGAGATGTGGAGTTGAACTGTGTTAAGTGAATGTTACCCCTGAGTGGTCCACATTGTAAAATCCTTTACAGAATGATGTCAGTTTTTAATGCAGTCCTGTCTGAGGGGTCAAAGGTCACAGTCAGTTCATGTTGGATTTAGACCTCTCTGCTCACGTGTGGAGATTTCTCTAGATTCTCTGAATCTTTTGATGGTATTTTCTATTCTAGATGATCAAATCTCTAAATTCCTGCTGTTGTACATTGAGAAACATTGTTCTTAAACTGTTGGACTATTACTGATGCAGTTGTGGACAAAGTGGTGAACCTTGCCCCATCCTTGTTTATGAATGACCGAACCTTGGGATGCTCCTTTTATACCCAGTCATGACATCCCCCGTTTCCAATGAACCTGTTCACCTGTGGAATGATCCAAACAGGTGTTTTTGGAGCAGTCTTCAGTTTCCCCAGACTTTTGTTGACCCTGCTCCAACTTTTTTTGGAAGGTGCAGCAGCATCAAAGTCAAAATGTGTGAATATTTGCCAAAAAGAGTTTATCAGTTTGAACTTTAAGTATCTTGTCTTTGAGGTGTATTCGGTTGAATATAGATGGAAAGGGATTTGAAAATCTTTGTATTCTGCATTTATTCATCTTTTACTCAATGTCCCAACTTCATTGGGAGTGGGGTTTAGATGAAAATGCATTTTGGGCTACATTTGTTGTTGTCACCTGACAGTCTGAACAACTTAGTTTAGACAGAGAGATGAGATGACATTATTGGTGCACTTTCATGGGGTGCTGGATTGTCTACCCAGTACAGACGAAACCAATTACATTTTATTGTCACAGAGTAGTCACATCAGCTAATATGCTTCTCAAATAAATAATTATTAAGTCATTGTTTTTCACTCATCATTTATGAATTTATTTGCAACTGCATCTGCACTGTAAGGATTTCATGCAGCTTCTTGACCTGGAGTGTTATTTATGAGATTGTTTCTTGAATACCCTAGTGATAAACAAACAAATGCCTTTGAGAAGTAACACAGCAGGGGGGATATGAATAAGAATTATAATAATCTTGATTCTATTTTGAAGAAAATCTCAATCCTCTTTGCAATGTGACATTAGATGTTAAATAATGTTGCTGTATTCACTCAGTGTAATTCACTGTTTGGAGAACATACCCTGCCTTTGTCTTTTTGCAACTTCTTTTTCTGCTTGGGAAAGTCTGAACCCTCCTCTCTGTTTCTCACCTTGAGAAATGCAGAGTGAAACTTTCCTCTTTCCCAGGGTCCAGTATGAACTTTAGGGAAAAATCCTGCAAGATGTCCTGATCTTAAGAACTTTCCAAGAATCTTGTTCCTTGAATCAACCCTTTGTTTCAGGAATCTTTATGAATACAGCCCCTGATGTTTTTCTCTGGTTAAACAGAGCTAAAATGAGAAATGCATTTATTCAGCTCTATGGTATTGTGTATTCAGAAATATCAAGTGTATGACAGTATATCCACTGTCTTGATGGTGAAATGATTTGGTATTTGACCCTCAAAGAATTTCTACAATTAGATTAATTCACTACCCACCATGCAATTGTGTAGTTAGAACTGTATTTCTCTAAAACTGATCTGGCAGTGTTGAAGGCTCAGCTCCAGCAGAACAAAACCATCTTAGGTGTTAAATCTGTGTGCTATCCATGCTCTAGTAGTAAGATGTCATGAAAACCAACCAGATTTGGCCTTTTTAATTGCAAGCTTGTCCACAAACCAGTGCGACGAATGTACCCACAGAATCCTGCCAAGTGTCTATGGGTGTTCAGTAGTGACCACATTAAAAACATGGGGTTAAAACCAAAGTTCACACAAGGAAAAAGGAAATATGTGAAATCCATAGATTCTTAACTTTTATTGTTCATGTACTATACAGAGTCTAAAGGTAAAACAAGGTAAGGAAGGAAGATTATATTCATGACTGGAGGGAGGTGATTATACTGCAATTGTCCCAGCATTTTTTAGTGTGTCCTTCGCATCAGAAAGGACATAATACTTCTGCTTGATTGGCACACTCAGACTCAAAAGTACCCAAAAAACACGAAGAAGACAAATATGGCAACAGTGGAAAAGATATCAATCAGCTATCTGCAGAAACAAAGTCAGAGTCTGCGTCCATGTCACCATTTAAATGTTTCACAACATATGAACAGAGAATCAACTTTTCAAAGTATGATGTTATTTTATGTCTAACACAGTGTATGGTCTACCAAATCATAAAGTGTGCAAAGAATATCTAGCAGATTTGTTTGAGCCCTTCATGCACCCATCTCTGCAGACTTAGCGTGAATGCATTACCCAGAAGTCATAGCATTGCAATGTAACCATGGGATCTCCAGGGGAAGCCCACAAGCGAAGAGGGGAAAAGAACACCATGACACAGAAATTCAAAAGAATATGGTAAATATGAAGCATGGAAGGTGCAATGTTGACACTTAAGAAATAAGTTTGGCTGTAAGTATAAATTAAAAAAAAGGCCAAGTCACAATGATACGACTGTTGTTACCTCAGCAAAAATGATGAGAAGCTCATTCATAAGAAAACCTAAAATTGCCTCTAAATTGTAAGACTCAGACAGTGTTTTCTTTACCTATTTTTCAATTAATGAAAATATTGCAAAATCACCCTTAGTGCGAGATAAGTCAATTTTTGGCCATACAGCAAAACTTTGTAATGAACAGAAAATAAAACAGTTGCATCAAAGTTTCAGGGCATGACTTTTTAAACCGAGATTCTTATTGGAAAAATGTATTAAAAAGGACTGTGCAAAACCCATACCCTAAAGATAACCTCGTCTGCAGTCGCTCATATCTCTTCATGGTACAGCCCTCTGGTCAATGACACACATATATGCACACAAGCACAGATGGTGTCTCAGTGGGAATGATGGCCTTTCACACTCTGAGGACTCTCAGTTTGTCCTCTTGCAGCCCTCACTACATTTGTCATTTTCTTCTTCTTCTTCTTCTTCTTCTTCTTCTTCTTCTTCTTCTTCTTCTTCTTCTTCTTCATCTTCTTCTTCTTCTTCTTCTTCTTCTTCACTTTTTCCTCTTCCTTGCTTTCTTTTTTCACTTTCTCACTTGTTAGTTCATCCTCAGACTGCATGGGTTCATTAAGATTTGATTCTCTGAGTTTGCTTCAGAGTGTTTACCTCTCTGTGTGAGTGCAGGGTGAGTGGACAGTTTTTATTTCTCCATGAGTTAAAAAGAGACTGGCACTTTTAAAGTCTGTCACATCTAGATGAAGGTTGATGGTTCCTCTCCCTCTCAATGTTTCTGAACTACGAGCAGAGAGTACACAGTGTCTGTGCTGCAGTCTCTTTAATCAAATTGGAGTCAGAGTGAAGAGGAGAAATGCTTATTTCTCTGTCATCCAGCTGCTCTGAGCAGTAAATATTGATCCCAGGTTAAAGCCAATCAGAGTAATGGAGGCCTGGCTTTGGATGCAGTTTATAGAATAAAGATGGAGGAGAGTTCAGAGCGGCTGGTCCTGATTTAAAGAGCTCCACTGTCTTACTGAAATAAGCCTTTAATACGTCTTAGAGAGGATAAAGCACATTATACAGCACCCAGCCCCATCCTGAGCAAGGAGATCTGCTGCCAATGCTCCAAGCCCTCAGCCAGGATCCAACAGAGCCAAGAATTAACAAAACCAGGACCAGACAAAGCTGGGATCAAACAGAACCAGGAATGAACAGAACCACGACCAAAAGCAAAATCCAGTGCAGAGCAAGGAGAGTGTCAGGTCTCAGACTGTCAGGATACACAGCGATGTATTTTTGAAGAGAAAAGAAAGTGTAGGGAGTCGGTGTAGTCTCTGTCTAAAAGAAAACATAATGGTCCAGGGGACGATGCCTGCAGGTCACAACTACGACTCATTTGTGGCAATGTTGAGAAGGAGGAAGAAGATGAAGGAGAAGTAATTGGCTCATCTACTGGTTGGAACAGAAAATGGAATCATCATCTTTCACCAGAGTATTCACTGCATGAACGAAAGAGAAACACCCAATTCAATCAGTTTTGGGAGTTTCTGCTTTTGCTTTACTGTTCATTTAATAAAAAAAAAGTTTCCCACAGAAGCGCCCAGTAGGATCATCTAGGATCCAGTATGTTGTCCTTTAAATGAGATCAATGAATAAGTACTTCAGAGAAAGATGAGAGCAAGATTCTGCAAAGCGTTGCCCCAGTTACACAGCCACTGACTGAGGCACTTTATGATTCCTCCTGTTTTTGGTGTATAAGTTGGTCATTTTTGCTTTCATACTTCAAAACAAACTGTACCTGGAAGTAAGCTGAGACCAGAGTTCATGTGTTCGGTCTGTGATTTACTCTTGCCCTCAGTCTCTCTGAAGCAAAGAGCGAAGATGTTACCTTGAACGTGATCATGTTAACCTTTACCTGTGAGGGTGATGACTGTTCACTGACACATTGACGCTGGTAGTTAATCAGGACAGAACCAGTGTGTATGTGTTTCCTGCAGATGGTAAACTCTACAGGGGGCTGATTCATTTAATTCAGGGAGCCATGATGCTCTGGGCAAAGCCTAAACACCCCCCCCCCCACACACACACACACACACACACACACACACACTTAGAGTTATTTTTTTTACCAGCTTAGTGGAATAAAGACAGATCTAATCTTCCTTTCTCTATAGTAACTGAAACCAAACTCACTTCTTTTCAAAATAAATCACCCCCGCCTTTCAAAATAAATGTGTGATGTTTGTTCACACAATCCTGTGTTAGTGGGGAATGTAAACAGTCTGACAGTTTCACCTTACATCAACATTGGGACCCCTGTGGCCCTCAGTTTCACTCTGAACCCTGACTCTGCTCTGTGAAGAGGTTTGACAGGACTCACACAGGGGCACACACTGATACACACGTGTTTGTGTGTTTGTGCAGGCGTGAATATGTATGTGTGGGGGTGCATGTGCAAGGGGGCAAGTTTGCATAACATACATACACAAACGTGTGAGTACACCCTTCATATGACTGACATATAAGTATGTGTGTGTGTGTGTGTGGGGGGGGGGGGGGGGCAGGCTCATGTTTTCAGTTTAATATTTCATATTCTGTCAGGGTTCAAGCCAAAATGAAACTTATTTTATAACAAACACTCAAGAATACAGCAAAAACTTTCAGAAAACACACTGAGGTGCTGGTATGTAAAGACCTAGATGTGGTCATTGACACCACTTTTATGTTTGTCTGAATATTCAGGGTGTGTAATGATTTAGATAAAGTAATAAAGCCAAGATCTTAGCACCAAGACTAAAGTCATTTTGAAAAATCTAGCCTTTAGACTTTGTCTTAAATCAACCGCTTCATCTATCAGCCTGTCTCAACTCAGAAAACATGTTCAAACATGAACTTTATCCCAGTGTAAACATCACCCTGCATGACATCACATACAGGGTTTAAGGCAGAGTAAAATCCATGCTTTCACGATGTGTAAGCCACATTCTGACCCTACCATCTGAATGCCATGAGACTTATCAAACCAGGCAACATTTCTCCAATCTTTTATGGTGAGCCTGTGTGAACTGTCGCCTCAGTTTCCTTTTCTTGGCTGACAGGTGTGGGACCTGGTGTGGTCTTCTGCCGCTGTAGTCCATCTGTTTCAAGGTTTGCCATTTTGTGCATTCAGAGATGGTAATCTGTGTCCCTTGGTTCTAACGGGTGGCAATTTTGACTTATTGTTGCCCTTCTATCATCTTACACCAGTCTGGTCCTCTGACCTATAACATCAACAAGGTATTTTTATCCACACACATGCAGCATCCTGGATATTTTCTATTTTTCAGACCATTCTCTGTAAACCCTTGAGATGGTTGCGGGTGGAAATCTCAGTAGATCTGCAGTTTGTGAAATACTCAGACCAGCTTGTCTGGCACCAACAATCATGCCATGTTGAAAGTCTCTTAAACCCCCTTTTCCCCATTCTGATACTGAACTTCAGCAAATTGTTTTGACCACATCTATATGTCTAACTGCACTGAGTTGCTGCCTGTGATTGGCTGGTGAGCTATTTATTTTAACAAGCAATTGAACATAACCTAATGAAGTGGCCAGTGAGTGTGTATTACTCGTCCATCCATCCATCCATCCATCCATCCATCCATCCATCCATCCATCCATCCATCCATCCATCCATCCATCCATCCATTAATCAATTATCCATCTACACTGCATAAATCCATGCATCCATTAATACTTCATCCATCGATCTAACATCTAACCATGCATCAGTCTAGCCCTCATCTATCTGACATCCATCCACACAACCATCCAACATTCATTCATCCATCCAACATCCAACTGTACATCCATCCATCTGGCTCCCCTTACTTCCATCTAGCCATCCATCCCTATAACTATCCATCATCAAGTCTTCCATAAATCTATACATTAATTTGTGTGTGTGACACCCATCCCTTATTCATTTACCAATCCAAGAGTGATGTATCCATCCATCCATCCATCCATCCATCCATGCATGTGGCATCTGTTAACCATTTAACCATCAGTTTGTCCAATCATTTATCTACAGATCCATTGATCATCTATCCATCCATTACTTCATCCATCCATTCATCTCTCTGGCGGCAATCAATCCATCTGTTCATCCATCCATCATCCATCCATGTTTTTTTCTTTTATATATCCTAACTGGGTTAATTTTTAAAAACAACTTGATGTTAACTTCCCTTTTGCACAATACCGCTGATGAGGAGTTTTGGATATAACCTTAGACCTTTGATTTGTGTACAGACTTTTAAAACCAGAAACAATTTGGGAGAAACTTGTGATTTATGCATCTATGTACCAAATGATTTTATTTAGTCCAGATTAGTGACAGTGGGTATTTATTTATTTATTTTTACTTAATCAATCGGAATTTCTCTCATGCATGTTTTCACTTCTGTGCTGATGACACTGTAAGCATCTCCACCAAACTATCTCCCTCCAGCTTACAGCTTTAATAGAGGAGTTTTAGTGAAGAGTATGAGGATTAACAGGAGGTTGAAGCTGTTTTTATGATCCTTTCTGCATGCTAACACAGGGTGTATTTCTTTGCTCTTGCATGTGTGCTGTTATCATTCTATGTAGACAGAGGGTTAGGCAGATTGTAGGCTCTCAGAGATCATTTATACTGAACACTGCAGACATGTGATTGTTAGCTTCAGGCCTGCTATGTGAGGGTTTATTGATCTCATGTCTTACTGATGATCATGTTAGAGAGCCTCTATGTGGTTAATTGATGATTAAATTCTTCCAGATGCTTTCTAAACACTTTTGGTTGTGGGTTCAGAAACAGATGGAGTATCTGATATGGGCATAAACCTCTACCTGGCAAGATGATGAAACTTGATTTGATCATTGATGGTTATGATTTGATACATAAAGACAGATTCAATCTGCAGTGAAGATCTTAAAGAAGTGAAAGAGTGTGCCAGTCTTTAGTGGGGCTTCTTGCTTGAGAATATATTCAGCTTTTTGAGTCAGATATGAAGGTAATTCACAGAATCCTCTCATGAGATTGGTTATTACACTGAACCGTTCAGTTCAAAGATGCCCACTTAAAAAACAAAAAAAAAACAATTAAATCTTGCCAGAATATGTGCTTCATGCAAGAAGTACCATTTTATGGCCAGAAAAGTATGTATTTCTGACTAATTCTTATTTATTTCTTGCAAGTTATGGAGAATACCCACCCCTAACTTACAACAATGAAAATCAGTGCTCTGATAAATATTACCATATTTGTCCCCTGCTCAGTCTGTTGTAGTTGATGACAGACTTTAATTCAGGTCATAACTCCGGCTGGGAATTACTAATTATAATGTGACTCTGTGTGAAGCAGGTGTCTTACCTGAGGGCAGTTTACCTGTGTGGTCTCTCCCAGATTAAAATGAACATTTGGAGGATCTGCTGTTGGAACTGTGATCAGCATGCCTGTCATTAAATTTGCTCTGAGGGCTTTAGCTCATGTGGAGCTGAGGAAGAGGAGGAAGAGGGGGTATTTAATCATAGAGGAAGCTGAGCAGTTATTTAGACTCTTGGTACAATCTGAATGAGAAGCACAGCTACACACCAATCTTTGCAAGTGCAAATCAAATCTTTGAGGACAATGGTTGGTCACTGTTGAGTCTCTCATTGTTTTGATAATCAGATGCTTTGTAGTCATGAAATGGGTCATTGTATCAGGTGGAATCTACAGTATAATTCCACTTATTCTATATAATATTACTTTAAAACTTTTATTATTCATCATAGCAACTGGGAAACACACCATGCCTTTATTTGAGACAGGCATCAAGACCTACTGAGCAATTTTTGGTCTAAGAGATCTAATAGACGTCCAAATGTAGCCTAGAATCTAGGCCCTAGATGACTGTCTAAAATCAGGCTATCGCAGGTCTGAAAATGAAAGTTTTTTTCGACGTCTAAATTCAGACCAAGTGTAGGCCAAGTCTAAATCTGGGCTATATCTATACTACACTGTATATTGCTCAACGGCTATCATAATTATTTTGGTTAAGTACTTGGAGATCAGTTATGCAACTCACAGTTGTTTTTTGAAATAAATAGTTATTGAATAATGGGTTAAAGTGCAACATCTAAATTCTGTCTGAAATTATACAGAATCTAGACAGTTGAAATTAGACCTCAAAAGAAACTAGACGTCTAATAGCCATCTGTTGCTCAGTGGGGAAGAGAGAGATCTTAAATTATTTGCTCATGGTGGCTCTATAACCTTTGATATCTTGGTATGTAACAGGAGGTTACTGTTACTTCTCAATTCATATATGTGGTCGACAAATACATGGTACTAACTTTTATATGTAATGTCCAATCTGATCCAAATTTTACAGGTTTAGTAGTGGTCCCGGCCTGAATTGATTTACATGTATATTTTTGTCATATTAATGATTAGATGCAAGCACTATTAACTCTCATATGCACTATTGAACAAGCCTTTAGCAGTTGAGGACATTAAATGAAACATGCATGCTGATCTACATATTTTAGGTCCAAAGTGATTGCACCAGCTATGGGTGCAGTGTTGCAGTTGCTGCACTACCACAGCCTTTTCACAACTGGCAGTTGCAACATGACCAGATGTGTGCGAAAGCGCAAATTCCTAATAATGGAAAAAGAAAACAAAAAAAAAACAAAACATGGCACTAATAACCAGATGAAGATGATCTAGAGGCAGCTTCTATTTTAGATCTGCATTCTGAATAGAGTCATAGGATTCAACTGGGACCGGTGTTTCATCAATGTTACAGGATGTTTATTAGTCTTTGACTAGTTTTTTGATTGTGTTTTGTTGCTCTTTTATCCGCACACACACACAAACACACACACACACATCCTTTCTGCTGGATGAGTCAGGGTCAGAGCAGCAGGTGAACTTCCCATGATGTCAGTGCTTTTCTACTTTTGTGTGTGTGAGTGTGAGTGTGTCTGCACCATCTGTCTCCTCATGCAGACTCTCTCTGGTAAATTAATAGATGTTCAGAATAGGCTGAGTTTTTGTTTTATCAAGCTAAACACAGACAGTGAAACTTAAAGAAACATCTGATATCATTTATTTAAACTCTCCTGGTCAGATTAAAGCTGACACTACCTGCTCTTTTTAAATCTGGAGGACAGGTGAGTTTTTCAGGTTCCCTTAAACCAGCTTTCACTCTTTTCTGTCTTCTTTAATTCTTACCATATGACCACATAATAAGACAACAGAGACACTCAAAGCAGAACAATTCTGCTCACATAAGGAGTTAACATGCACTCCTTTTTACAGCACTCCCTCTTCTCCTTTCTCTCTTTTTTCTGTCTTTGCAGGTTCTTCGTCTGAGCATTTGTTTCCATCAGCAAAGAAAGTGCCAGAAAAAATAAATCCACTTTCCCCACTTCATGTCTTAAGCTTACCTGCTGCCAAATCTGCTGTCAGCTCTTCTATCAAAGCAGCATCTCTGTCCTGTTAGTGTTCATAAAACCACAAATAGGTTTATTAATGATTATAGATGAACAGAAATACCAGCTCTGTGTCTGCAGAGTAAATCTGGATCTTCTGCTGATAAACTGACTTATGACTCAGGTTATTATGTAAAACTCAATCTGTTCAGTTCACAGTGTGGGCTGTGTTCAAGTTATTTTTACACTGAAATGTACCATTTCTGATGTCCATCTGTGTGTCCACAATCAAACCCAAACCTGCTCACCTGGATCCACCTGTCAGATTCACAAAATAGAGCAGAAGAAATGTTTCAGAGTTTAAAAAAAAATGTCGACAGTGACGACATGACTGTGAGAAAAATCAGAGTTCAGCTGCAGATCTCTGGCCTCTTTTCATCTCTTTTATCCTTTTATCATCGTCATTTTCTTCCCTCTCCTGGGCAAGAGCATCCAGATGTAGGTTTGGCGGCCTGCAGCAGATCCAGCAGGTCTGGTTGGAGCAGATGCAGCAGTATGACACACACCGGTGTTTGGATTGAGAGGCTCTCAGAGTCTGGCAGAGCGGGATGTGAGGGCGGGAGGAGCAGTTGGGAAAGTTCAAGACCTTTCAGAGAGCAGCGATACAGGAAATCATCAAGAAGAGAGGGATGGAGAGAGTGTCAGAGGACAGAAAGAGGAGAGGAAGTGAGGACGAGGAGATGATTCAAGCAGCCAAAGAACTCTAACAGGAGCCCAAAGAGAAAAAACAGCAGCTCAAACTTTCAGACATGACTGTTTTACAAAAAGTTATCACAGCTGAGGACAGGAAATTAACCTGATGAATGGAAAACGATTTAAAAAACCACAAACATATGCTATTTAGATTAAGTGTTACTTTTATAAGGCACAGATGTGAGGAGCTTTATGAGTGTGTGTGTGTCAGAAATAATGCATTAACTTTGTACAGAATAAGTTTATCACTGCCTGCAGATGTCTCATAATCAAGGTGTTACATTAATTACTGCAATTTGGTCTCACAGCAGGTCTTTAGTTTGCATGTTAACAAATGTCAACACTTATTTATATTTTAGTGAATATCTTTTTGTCCATACCTGTAGCAGAGTTGAAGTTGGGTTTACAAACCATACCTCAGAAGTAATTATAACCAAACCAACCCAAATCTCAACAGTTTCACTCAGTATGTGTACATGTCATCCAAAAAGTCAAATTATTGAGTTTGTTTTTTAAAAAACAAGTAAACACATTAATCTTACTGATAACGCACTAAATCAAACTTCTAATATTTGTACTAGTATACCAACCAGATAATGCAGTCAATAATTGAGCTCATAATTCACAGCGAATGAGCATGTAAAGATACTGACTGTTATAAAGGGAGAAACAGATGTCAAGAGGTTTATTAAGCAGCATTTATAAGCAGCAAAAAAATAAAAGTAAGTTTCCCTGGTCCACCATGTGTTTCACTCCAACATCACCTTTGACTGCAGGATATTTTACAAGATTTCCTGGTTTGAGAGACAGGATTCTGGTTGCTGTTGAAAAGGGTCTTTGTGTATGTGGTCTTTTATGTTCATCACATTGTTGCTCGCCACAGCTCACCACACATTACAAGAACAATATTTATTTCCTGTCATTCGTCGTCATGTGCAGGGTCTGAATTTTTCATAATCGGTTAAAATTTTGAAAATTTTTGGACATGTGCCAGTCTTTAGTCAAAACATTCATGTCCCAAGTTTAATAATTTAGAAACTGTATAAAGGTAACACAGCTGGTACTCGACATGCCTCTGTTCAAAATCAGCTCTATTCACAAAGAAAATGAGTGTGTCTCATGTTACAGAGAAGAGTAAAAACTTTAATCTATGATTATCACTGGGTGAAGATGGTGCCGACTGTAAACTGAGCCCATCATCAGAGGGATAATGGAGCAAGTTATAGATCTAGTTCTGACACACACACCACAGGGATGTTACAGTCAGTATGTGATCAGGACTGTTTACATGTGGATGAAATCACATCATTGACTCTGCAGTATGACCAGGGACACATCATCATCATCATCATCATCATCATCATCATCATCATCATCATCATCATCATCATCATCATTATCTTTATCTTCATCATCTACAGGAGGCAAAGACCCAAAGAGACCATGATGTATCATGAAATACACTGAGCTCATTATTACCCTCTGCTGGACTGGAAAAAAATTCATATCAATTAAAGCCACTAAAAAATCTTAAATATGAAGAAAAGATAAATCTGTCATGATTACAGGCTCTGACAGTGTTAATGTGCATGCCACTGAATCTTTACTGAGAAAAGGCTGGTGATAGAAACACAGAGCTGACTCTGGTCTCACTTTAAACCTTGATTTCATCAATCTGAGAAAAAATCTGCTCATGAAACTCTAACTGTAGCTCAATGATTGTATATTGAAAACATATGATAGTTGACATGTCTTTATACATGTTTTATTGTAAATCTTGATATGAAGTTATCACAGTGTTTTACATTTATAGCTGCTGACCTGTTCTCAGTCTATTTGTATCTGACAAGCATTTATTGTACTAGATGTTGCTATAAAGTTATAATATTATTGTGTGAAATAGAAATTTAGTCTATCTAGGTATCAGACCAAAAGTAAAACAGTCTGATGTAAAATTGTTCAGGTTTGTAAGTGATATACATTAGGTTACTGTTAGATTATGCCACTATTGAACAGTAAATAATCCATGCATGGTGATGAGGACAACATAACCCTCATCCTTTCTTCATTGGTCAGTTATATGTTATGTTATTAATGGATTAATTGGTGTACTCCTGTAGTAGATAGATTTGCTCCACAGCTTTACTGCTATGTCAACTCAAACAGTTGACCAGGACTTATCTCAGTGTGCTCCTCATAAATACAACAACACCAAAAAAAACAAAAAGCATAAAAGTGCAGTGTGCAATAAATAATCAAAACTTTACGAAATCAACCCTGAAGTTGAAGGAAAAGTGTTATTTCGCCTCAAGGGGTCTAAGTCTTCTTCCTGATGGTAGAGATTTAAACAGATGATATGTAGGATATGAAGTGTCTTGAAGAATTTTTCAGGCAACTTTTGCTTACCCTTTTTCAAAACATTTTAAATTACCCTCTCTGTGGTGCTCTTTATTCTAATCCTGTAATTTGAAGGTTACCTTCTACCCAGCTTTCCTTCCTGAATTTTTTACCAGCCCACTTCCCGGACAGAACCTATACCACACAGACTGTATTTTTGTTTAGCCTTCGTATGATAACAGAAAGCCAATGAGGGACAAAACAAAATATAAATGATGGACAAAACTTGAAAGAGCTTACAAAGAGCTCAAAAATGCCCACTAACAGCCTGAGTACGCCCCTGTATAGATTATTATACAGTGTATCATTAAACAGGTAATAAACCATGAAGTGTGGTGGTTAATTATAAATAATATTTGAGTTGGATAAGGTAACATAGCCTGTTTTATATTATAGTACAGTAACTAAATTATATAGTCTGATTGCGGTCATGTCCAGTCTCCTCTCCTCCCTCTGTGTGTCTATTTTCTATTGGTCAGCGGCATAAATATAAGATGATATTACTATTTTGGGGTTACATATAAAACATCATTGTACAGTAAATAAACCACGCAGTCTGATGTGGATCTCGTGTAGACCCCCCTTCCCTCCCCGTCTGTGTTTTCATTGGTCAGTTTGGATGGAGAAGGATGGGTGCGCTCGTGCCAGTCCGCACATGCGCACTCGGTGGGAAAAGCGATAGAAAACGGGCAGCTATGCCGCGCGCTGCAGAACTCAAGCTGGACGCGACTAACGGCCGGAGTAACGGAGGACCGACCCGGGGATCGCAAGGTTGCTGACCGCCGTTAACGGAGACTCTCTCCCCGGGGATCGACTCCTCCTGAGGCCCGGGAGGCCGAAGATCGGCTCCCCCCTTAACCTCCTCCTTCTACTCCTCCGCCTCCTCCTCCTCCTCAGAGAGACTCCGACTCAGTGCGATGGAGACCGTGTAGGATCTGTCCGGTGTCCGTTCTTCCGTGTAGACTGAATCAGAGAGCGGGGGCCGCTGAGGGGGGGTCAGGATGATGGTGTTGTGGCCCCGCAGAGGTGGCTCGGCTCCGGCCAGCTGCTGGGTCCGGACGGTCTGTCTGCAGCTGCTCATCTGGATTTTATGTTTCGTCAACGGAGAGGAGCAGCCGTTCAGTGTGGAGGTAAGACCCGGAGCACGACGACGGTTTTTCGCGGAGAGCCGAGCCGTGTCCGCTAATAGAGGGATTTATCATTCCTCGCAGTTTTTTTTTATATCTGGGATATCTGTGTTTAATGTGGAATAGTACCGTGTTTAACCCGGGTCAGGCTGTGTTCATACAACAACAGAGTCTTTGTGAGAGCAGCTGCAGCTCCATCCTCCTCCTTCTCCTCCTCCTCCACCTCCTCACTCTCTCTCTTTAAAGAAACATGTTCATATTTTTATCACAATTTCATCGAGCTTCCTCTGTTTACTGTGGTCTTAGTTTTAAAGTCTATAAGTCCAAGGTAAATATCAGGGGCTCACATATCTGCCGAGCAGCAGCGTCTGAAAACATCTTAACAATCTGAGTATGAAGACTCTGAAGTTAGCATCTTGTTCACAGCTTTGAGCGGTTAGAGGGAAGGTCCTGATCCAAAACCACCACATTGAGACATGTCAGGTTTGGACTAGATCATCAAAGACAGTCAACCGACTCTTCAAAACATAGTTTCAGATTTGTTTTGCACTTCTTCCATGTTTGACCATGCAAGGAAGGAAAATTTCACCACTGTTTCTTTTGTCTGACCCAGAAGAACAATACCCAGATCTGCCCGAAATCACTCTAGAGAGGCTCTGACTCGTTTCAACAGTTTTAGAATCTTTATTTGAGAAAATGCATGGAAAGAAAAAACTCACTGCCACCAGGTATGTCCTGTCACACATTGTCAAAAATGAAGTAAAGGTTTCGAACATCTTGATCATTTTTTAAGAGTCTTTAGCCTCTTTAGAGTTGCCTGTACCAAGTCCAAGAAGGCTAGGTATGTTGGTTCTGGATCTGGACCTGACTAAATGGGGTCAAGGCTGGAAAAAAGAAGAAAAGTGGCCATGTCTTGCATTCTCACAAATAGAACAATCTCTTATTAAACTGGTTCTAATTTGGGAAGTCTAGGTATTTTGGTTCTGGACCAGCAGCTGGTCATACATGGTGTAAACAGACATAAACAAAAGCAGTGAAATTGCTTTTTGTTCGTTTTAACAAGTAAAAAGAGTGTTTCATAAAGCTCAAACTGTGTCTATTAGCTTTTTACACTCTGAGATTGACAATTCTGTGTTTAGTAGTTTTGGATGGGGACCTTGTTTCCATTATCTTCCCTGTAACAGCTGTGAGTAAGATGTTGTCTTTAGCGTCCTCTTGACATTTAAGTTTGGCTTTCAGACATAAATTCTGAATCAAACCGTGTCTGTCTCTACAGTGTAACTGTAAATGTGTTTTAGGTGGTACATCAGGATTAATTTGATAAATAGAGATATACATGAAGTGATGACATGAAACTATGGGCATAATTAATCTGCTTATGCTGATAAAATGTCACTTAATATCCATGTAAGTCTTCATGTAGCCTACACAGGTTAGTTTAGACAAAGAACTGCCTCAAGACTGAGAAAGTGACAGAGAACATAACGACAAGAAAAATAAACAATTACTCATTTGTAAAAGGTTTCGGGTTAAACTCGGGTTACTATGGCTCTCTGGAGTCACCCGACCTTCCCAAACCCACATCACTAAGCACATGACAGTAAGTGTGTGTATGTGTTTGTTAGGGCTAGATCAACAAATATCAAACATGACATGCTGATCTTCACATAGATTCCACTTCCCCCCATCCCGTCTGCTGCACAGACTCATGACATGCCCATTACTTCAATTTACAATTCTTGTAGGTTAAGAACACCACTGGAGCAACATGATAAAACAGCAGCTGCATAAGATTTAAAATGAAAAGGTCTTGATATACAGAAGAGGTTAGGGTTAACCTAACAGCCTGTTATCAATCTGAAAGGTCTGGCAACTTATGTTTTTATTATTGTTCACTAAAAACACAAGATTATCGACTTAATCGAGATGAAGTATAGCTCTTATTTTACTCGAGATATTACCTGCTGATGTTGCCCTCGTAACCCAAGTGCCTCCTCTGCTGTCTCATTTGTGAGCCTGCAGATTTGTTGTTGATGAATAAGATGGCTGCTTCTTAAAACGCTGACACACAGCCCCATTTTTGTCTTTTATTTTGCTGTCTATGGTGGTAGGACCAAAAATACTTCAACAAGGTGGTTCTCAGATGTTTTGGTGTCTTGATTGTAAGCTCCTGGTGGCTTTGATTGCAGCAAACATCCTCAGTTTATTTGGAAATCTATCACTGTACTAATTTACTGAAGTCAAGGGTGTCATGCAATGGTCAGGTAACGATGGGAGTGCCCTCTACTAGATCAAACAACAAGCTACTTCAGAGAGCCTGATGTTTTGATAAACTGTACATTTTTAATTCAAATGACTTGAATATGAACACCCGCTAAAAAATAAAAATAAAAAATGGACAAAAACTCAAATTTAGGATAGAAAGTGATAGCCCTAATCTGTGTGCGAGTTTGAGCTACAGTCTGCAGGTTTCAGTGTTTTACACAGTAAAACCCTCAGTCAGACAGAGCAAACATCAGCTCAGTGAGACTGCAGTGGAATAAAAACAGTCTGATTCTCCTCTGATGACAGACTTACTGACTTTTAAACACTCTCAGGAAACACCTGCGAGACAGGTCACCAAAATACATTCAGTGATTCTTAAAATATAATACTCTCTTTTTTTATGTTGTCTGCAGAAATATGACCATAACTACCACAGCCACAGCTAAGTGTTTTTTTACTCTTTCTTTCTCTGTGATGTGTAAGGATGTAAAACATTCAGAGGAACATACTGACAGTCTTTAGCTGCTGCCTCATTTCCTGCTCACGCACACATGCATGCACACGCACGCACACGCACACACACACAGACTGAGCCCAGGTGTTTTATGTTATACGGTAATAAAGTTTTACAGTTGTAAAGATCATGCAGACAGAGAGAAATGGAGGTGTTCTCTCTGCTCTCAGGTTGATTCAGTGAGGAGTAGGAGGGAAAGAGTAAGTGGAAAGTGCTCTGACAATACATATCAAGCCTCTCATAATTTCACAGAAGACAAACTAAAATGGGCCTTTAGTTTGTTACCCTGTCATTAAGTCTAAATCTAGAAATGAAACCTGGTGTCACTGGGGTAGCTGATGTCCACTGTAGTAAAAAGTGCAGGGTGTCAGATAAACCCTGCAAAGCTCCAACATGCAGACGACAGTGGCAGTTATTGCTAACCACGTGACTGTTTCTATGCAGATATTTACCTGTTATGTGGAAAATAGCTGTCTGAAATTTAATCACTAATTGGATTATCTGTTATTGGTATTTGTTGGTTTTTATGTAATACTTTTCAAAGTGAATCCTGTCAGCCTCTTTAAAGTGTTTTATACAAACGCTCACTTTTGATCTCTGTTTTTGCTCTTTTACTTTAGTGACTGTTTTAAATCGATAAACGAGACTTGTTTTTCTTCAATTAGTTGTTATGGGTAATGGCAAAATCCTAAAATGTTCTGAGATTTTTTTGTCAGTATTGTACTCACTTAGGTCAGTCTGTGGTCAGTTGAATTAGGAGGTCAGTGTGTTTCTGACAGGTTGATGGTGATAATAATGAAGCTGCAGACATTCTGAATCATACAGCCATGATGGTAAAAACAGTGTGTACTTGTCTGACTGGAGACTGGTTGGCTTTCGTTGGATGTGTATCACAGTACAAAGACAGATGTGTGTCTTTCTCAGTTTATAACAGACCTGAAGCAGCTGGTCCTGCTGGAACTGCTGCTCAGTCAGGAAACACAGAGCCTTCAGTTTTCTTGTTTCCCACAGGTTTCTGTCTCTGATTGACTTCATACACAGTCCAGCAGTGAGAGACAGACTCCTCAGCTTCAGTTTAGACCATCGTGGTCTCTGTTAGGTGGCTGTCTCTTGCACAGAAAAAGGAAAATTTCAACAGCCTCAGCTTATTTCAATATTTTATCATTCTCTTGATGTTTAATATTCTGTTTCACTCCGCACTAATTTAACACCCAACAAACAGTTTATCAGAGAACTCATCTAATCTCCATGTGTGAGAGTGGTTCAGGTCTTTTACCCTCAAATTTATGTAATTCTGGATGTCATGGTAACAGAGATGATGGGTTTTAATGTGTCTGACAGTTCGAAAGAGATTCCCCTCCTCATTATGTAACCTTTTATTAAACAGAGTCAAGCTGTCGGCACTGTGTCTCCCATCCTCTCTCACTAGGCTCTCTCTGTTGTGAGTATAACACGCCTCCACGTTGACCAGGTTTAAAGACAGAGGTTTTCGGTTTTATGTGGGGCCTTTCCAAAACCGACCCCTACAGTCTCTCTTTACACACTTACCCTCCTTTTGCAGTTTGTGTAGAGGGTCTACCACAATGAGTGTTGCCAAAACCCCTTGATTGGGAGTAAGAGTAGGCTTTCAAGAGCATATCTTCACCAAAGCTGGATTACTTACTGGGTGTAACACCATTCATCGTTCATCAGGATATGCCATGAATTAAAGTTGTAACCATGGGAATCAATAAACTGTACACAAAAAACTTGGTACAAAAACACAGCTTTGGTCTAAAAAAGCTTAATTTCTCTTCACACTCCCTATGAGGAATGAATTCTTTTTTATTATTCATAAGTTTTGAAGAAATTAAAGTTATGAGTTTGACAAATTCAGGGCGCTGACTTTGATTGACAGGCAGGCAGACTGTATCAGTTAGTGATTGGTCATCCTATCTGCAAAACTCTGATGCTTTGTCTTTTTTTATACAGTCTCTGGTTGTAACCTGAACAGATGGAAATAGCTTTTATCAAGAGAAAAATAATTCAATTATGATAATGTAAAAAATCTAAATGTTTTGAAAGTAAAAAGGAGGATCTATTTAACCCCATTACAGTCTTGAAAACTATGATGTTATTATTGAACATACTATATCAAGCAGATTAATGACTTTAGATTGAAAACAACTAGGTGTCATGCTTACATTTTAGAGGGATTATGTGTCTGCTAAATGGTTACTTATTGAAAATGAGCATAGTGAGCGAGAGGTTATGCATATTAAAATCCTGACAAGGTGAGCAAGATCCTGACACACTGGGTCTGTTGCTCTTAAAAAAACAGCTATATTGCAACAAGACACAAGACTGGGTTCCCAAGAAATACACAAGATATGATTTTGACACTTTTTTAGTTTCACTGTTGCTGAACATCTGGAATTTATACTTTGATTTAAATGAAAGTCACAAAATCAAGAAAAACAACAACTGGCTGATAAGTGTTGCCATGGAAACATTTAGGGAGCATCAAGTGCACTGTGTCACTCTGATTCACAGGAAGTGATTGAGTCACCTCCTGCCTCACATAAGCCAATCAGATCATCAGAACTGGGTCTGGTTCTCACTAACAGGATGACTATCATCACAACAACAACAGCAGTCTAATCTTCGTGTTTGTGTGTTCAGATGAGCTGACCCGTAGATGACAGATTTCTCCTTAGGTGCTCCTGGCATTGAAGGTCACCTGTCCCCTGACAGGTAATCTGATAACCAATGACCTGATCCCTCCTGTGTGTTTACACCTGGGATTATGATGAGTCAATTTGATCCTCACTAACCCGAAGGGTGTTATATGAAGCAGGACTTTAGGTAATAGACCAAACTTCAGGGTTCAAATCAGTACTAGGGAGATGGTTCACTTCTTAGGCAGGGATAGATCACTATGGTTACTGATGCTGAACACCTGACCAGCTCTGGAGCAGGTCTGGGATTAATTTGCAGAAATAAAATGTGCATCAATCAGATTTTAGATCACAGCTGATTGAGAGAGGAGCAGAGAGATCAAATATACGCTTTGGCTGACTATATGATTATTCATAAGGACAATATTATTTAATGTCATTGATTGTGTTTTGGCATACAGTGCAAGTGTCATTTCATTTTCCACTGGATGACCCAGCCCCTCCAAAGTGGTGCAGTACTTTCATGATTTATACAGAGCGCATTTGTTAGATAGTAAGGTAGACAAAAGAGTTTATTAGATGGATTCTTGTGCCTTTCACCCATAGGGAGACATCATGAAATATCACTGTTTTTGCTTTTTTAGTCAGACTTACTGCTGTTAGTGTAGGACTGATACAGGATACATGTCAGAAAACGAGGGCACTGTTACTGCTATGCCCTCACAACTGTGGCTCTGCAGCCTGAAAACAGTCCTGAGACATCACCAGATTTCATTTTGCACATTCTCCTGAAGTTGTGTGCTGCTTGAATGGGAAAAATTAGTATGGTATATTCTGATTCACTCTAAACTCTATACCATCGACTGTGTGTTTTAGGTCATTCAAACAGGGGTGAAGTGTTGGAGTATCTACAAACTGTTTCCAACTTTAATCCTCTGATTGTCAGCAGATACAGAAACTTGACAGTCAGTCTGTGTGTTCGGGGAATTTACAAGAAAAAAACAAGTTTGTCATTAGTTTTATTGACAGTGCTTTTATTCAACACACAGCAAACAGAAATGTGATGTGATGTCATGTGATGTAGAATCTAATGAATCTATGATTTGTACTCCTATTGAAATTATAAGTGTGTGTGTGAGTGTGTGTGAAGGATGCACATGCCCACAAGTGTTTTTGTACTGCTTTTCCTTGCACCCTCATAATATGCTGAGCAGTCATATGTAATAAAACACACATTCACACACATTTACACACACACACACACACACACACACACACACACACACACACACACTCTCTCTCTCTCTCTCTCCTACTCTGTTTCTGTCTCTCTCTCTGTCCCTCTCTCTCTCTCTCTCTCTCTCTCTCTCTCTCTCTCTCTCTCTCTCTCTCAGTCGTCCTGACGTCAGTTGGCTGTGTTCAAGGAGCAGATTTCAGCAACAGCAGGGAGTCTGTGTCAGTCTATTCATCAGATCCTGCACATACACAACAACACCTGACCTACATCTCTCACACACACAGAAACTAACACACTGCAGTTATTGTTGTGTTTAGTAGTGTTGTTGTCTGCAGTCAGCTCTGTAAGCTATAAGATGTGTTAAATATTGAGCTTAAATGACGTCTGTGCAGCTCTCACACTCTTCACACTTTGATTAGTTAGACTGTAAAAGACACTCCGGGACATTTGTGTGTTTGGGAATCTGACAGCATGATTAGTATCAAGCTTTCTTGACAAAATTATTGGTTTTATTTAACCAGAAAAAAAACTCTAAGATTAAAAACCTAGGGCTCTATTTTCGTTCGTGCCGGTGAGGCGGCGGAGGGCGGCGAGCCCCGCGCAGTTGTATTTTCGTCTGGCGGAGCCCGGCGTAAGGCGAGTTTGGTATTTTCGTGGACTGAGTCGCACGGAGGCGAGCCGAGATCCGCCAAGCTGGGCGTGGTGGCATGGCAGGGGGAGGTGTTGACAGAATCAGCTGGCGCAGTGACATTTTCGTGCTCGCCACTGGCGTGTAACGTGCGCTGAAAGCTCGCCGATTCAAACCTGGTCAGCTTTCAGCGCAAGGCGGAACGCAGCTGGTCCAGTAGTATTTTGGTAGACCGGCGGCGTATCGACATACGTCACTGATGCCTCACCGGCAGGTTTCCACAGTGTCAGGCACATTTCAGAGCAATAAATAATCATCATCAACTATTAATCTGAGTCAGCACATACATTTAGATCTATATCGATATATTCTGATCTATATCTGATCTGATGAGCGCGTTTGGCACGCGTTTGGACACACAACCTGACCGAATCAATACAGCTGAAACTGCATCAAATTAAATTAAATATCTAGTAAATAAACACACATGATGAAGTTAACAAGATATGTAATTCGTCTCCCTCCTTTTCTTTCTTCCTCTTATTTCTCGCACAGCTCGACCTGGACACGTCTCCGTGTCCTCTGTCCGTCTTCCTGCTGCTGCTGCGGCTGAACAGATGATTTGTTTCAGTGCTCAGATGCGTTATCTACTTTAAGCCGACATACGGATATTATAATATTCAGTTTTGTGAGCCAAATTTATTTTATATGCCAACATCTATGAAAGAAAGAGCCAGGCCACGGAGCGCGATGCGTCATTTACGCACAGATGGTTCCGATTTTAATGCCTTTTTGGAGTTTATGTTGTGATCTGTGCGCTCAACCCACCTTTGTCACGTGAGGTTTGAATATATGCAACTTTATGTGAGTGTCTTTATTTGTGGAAAAGGGTGTTTGTCTTACCAGTGGGTCCAACATTACGCACACCAAATCCATCTGTGCTCAGATGAGAGAGTGTGGAGGACACTTGTTGAGCAGCTGCCCTCTGTCGCCATCGTGTGGCATAACCGTCTTCAGACATCTCTTGATCTCTTTGACTACTTCATGAAAATAGTAATACGCCTCGCCTGTGGCGGATTTAAAGGCGAGGAGAGGAGCTAATGTGATTGGTGAAAACAGGTCTCGGCTGTGTTAAACCCCCATACGCCCTCTCTCCTCCCCTTCTATGATTTATGCTGCCGGGAGGAGCTGAGTTAGGGAGGGGGGATACTTACGCCGGGCTGCGCGGCTCACCAAAATACCAAAATGTGCTTGGGAACGCCTTGTCAGCGCGGCGGATCTGATTGACTCTGCGCTTGCGGCACGTCTCCGGCGAGGCACCAAAATAGAGCCCCTAGTCTTCAAGAGTATTGTGGCCATGATTTGGAGCAGTATGTTCCAAAAATTTACAGACATAGGAAACATACAACAATTACAGAAGACTTCTCCATCATCATACAGCAGAATGCCATCATTCAAAGCATCCAAAGGCTGACGCATCTTCCCCCGGTGCCTTCAGTCTGTCTTTAAAACATTCAGAGGGACCAGCTTGCTCTGGCTCAAGTGCTCTTGCTGGAGCAGTGTACCTAAAACTCTTTCTCCCAATTTCAACATACACACTAGTGACCAAAACCAAATATAAGTCATGTACCTGATTCACAAAGCAAGTTGACAATCACTTTATAAATTATGGACATGGGAGTGATTTAGCATATAGACAAATTAGGCCAGCCAATAAACCTCAGAGCTCTATGGTAAATAGTATTTAGAGAGTGAAGGCTTTCAGGTAATGCATGCATACATAAAACATCACAAAAGTCAATCGGGGCGCAAAAATACTCTTTTGTTTGCAGCAAAAGAAAAACATGACATATTCCTGAAAATAGAGGTCCAGCCACGGCTTCAGTTTCTTTACAACTTGCTGTATACGAAGTCTAAATGACAGAGTTAGCAATTATAAATCCTTTAGACGTAGTAATTGATGCTAGGTTCAGCAGCTTTAACTTTGAGTTTGTGAACATCATTTTTTTTTCATCAGGATTCAAGATCGACTTCAACTAATTAAAGATGTGCTGCACTGTATCAGAAGCATCATGCAAATAGCTCAGAGCCTGATACTGCATTAGAGTGGAGCAGTTAATGACTGTATCATCTGCATATAAACGTAAATTGCAATAGGAACTTTTTGACTAATAATGTTATTATGGACTGTAAATAGCAGTGGTGTCGAGACAGGGCCCTGAGGCACACCTGTTACTATTTCAAGAGGTCCAGTGGTGAGTCCTTTAGCCTGCAGACAGTGTGATCTGTTTGGTCCTGATGGGGACACTAAGATGGAGAACATGGTGAGCAAAAAGAGTTTGTGTGTATGTGTGTTTGCGTTTAATGAAGTGGGTAGGATGGCTGTGGTTGCTGTAGCGACCCTGGTAGACTCACCTGTGGTTCTCTGTGTGTCTGCGTGTGTGTGATGAATAATTGAGGTGGGTCAGACGGGGCAGGTCGTCCCAGGAGGAGGGATCATGTTCCCATGAGTCACCTGTGCTGCCTGCTGCTGCACTGAACCCTCGGATAGTGATGCATCAGCATTCAATAATTTACATTTGAAAGGGTTTAAAGTAGTTTGTGGGTATGAATGATGTGGAGGAAAGACTGTTGAGACAATTCGTTGGTGTAGCTTCTTATAAAGAAGAATAGGTCTGATCAGTGGGAGAGTGTGACTGAAGCCCTTGCTGTTAAGAAAGATAACAGGACATAGCAGACCTCTATCCCACGTCTTTCCTCAAACACTGTTTTTTTGAGCTGAACAAATGTGAAGCTTTTCCTCTCACGTGCTCTGCTGGTTTTCTGTCCTGGCAGGAAGTGAACTGCACTCACTCAGTGTCACTGACTGTAAAATAGTCACTGATAAGGGGAGGGGGACCTTTTGGTGCATCCGAATGAGTTAACCAGGTCTGCTTTAGTTTTTTCTTAAGTTTAAACTTAACCTTGTCCTCTAAAATAAAGAGCCCACACATATCTCAGAGATGTACTGATGTGGCAGGGTGATAAATCATACAAAACTAATTTCAGAAACATTTCTGCTGTGTGTGACAGGAATTTGAGGCACAAGAGACTTAAAACTACTATGAGGAACTCTTTGGCTCATTTTTGGCACCCCCTGTGGACACAGTAGTTTTAGCTTATCTTGTCTTCTGCATGTTTCAGTAGTGAATTTTGACAAATAAACTCAACTTCCTGACTTTTGACAGTCAAAGTAGGTCAACTCAGTTATGGCAAAATCATAATCAAGTTTATTTTGAACCTCAAATGGTTACTAAGGTTACTGGAGAATGTATTCAGTGTGTGCATGCACAGTATATAAACAAATAACCAAGTGTTTCTCTGTGTCTCTCCCAGTCAGTTTTAAAACCTTATGTAAGAGTCTTAGACTTACAAACCTGCTGCACTGAAAACCATCACTCTGAGGTTTTATGAGTCTGATTACTGTTGTGAGCGCTGTAGTGTGTGTGCTCTGTGACTGTTGCTGAAGTTGAATTCAGTAAATCGAGGTCAGTGTGTTTCTGTTTTATCCGACAGCTTGTGAAGTTTGTATTCAGAGGACAGCATAGTACTCTGATATTAAAGCTTTTATACTCATATATGTATGTATTTACAGGCGGTATAGGCCTCTCTTCAGATTCAATAAATTCTTTTCAACAACAGAAATTGTTGTCTGCAGCTCAGCAACTACAGTGATGCACGTGTAACCAGAGGCGACCCTATCAGCTGTTCTGCCTCAAACATCAACATCAGCACGCCATGGGCATGTTGCCATGCCAACAAGGCTCCTTGAGCTTGTCTCATCCATAATAGAGTGATTTATGTCTCACAGGATGCCCTTTTGAATGAGGCTGCAGGATAATTACCTTGCCATCTTCTCCTCAGGTAGAGGCCCAGCTTGCAGTGGAATTAGTCTGAGGACACCAGAGAAGTAGTCTCAGCAGGTAGAAGCCTTTGAGATTGTACAACCATCGGGAACATAGACTCTGAAATGAGGGGACCAAGGACATGAAGTCTCACATGTTTGTCCTGGGATGTATATGTTGGAAAAGTAAATGTAGCTGTTGTTTCTTCTGAGGAACTGTTGCTATCTTGGGGATGGTAATGTTAGATGGTAGAAAGGTTGCGTAAGGATGCAAAACTGGAAAGGTGGTCTAAGGACATTGATACGAGAGAGTTGGTCTGAGGGGGGATGGTCTGAGGACACAGATGTTAATCAAGTGGTCTGAAGATACGAGGTCGTAAAAGTTGGTTGTGGTATGTAAATGTTGGAAAGTGGATGTGGAGGCAGTATATGGTCTTGAGACAGGTACTCTGGTGGTTTAGAGGTTTTGTGGGTATGTGAGACTTGACAGAGATGGTCTGAGGTCACGGATGCTGGAGAGATGATCTGTTGATGGGGATAATGCGGGGGGCAGTCTGAGGACACAGATGCTGATGAAATGGACTGAAAGAGTTGGTCTTCAGCAGTGGGTGTTAAAGTTGTATACTAATCCTAATCCTACAGTGCTAGTCAAAGGACATGGATGCTGGAGTTGGTCTGTGGACATAAAGATTGGGGAGGTGCTCTGAGGATATGGATGCTGGTGAGGTGGTTTGAGGATGGTGATGCTGGAGAACTCATGGAAGGACACGGATGATGAAAGACTGTAAGAGGATGCAAAACCAAAGAGGTAATCTGAGGACATGGATGTTGATCTAAACTCATGCCTAGAGGAACACTGAAAATGTGGGCTCTGGAGCTGCCCTGAGGACGTGGATATTCATGATAGTAGTTAATGAACAGGGAAGACTTAAAAGGTATTTTGAGGACACAGATGACTCAGAAGAGATCAGAGAATGTTGGAAGTGGAGATAGATCGGAGAGAATTGAAACTACAAGGTATTCAGAGTACAATGAAAAGCTGCCCAAGGACATGGATGTTGGAGGTGCTCTAGGGACATATGAGGGGCAATAAAAGAGAGCTTGGATGTGGGCGACATTGTATAAAGTTGAACAGGAGGCAGTTTATTTATGATACATATGATTGGGTTGGTGGAAGGAGATTCCTATCAGAAAGGTGGTCTAAGGACATGGATCCAGGAGGGGAAGGTCTGAGGACACTGATGTCGTAGAGGTGATATAAGGATGAGGCTTGTGGAAATGTTATCTGAGAATATGGGTGGTCATTAATAGGTGGTCTCAGTATGGGTGAACGGGAGATCTGGCCCAGGAACAATGAAACTGGAGAGGTGGTTTAAGGATGCAGCTTGTGGGGGTGGTCTGAGAACATTAAAAGTAGATATGTGGTGCAAGAACACAGATGTTGGAGGAGTCATTCAAGGACAAGGGTGTCAAGTGGATGGAGAGTATGAACATTTGAGAGATGACCTGATGACATGGGACTTAGTTTGATGACAAAGATGATGAAGACGTGGTCCAAGGATGAGAAAACCCCTGAATGACTGCTGACCTGAGAGGTGGTCTGTTTTTATGTTGTAGACACAAGAGTTGAGTAGACTAAAACGACTAGCTGTCCAGCTGTGTGATCAAAAAAATGCTTTAAAATTTGGAAACATGCTGATCAATTCCTACTAAACATTGCAGAACACGATAGAAACCAAACTTAAGCAGCAGATCAAATGAGCCGAAAAGTCACTGCAAATTTGTGATAAACAAATTTTACACACTGTCTTATAATGATACCAATCTTTGTCTCCCAACCCTGACTAAAGTCTCATTATGCCAAAATGATCAATCCCACTGAAAGAAATCATATCCCCATCAAAACATCAATCTGAATAACTGCCCTGTATCTTATTTTTCCTTGTCTTCTACATTTTATCCCCATTAAATGTGAAGCTACATGTGAAATGATTAGTTTAGCTTGGCATAAAGACTGGAAGCAGCTGGCTTGCTAAAACCCCAAATTCTTTATCTCAGCAGGTGAATAACTGAGAGTGTGTTTCTGTTGGTTTTAACCTTTAGTCGGAGCAGCCTTGCGGTCTCCCTCTGTGTTTTGAATGTGTGCTAAGATAAGTTAACAGGCTGCCAGTTTTAGCTTTAAATTCAATAAACATATGAAATGAGACTGCTTTTCTTGCTTGACCAAAATGTCAGCCTTTTTGTCTAAATCATTCATCACAAAGTCCAAAGAGTCCATCCTACAGTCCAATTTAAGTCTGACGAAATAAAAACTCACTGTAAACATAGAGTCAGCGCAGACTGACAGGGAAAATAGATTTGTGTTTCTATTTCTCAAGCAATAATAAAAAAGACTGTTTCATATGATGTAAATGAGCTCATGTTATCAGACCTGCTGAGCTGCCAGGACTGATCTATTGTTGTAAACGTCTTTGACCTTTGACCCCTTGATCCCTGTCTGACCGTATGATATGATGACTGTGATCTTGCAAAGACATTTCTCTGATGGATCAGTGACTCATGACAGAAAATAAAACCATTCAGTGTGTGGATAGCATTTCTCAGAAGAGCTCTGGCTAAGAGTCAGTCTGTTAAATGATCTCAGTTCATACAGAGTAACTTCAGCAATATGATCTCTTGACTTATTTTGATACGGACCAAGAACTAACAGATGAGATCTGCGGGTTCCACTTGGTTGGTTGTGTACACTTTGGTTGAGTTTGGTCAGGTCAAATCAGTTGAGGGCTGAGTCCGTAATATTTATGTCATAAGTGTGAGAACTATAACAATGAAGCACTTCAAAAACACTTTCCACAGCAAAAGCATGATCTGTTCTTTCTGTGCAGAGGCTTCCCGTTATTTTCATATAATACTTTTATTTTGAAATAGTGTCAAAGACAGATATTTGGTGAAAGAAGTACCTTAGACAGCTCTCGATTATTTTAGTAATCGAGTACTCTATCGATTAATCTGTCGATTAATCGAGTAATCGGATAAGAAATGTTTTGCTCTCACTGTAATACTTTGCATTGAATCACGTTTGCCTCATTAAAAACCATCAGTAACACACAAAACTGAAATAGGCCAGGTCTTTCAAATGAATGTTTTTACTGCATAAATCAGGAACCAAAAGTTTTACATTTTACCATGTAGTTCACATGAAACTACTGAAGGCAAGGTCTGCAGATGGTCTTTTAATTGCTATGGTAATGATCTTTGCAGTTTTCACTAAACCAGTCACAACTATTTCCAGGCTTTGGATCTAATTTTACTTGTTTAATTAATAGGCTGAAATAATATAATTCTTGGATACTAACATAATTTGACAAGCAAATGTACATTTATTCAATATATAAAAGTGTTACAATTTTATTTACATGTTGTTGTGTGTTGGTCATTTTGCAGCCCTCTGCTGCTCATCACACGCCTAGCAGGTGGTGGATAGCATTATCACCATGGATACACGGATGTTTGTGTGATTTTTTTCATCCACTGCCGCCCGGTTTGTGTCGTGTAGATGTTGATTATGAAAACACTTCGCAATAATTTGGAAACGTGAAGGGGGAGCTGCTGCTGCCCGGTGTTTACGGTAAATAGACGCAAACACCGACCAAGTGGACGCTTCGGTCTCCGAAAACGCCGAGACAAATTTACAAACAGCCACTATTTCAAACAACTGGGCTCATAATCGTGATGTAAACACTTACTTTCTCGCTAGAAAAAATATTATTATTGAATGAATTTATATTATTTGTCCGGTATGCAGTCGTTCTATGTAGCTTGTGGTAGGACTATTTAAATTTTCCCGGCGCTGCGTCCGGCCGGCACGAAATGCATTCTGGGGTATTTAGTATGTATGTGTGTAAACGCTCGGGCAGCCGCGGCATACTCAAATCATCTTTGAGTAGTCAGTAGGCAGTAGCTACTGCTTGAGTAGGTAAGTAGATAGCAGGCAGTATGCCATTTCGGACACAGCTTCTGTCTGTCCTCGTTTCCCTCCATGATTGAACCAAACGCGCGGCAGCGGAAGGAGCGGAAAGAGCACGCTTCTGCGCAACAGAAATAACCGTCCGTGTCAAACACCGTGCGCTGCACATGGTTCCGGATTTAAACGATTCCTCGAGGCATATAATTTGCCTCGAGGAATTTTATTAATCGAGTTACTCGAGTTACTCGAGTAATCGTTTCAGCCCTAGAAAGAAGTACCTTAGACAGCTCTGAATTTAAGAATATAGTGAACTTACATTGGAAAAAGTAACAATGAATCCAGTTGTTTCTGGGTAAGCTATGTTGATTAATAACATTAAAATACATGAAATACTCCTCTTTTGAGATTTCCCTCCCCCTTTTCATCCATCTCTGTGCCCCTCTCATGACAGACTTGATTTAAGTCTTTTCTGCAGATCTCTCTGAGTTTTAGATAATCCTGAGCAAATATACACACCATGTTGTAAGATGTGAGTGTATCTTGGTGTGTTCTTTGTCAGATCAGGCAGACCTCAGAGTGTTTTGGGACTTTTTGCTGTTTGGTTTAATCTGCAGAGCCACGTCTTCACATGGCTCTGTGTCACCAACATGTTTTTACCAGGGAAGGAAGAGGGTTTCCCCGGGTTCAGTGGTTACAGGACAGATGTGGATGGCGTGGATGTGGGAGAGGACAAAGATGATTACAGGACAGGAACAGAGACATTAAACAGCATCAGTAAACATGAGTAAATAAACATCATGGTGAAAATAAACATCAGGGTTTCATGTTAGAGCAGAGCTGTGGGAACATGAGGAGTCTCAGTGTGTGTGATATCTACAGGAGCAAAGTTCATGAAGCTTTATGATGAGCTTTATGGATTAAACCTGCATGATATGCAAAAACATACAAGGTGTGACTTGATTGTTCAGTATGATTATAACAGTATGAATACTGCTTTTGTTATTGTCCTTCATAATTTTGCTAGTATTCACTAGATACCACAGTTTGGTTCACATGCTCCCGCCTCCCCTTACTGACACATGCAAACCACACAGGGGCTGGACTCGAGTTTTCACAGGCATCTTTCCTGTGTGTGGATTTTGAAGCAGAGGAAGAAATGTACAGGAATATTGGGACACAACCATGTTATTTAAAATCTCTTATTGCGAGGTTTACAGCTGCAACCCCTAATCTAATGTCTACTATCTAATAACTGCATGCTAAATTATACAGCTTCATAAACTTTTATAAAAGTCCACTAACAAAGGTTTGTTCTTTCTGTTATTGCTTTTTCCTTGAAGTGCACAGTCTTAATCATTGTTGAACGGACTGTTTATTTTCCCTCCTGTGAATATAAAGACGCTGTTAGCAAATTAGCATCACCTGTTATACATCAACCTGTAAACAGGCCAGTAAAACGTGTTGCATTGCATGCTGTATCCTTATGTTTTTCCTCCCTCTCTCTCTTTGCCCAGGCATGGTTGCAGAGGTACGGTTACCTACCATCTGCAGACCCCAGGATGTCGGTGTTGCGTTCAGCTCAAGTCATGCAGAATGCTATCGCTGCCATGCAGCGCCGCTACGGCCTCAATGTCACCGGAGCTCTGGACAGCAACACCATCGAGTGAGTATACGTAATCCCACACCTCATCCTATACCTGATCCCACACCTGATCCTAATATCACTTAAAGATGATGAAAGATAGTAGGATAGGACTACACAGCCTCGGCACCCTCTAAACCTGTGCAAATGATCCAAAAAGACATCATATAAAGGGTTAAATGCACCACAAGTGTCGGCTATAAAGGGAATAGCCTCTCTGTGCATCAGTGCTGTTTACATACATTTGTATGAGCTAGTATGCATTTATTTGGAGCACAATATGCAAAACTCATGCAAACGGGTCCGCATTGTCAAAAATATCTCTTTCACAAACATTGGCACTGACAGTTTGGAGTGCAGTTTTGTACAGTCTGCTGAGAGCTGGTGGTAACTGCTGCAGTGTAATAAGCATAGTCATGACAACAATTCAACCTCTGGATGACCTGAAAATAAAATATCTATACATAGAGTCTTTAATGTTACCAAGTTTGTTTGACACCCGTTCACTACCTGTCTGTCACCTATGTGTGTGTGTGTGTGTGTGTGTGTTTGTGTGTGTGTGTGTGTGTGTGTGTGGTAGTACTGTTGACTAACACCTACCTAACTTTGTTTCCTCTGCTGCTTTGATGATGCAGTGACAACACGATAAGGTGAGACACCTGTCTTTCTGTCTGTGAGTGAGTGATGTTAAACTGTACATCAGTCTGCTGTGATGTGTGTAGATAACTGGTGTGAAGTCAGCATGTTTTGCATTTTATATATCTGATTATTCTCCTGACAGCATTAAGCAAAACACTGAAGAATTGATTTGAAAAACTGAGACTGGAGTCAAAAGGCTAATGAAATAATTTAGTGAAAAAAAGAAAAAGCCAATCAAACAAATATTCCCCTTATTTACTGTGTTTCTTTCTGGGAAGATATCATAACCATTCCCATAATTGTTTGCAAAGAATTAGCCTTCAGATAATCTGCTTCCAATTAGCACAGAACAATAATGAGTCCACAGTGTCCTTTTTGAGGTTGTTTCACAGCTCAACCAAAAAACTTCTATGAAAATATGTACTTGCACCCTCAGCCCAAGCGCACAAATCAAACACAAAAGTTCTTTTTGTCTCCGGTCATACAAACACACTTTTTATCCAATCAGTCAGTGGACTTTTGCTTTTAAGTGTGTCATGTGGCAAATACCAGTGAAGTGTGTCTATTCATAAAGAGCTTCATTTCATCACCCCTTCATCACACATCACTTTTAACAATAGGATAAAGAGTGCAGCATTTACCTGCTCCCTCTTTTTCTCACAGGTGGATGAAGAGGCCCAGGTGTGGTGTTCCTGACTTGATAGGAGGGGCATCCCGGTTCAGTGTGAGGAAACGACGGTACGCCCTCACTGGACAGAAGTGGCAGCACAAACACATCACATACAGGTGAGTCAGTCTGTGTGAGGTCTGTTTTGTTAGTATAATAATCCAGCAGTCCTTTTACAACCACTCAAACTTATCAAGCACATGTTAATGCTCTGAGATTGTTCTGGTCTTGTTTCATTTTAGACACAATTTAACCCTAACCCTAACCAACAACAACTTTACACAATTTCAGTCCAGAGTTTAGTTCTACTTATTAATTTTGGTTCCTATCAATTCTAGATGCAGATTGAATTATATTTGGAAAAATTTCAGGAACAAACATTAGCCTCTATCTAACCATTCATCCATCTTCTATTGCTTATTCAGAATCGGGTTGCAGGGGCAGCAGCCTAAGCATGAAAGCCCAGACTTCTCTCTCCTAGCCACTTCGTCCAGCTCTTAAAAAGGGGACTAGTATGCTGGTATGCTGCAGAGTCATGTCAGCCACAACAGCCCAACAACATCCAGGGCCTTGAGGAACTCTGGGTGGATCATCAAACTGTGGCCCTTGGTGCCAGGTGCACATGTGGACACCCTTATAAACAACTATATAAAAAGTTGTTTTCGTCTTCCCTGCAGTCGGACCTGATAATTCCTGATTTCAGATTTTTTTTAATTCAGCATCTCAAAGTAGTTATTTTAGCAATCTTTCAGTCTGTCAATCATCATTAAGTTACTGTAAAATGACATCAGTCACATTCACATTTGTTTCTGTTAAATCACAGAGACAGAGGAAACAGCACATAGAATCAGACAATTTGCACAGAGTAACTGCACTGAGACACAGCTCAGAGAAACAGACAAACTTCACAGAGAAACAGTACAGAAAGAGGGAGAGAAACTGCACAGGGAAAAAAAAAACAGACAAGACAGAGAAACTGCACACAGAAACAGAGAAATGGTACAGACAAACTGCACAGAGAGACTCAAGTCAGACAGAAACTGCACAAAGAAACAAAGAAATTGCACAGAAAAACTGCACAGTGATTAGAATTTGTACAGAGAAACTGAGATACTACACAGAGAAACTGCTCACAGAGACAGAAACAGCATGCTGAGGCATCAGTTGAACACATTTAATTACAAGAAGTAGCCCAGATGTAATTACATTGTCAGAGCTGTAACATACAGTGCGCTTTATGTTTGTTAGGTTCATGGACTGATGCAGATTGCTTCTTATAAAAAAAAAACATGCAGCATTTTTATTAAGATGAATGTTTTTTTTACTTGCTGCACAGATCTCCCGTCTTGGTTTTATTATTCCATAGCACACTCCTTGCTGCATGATTTATAAATCATAGGACAGGGGTTAGTATAATTATCTATGTTTCTGAAGTCAGTAGCTCGTATTCAGTCATGCATTTCACACACATCAAAGTGATGCTCCTCCTGCTCTATGTTTTAGGTTTAATCCTGCAGGGCTGGACTGGATAGATTCCTGCTTTGTTTTTGGACAAACGAATGATCTGAACAAACAATGAGTTTCATCTAAAAGCCTCTCTGACCTGCAGCAGCACAGAACAGTACACATCACGGAGGAGGACTCCAGCTTCTCTTAGTAACATATACAGTCAGAGTTATTTCACTGAGGGGGAGTGGAGTGTTTTTCTTTGTAACATACAAAGCTGGAAGTGAATGAGGGTTCAGTTTAATGAGTGCTTGGTTCGTATGTGATGAATACAAAGAGGGGAAACAAAACTGATAAAGGGTATAGGATGAAAAGGAGTGAAGAGGAGGAATAAGAAGGATGGAAGGAAAGTGAAGGAGTTTCAGCAGCAGAAAGAAAGAGAAGAGGAAGAGCGGAGAGGTGGAAACCCCTAGCAGAGGCTGCTCTCTGACAGATTAGAGTTATGTAACAGGATAGAGTGTGTGTGTGTGCGTGCGTGCGTTCGTGTGTGTGTGTGGCCTGCAGCTGCTCCTTTTAGCTCAGATTTGGGAGATGCAGAGTGAAGCAGAGTTTATTTGATAGAAAACATCCTGCTGTCTGTTTGTGTCATTTTATCATGTCCATGATTTTTCATAACTTTGACACATTAAACCCAAATTTTTTTAAAATACACAATCAATTTGATTCATCTCAAAGATTCAAAGATCTCTTCAGACATGATTGTTTTGGAGTAGTAAATAAAAGCCAGAAAGTAAATATTGGTCTAAAGGAGTAGTTTTTATCATGTATCAGAAGGCTTTGGTGTTTGCAGGAAAAACAGCCTGAACGGTGAGCAAAAGCAGTCATAACACAATCAGACATGGCTCCACTTGATGCTGTGTTACAAGAGCTAATCAGTTTTTAGATTTCCTGACTACCTGTAATGCATCAAAAATGATGAATCTGACTTCCTACCTGACAAAGCTGGACTTTTTACTGATCTGTGTCATGCTATTAATTTAGCAAACTTCAGACCTGTTTACTACATAAAAATCAATAGAAAATGAGGAGTTCTTTTTCAAGGTTTATACCGCTGAAGTAAGCCAGAGTCAAGCCTCTGTGTAAATTTGAATTTACAGTGCAACTGGGACTCACCAGGAATAGATGATAATGCACATCTGTCTCTCAGTTAGAGCTGCTCTGTAATATCTTATTAATTGAGACTGGATAAAACATCAGCCTCTCATACATACAGTCAGTCAGTGTGCATGAGCAGACATGTTTGTTTTAAATTATTTCTACCTTGAAATGAACTTTTCATGTTTCCACAAACTCTATTTTTATATTTGATGATCAGCCTTGCTGCCTCTGATTTAATATTTAATCTGAACTCATATTACATTTAAACTTGGAGAAAGCAGCTGACTCTTCTGGCTGAACATAGACAAGTCAGATCATACGTTTAAATGAAGACAAACATATATCAAGATATATATAAAATATTTAAATATATGAAGTATATATACACACCTTTAATTCGCTCTAATAATCAATCACATTTTCCTGTCCCCTCAAAAGAAAGGGCAGTAAAAGCCCAAAAAGCATGTTTTAAAAAGATCTTTGACCTTCATACTTATCTGGATAATAAAGACCATCTAACTCCTCCCTCTGTATCTCTGCAGCATAAAGAACGTGACACCCAAAGTTGGGGCGGAAGAGACACATGACGCCATAAGACGAGCGTTTGACGTGTGGCAGAATGTGACACCGCTGCGTTTTGAGGCGGTGCCATACAGTGAGCTGGAGCGTACAAAGAAGGATGTGGACATCACTATCATCTTTGCCTCAGGTTTCCATGGAGACAGCTCACCTTTTGATGGTGAGGGAGGCTTCCTAGCCCATGCCTACTTCCCAGGACCAGGGATTGGAGGAGACACACACTTTGACTCTGACGAGCCATGGACGCTTGGAAACCCAAACCATGATGGTGAGTAACACTGTTTTAATTTCTTCATGACGTGATCATGGTATCCTCATCAAGATAATCATAGAAAAAATGTTGATGAATCAGCTTACTTCTGTCATAGCAGTTTATGTGAGAATGTTCAGTTAGGGCTTTTAGGTCATCATGGCACTTAGAGGGCTTTATTGGAAGTCACAAATGACCTGCTGATGGTGTCAGCCAGTGGTCTTGTCTCTTGTCTCTGACCTTGTCCTGCCTTCAATATGAGTTACCATCACATCCTGCAACACTGGGTAGAATAATCTCGATCTCAGTTTGAGCATGTTGATGAAGACTCCTCAGAGCACACCAAGTATAGTAATGGGGCACGACAGGGTCTAGTACTTGGACCAATGATTTTCACCATATGCCTCCCCTGGGTAGTATATCAGATCACAGGAAGTGCAGAGTTTGATTGATTAGTTGATTGGTTGGTTGATGTGTTGATTGGCTGGTTTAATGGTAGGTAGGTTGGTTGATCAACTGGTGGGTCTATACGTTGACCGGTCTGTTGATTTTGTTGGTTATTTAGTTGGATGGGTAGTTGGTTGGTAGTTGGGTTGGTTCGTTCAGAAATAAGTAGTATTGTCATTGTGCGAATTTTCCCCATGTGGTTCAAAAGTACTGAAAATTTTGTTAAAACAGAGTATTAATCATAAAACAGAGATAATGTTACAGACCGAGGAAAAAAGTCTGAACATCTGTAGATCCTCGTCTCAGCAGAACATGACATTCAAACTGTAAAGCCGTCTGTAGCTTCACGTGAAAGCCAAATCGACGCTGCAGTGACGGAGTTGCCTGGCGGAGACATGACTGTTAACTGAGTCACAGTTCACAGAGATGACTGAGACACAGAGGAGAGGAGTCGCTAGAAGGCGATAGGCTGACAGAAGCAGGGTGTAGATAAATATTACAGAATGAAGAGCTCACACCAGAGACTAAGGAGGGAGAGAGTGGAAGTTCGGGGACAGCAAGGAGTGAGAGGAAAGAAAACATTGTAAAAAGAGAGGTGAGGGACAGAGAAAGCTATGCTGAGAGTAAATTAACAAGAGAAAAACCTGTGTGTGTTTACATCAGCTGAAATTAATGAGATATTAATCCTAATGGAAATGTTTGCTGAAATATCTGTAGATTCAATTACTAATTACTTAAACCACATTATGAGGCATTATGTTAATAGAATCAAACTCATGAATGAGCTGATAGTGTCTAAACACAAACACACTCACTCACACTCTGTTATTGTGCCCTGTAGAAAGGAGAAGCAGCTGTGATTGAAATGATTCAATCCCTCCAGCACACACATGCAAACACACATATGTGGACACACACTAACTCTGTCCCACTCTGTAACATGAACACATGATGCAGACTCTGAGTGCATTTACAAGATGCTGAAAATATATTTTTTATTGTGTTAGCCTGACTAAACCTGGATGTTTAATATGAAGGATTACAAACACGTTAGTCCAGCATGACACCATTCCACCAGTGTTTACCTGCAATATAACCTTTGTATATGGTTACATTTTATTTAGGCTAGTTAGACAACATCTAAACTGAAGCAGTGACTCAGAAATATGAATGAGAGAATGAAGAGGGCAGACCTCAATTTTTGTCTCTTTTTGCTCTTCTGAGTATTCTTATCAAGGCTTCTTTGATGTTTTCATTAAATAGTCCTGGCTCGAGCACATCACTCCATGTGAACCTACTTAGAGTTGATCAAACAAACTCAAATCAGCTGTTCTGAAACAAACAAAAAAAATCCATCTGAGAATAAATCAGTTAGACCCAGAGTTCAGTAGATGTGCTATTTGAAATTGTCAGCATCTAATATAGTTTAGATGTCAAATTTTAACATTAGGTTTCCAATTTTTACTTTAAATGCACATTGGTTTCAAATTCTCACACTTTTATTGAAGTCACATTCACTACTTATATTGATATTAGTGTTAGCCCTGAAACACCAACAGTGGTTGATCTTTAGCTAGCAAGTCTTGTTTATGAATATTCTGTTAAAATTAATTAACATTTATACAATTTTGAATGTCTTCCAATATCTTGTTGACTTTTGCTCATCCACCACAGGATTTAACGCTCCTCAGCTGACAAAATATGGTCACATCTTAAAATACACTATCGTTTTAAAAATAAAATGAAAAAAAAAATGAATTCAGAAATAAATTTTAAATGAATCTAGGAAATAGGATCCTTCTAAATAAGGTGTGTGAAACAAAAGTTTGTCTGATGAAGCACCTCATTGTTTTATCTGCCTTGGATAAAAAGCAGCATCAGATTAACTCCAGATTAAAACTGTTTGAAAACATCTCAAAGCTCTGCACTCATTTTGTACAACAGTTTTTTAATTGGTTCCATGGTTAGGGACAATAAACAAACTAGCACAGTTTTTTTTTATTTTTAAATAGTGAATGTCACTTTGTAAGTATTTCAGGCTTTTACATACACATATTAACACAAGATGAGTGTGTGTGTGTGTGTGTGTGTGTGTGGGGGGGGGGTCTGGGTCTTAGCTGGCTCACCCTCACGTGTAGAGCCTTCAGCCTCACTCATCTCCAGAGCACATTTTTCAAAGAAATCAGACCCTGTAGCCAAGGATTATAACCTCTGTCAGCTAACCAAGGGGGATCCTTCCAGGTATTTCTACTAAGTCAAGTTTCAAGGAATGTCTTAATCCTTCTTCATCATCATTATCATCATCATCATGTGTGTGTGTGTTCTGCTCTGATGTGTGTCTGAGGCTTTTTTTTCTTTTCCTCAGCCTCCTCAAACACTCAGCCTCAAGTTCTCCACAGTGCTGCTGCTGATGTTGTTTGGGTGATGATGGCACTGCACGCTGCAGGATTATCGTGTGCCTGCATGCAGATGAACACTTGTTGATGTCTCCATGGACTCACAGAGTGTGTTGTGAGGACAGAAGATTAGTGAACTGTCAGTGATGTTCAGCTCTGACCGCCCTATGAGGCTGTTATTGGGATCACTTCCCGTACATCTTCTGATTCACAGCTGCAGTAGGCTGACTTTTGATCCCATGTTTTTATCAGAAAAACAGACAGGCAGGCTGAGAATAGAGTTGAACAATTAATCAGATTTCCATTTTGGTTGTGATTTTGACCTCTCAAGATCCCCAAGTGGCCCCTCCCCTCAAACATTACTCCCTGCCACTTCATCATAAGCAGTTCAGATCACTGTGGAACAAAGTTTGGGAAGATGAGGAAGTTGTGGCTCCTGCAAAGATTTATGGTGGACTGCTGTATCTTCAACATGTTGGTCAACAGTGGTATACTGTCAGGTAGCCACAGGTGTAGAGAAGAGCAGGGAGAGGAGGAAGGTGTCTATAATCATGTATAATTGTGTATGCCTGAAAAGCCAAGGGACAGAGTGAGCACTACGAGAGAGAGTCTGGAGCGATCATGATCCTGCATGAGTGCAAACAAGCTTATGACTGCAAGGCTAAAAAATAAGAGCCATAATCCTGAATCATGTTAAATTAGAAGCTTAAGTCTTGATGTTATAAAGGATGTTACATACTGTATATAAATGCTTAAAAAGACTGAATGACTGAATTTGTTTGATCTGCGGACTGTAATAAGATATGAGCAGTAAACAAGCTCAAGTCCTGACATTTTTGAGGACACAGTTTAAAAAATATTTATCTACTAGTGAAATCTGGTTCTTCATTTATTGAGTATTATCAAAGCTCAAAGTCAGATTTCTTTAAGTGAGGAAGTGATGCATGATACTGCTCAGTCACAGTACAAAAATAGACTGTATTGTCCAGTTAGACTGACAGACTTCCTTTAGTAAACAAAAAAGGTAAGCCAAACAGGTTTTTAACATATGCAGTATGAAATGGTCTTATGCTAACCCGCCATACCCCCCACTCCTCCAAATGAAAGCATACTTTTACATACACAGAGTCACTGCAGATTTTCTCCTGCACACTGCCGGCTGTATTCTGAAATTAAGTTGTTGTCAGTAGTTTATTTACTGCGGGGGAATTTCCCCGCTGTAGCTAACTGATTAAATTACTGGTGGTATGACTGCCACTATAAAACATAATGGACACTTTATTAGATCATTACAGCATGCATAGTGACAAAGTTTTTTGAGAAATGAAAGCAACATCAGGGTTTTTTCTGATTTTTTCCATTGATGACCTAATTCAGACACAGCTGCAGCTTATGTTCTCAGTATGTAACTGTAGAACAGAGTTCACGTTGTGTCATCTATGCATCTGTGCAACCAGCAAAGCAAAAATCTAATGTCAAGTCAAGGGATTACATTGACTGATACTTTCTCTTGCTTCATCAATGCCTATTTTCTGTTCAAACTGAAGGCATTTCTGTGTTTTTAGTTTCCAAGATTTGCAGCACTGTTTTGTTTCCAATTAAATTTACAAATGACAAGTTGCAACTTGCTTTTCCTGGACATTATAGAAGCACTCATCACAGCTTCATATCAATACAAGCTAGGCTACAAGTCCCATTGTCTTCTTTTCTGTAAACATTGTGACTTCTGTTCCAGTAACATAAAAAACAGGTGTGTGTAGTATAGTGTATCAATGTTTTCTGGTCAATAAGAAGTCCAAGAATATTGATTGAGCCCTTTAAAGAATGGATACAAAATTACCCCATTAAATAGTGCAATATTTTGATATATGGATACACCTCTACTCAGGGTTTCAACTTAACACAATACAATATAATACAAGAACTTTATTGATCCCCAAAGGGAAATTACTTTGTCTGGAGTCCCATGTCATCTGTTTGTTAAAGAATTAAACAGACTGATGGCTGTCGGTGCAAAGGACCTTCAGAATCTCTCGGTCCTGCTGAGAAGAGAGAGGAGCCATCCATCAAGGTGTTGTGAAGTGGATGATCCATGTTCTTTCAAGTAGCCTCCACCTTCCTTAGTGTGCATCTCTCTAACACATCCTACAGTGAGTCTGACTTGATTCCAACCGCACAGCCAGCCTTTTTAACCAGTTTGTTCAGACACCTTGCTTCCTTGTGTCCTTGCAAGGCGGCTTATAAGTCCTGGAATGCCGTGAAAGACCTCCAGCCTGCTGCAGACATATACACAGGAAATGAGAGATTTCAGGTGTGTTTATTCTGCTCACCTCTGACCCAAAACAACTAGAAGGGTCAGACACACACACACACACACACACACACACACACACACACACACACACACACACACACACACACACACACACACACACACACACACACAGGGAGAGTGTAAGTTTCAGGTACTCAGGTTAGATAACAGAGGGCTGAGGTGGTTAGTGAGTTGTGATTGGCTGAGGGGCCGGTTGGGGCTGGCTCATTGATCATCTGATGGATAGTTGGAGGCTGCAGAGAGCTGGGCTGTCTAAAGTCGATCGCCAGAAGGTTGTATCATCGATGTTCGATCTTTTAAGTGGATCTAAAGCTGCTGTCAGTTTGGAGATTTCAGCAGCAGATGGAGAGAAAAAAGATCAGTGTCTGAGGAGAGAGAGAGCAAAACAAGAAGGAGGGAATCAGATATTTAGGAAGCAGAGTAAACAGAGGAAAGTTTAAGCAGTGGAAAGGTGGGGCTGTGTAAGACAGATGGTGTCCTTCCTTACAGGCTTATTTTTAGTTGCTACCCCTGCTGCGTGATGAAGAGGAGGAGGATGGTCTCTTCCTCGCTGCTCCTCCTTTTTTCTTCCTCTTTTCTCCCTCTTGAGTCGCCTCTCTGTCTTGAAAAAAGGTTTCAGCTGGCTGTACAGCTCACTACTAACACAAAACAAGAGCAAACTGTACAGGTATGACAGGTCTTGAATATTATTCACTCAAAATATAAAGACAGAGCTGGTAGCAGGAGCAGTTCTTCTTGCAGTTACACATTTTACTTTGTTCAGTATCATGACCGGTATAATGAAGTAGAAATGAAAGGGTGTTAGCAGCAGCAGTCTTAGTGGCACTGTTGGATCGCACTTTATTTCCTGTGGGTGACTTTTGTTTGTTTTGCTTTTGTTGAGAAATTTGCTTTAATGATCCGAAGTCTCAAGATTGTCTTTTGTTTGTCATAGTATCTTTGTCTTTGAGAGACTAAAGCTGCATAGCTCACATAGACCTGTGTGGAATGGGTTTTTCGGAGGTGGGAGTGGGGTCAGCGGACATATGCCTTTATTTAGGAAACAGAGCAGGAAACTGGCAGGAGGGAGAAGAGGGAAATGACATGCAGCAAAGAGCCGGGGGCTGGGGTCAAATTCAGGCCACTTGCTTTGAAGACTGATCTCACGGGGCATGCCATCTAAACACTAAGCTAAACCAGAGTCCAAATGATGAGGATTTGACCGCTGTGTCTGAGATAAGCCACCAGTAGTTTACATCCTGTAAGTGAGATTGATCTGATGACAAGATTGACTGAGGAGGTGCAGCCTGGACCTAGGCCTTTCTGACAGGAAAAGAAGAGTGTGATTTGCACAGAGGAGAAGTCCATTCTTTGTTTTTGATTGGAACTATATTTGCAAATTTTCACAATTTTCAAAAACATACGAGATCTTCTAAAATGATGACAAAACTGCTCAAGGCAGGCCATGAATTCAGGTATCCACTTGGCAAGTGTCAGAAAAGGGCATTCTAAGGGCTGTCTTGTTTTACTATGTTTGTAACTAATGGTTGTTCTATTCCCCGTGTGTCTTTGCCATTGTTCCCCCTTTTCATGTATGCATATGAAATGGACAGGAGGTGTACTCTCCCCACCTCAGGCTTTGCCATTCCATGTGCGCTAATGAAAGGATGGGAAGCTCTCAAAGCAGAGCCATATCACTGAATAGAACTTATTGCACAAAAATAAGTAACTCTCTCTCGCTCTCTGATGAAAGATGACCAAATACTTCTTATTTAATAAAAATGTTTCATAAATCTGGATTGATTATATTTTTGCAGTGTTTGACATATTGAGGGCTTGAAAAGACTTGAAGGGTTGCTGGGTTTCTGGATGTCCTCTGTAAATTTGTTCAGCAGTAAAAAGGCTGCAGCTGCTGCACATGGAGGATCCTATTGCAACCAATTCTCCTGTAAATTCAACAGAAATTCAAATCCACTAGTAAACTAAAGCTGTTACTTAAAATTGACCACAGATTATTTGACACTGCCTCATTATACTACCGTTTAAAATAGTTCATTACTCCGTGTGGAAATGGGACAAGCTGATAATAAAAATAACATTTCTGAATCAGGCAAACTTAAGTTATAGCTGGGGTAGGAGAAAAAGAAGGCATATTCTAACAATGAAACTGGATAAATCATATTTGAACTCACTCCAGCTCAGTTTAAATGTTATTCATTCTATGTTTGAATACACACATGGTGGTTATATAAGTCTGTTAGTTTATTTCCAACCCTGAACACCCCTGGTAAACCTGATCAGGGAATAAAATAAAACACAGAGAAAGAGAGCGAGCAGAGGTATCAGCTTGTTTCTGCCTACCAGGACCAGACCACAAATAGACCACCACCCACCGACAGCAGAAACCAGCTCAATGTGGGCGCAGCACTCTCTTCCGCCCACACACACATTCACATACACAAACACACACTCGTACTCTCACACACACCGAACACACTCTGCTCACACTGTGCACCTTGGGAGAGCTTGCCCTCCCACCAACCAGTCAGATGCTCTCATAACCTCTTACCCATAATCCTTAGCAAATAGAGAGAGTAAACATCCTCACTCTGAGAACACGGATCAGTCCTTTAAAAATGAATATCAGTCTCTTCTGATGAGTTTTTATCAATGAACAGGTGAAGAATATAAATGTCTGTTTTATTTCAAAGAAAGAAGATAAAAAGAGTGAAACAGACAGTGCGCCAACATTCACATCTGAGCTGATATTCAGTCATATCTGGATCGTTGTCAGCCAAGGGTTAGAAAACAGTGGAACAAGTGTATAAATATTTAGACACTAAAAGGCTGGTTATCTCTGTGAGAGGAGGGTCGGACTGACATGTAATAGGATTCTTAAATGATTCTTAGTAACCATATAAAACATAAAGGTGAGCAATAACTCAACATAGATAATTTAAAAAATACATATAGGAAAACCTATATATCAAGGTAAAATCAAAAGATAACTATCAAAAAATAAACCAGAAAATAAAAGCATGTTTTTACAATACAAGTAATTTAACAACCTGAATGAAAGACAGTAAAAATGTTCAAATAAAAGACCCTCTCTGCTATGGGGGCCAACATCATTCGAAATGGATGATGATATGTAACTTTTGTACATCTTTTGCTGTGTTCCAGTTACCTCAGAAGTCGGATGTCAGAGCTGGGAATGACGTTACACCCAAGTTGACGGGGTTCCAGTAAACAAGTGGGAAAACCAAGATGGACGGCTGTTAGCCGTTGTTAGCAATTGTCAGCTGTTGTTAGTTGTTGTTAGCTGTACCAGTATTATACTCTTACAAACACCATAGTACCGTATTCACAGTTAGACGTTGGGCAATACAACATATACCACTTATTTAATTTCACAAAAACAAAACAGAAGTACGAAAAAATAATACATGATGAGAGCCCCACTGTTACTCTTCACTGTTGATACACTGCACTCCCATCTTGGATTATGATGTCGTCAAGTCAGGGTTGATTAGGATCGTCTGACTTCAGGGGGGAGTTCCAGATGAATTTCTAACTCGGAGCTCGGAAATTCCAACTTATGAGTACAACTGGAATGCAGCATTTCAATATCATAACAACATGTGATAATAAGCATCAAATCAGCAGCGCCCCTCACTAAGCATATTAATAACCATAATCTTAATGAAATGTTAACATAGTTTTCCCTATGTCAACCTTAAATCTAGCTGCTTGCTGGTGTTGAATATAAATTCATAAATGGATAATGGAGCTCTGTCTTTCTTCTGAATCCGTCATGTTATGAAATCTTTAGCATAGCACATTGTATTTGTCTATTATCATAAATTAGGAATCTATCTAAACCTTGTTACTGGCAAAGATGACCATAATCGTCAGATGCTGGATGTAAATGTCTTTTTAATGTATTCCTGAGAAGGTGGATGCCGCAGGTTTATTTAAATTAAAAATAACTGTAAATTCAAGTAATTACAAACTTTGACATACCAATCATCATCAGGGGGAGACCAGGGGGTTACTCTCAAATTACCAGAGGTCCTCAGATAAACTTGTGTTATGGTCTGGATACAGTACAGGATGTTTTTAAAGTGAACTGTCAGCCTTTAAGTCATTTTATTGACCCACTGAGTAGCTCACACCTTAATGAAATCATCTCCTGTGTTCATGTTTGCTACCAACACAGACAGAGGTAGAATAAATAGACCCGAGGATATCAAGTCCCTGACACTTCCTAAAGGCAGTGTCTGTCTGTAGATATCATGCCCACAAATCTTCTTTTGCAAAAAGCCTCAACCTGTAATGTTGCTGTTTATCCAAAGATGAAGGAAAGGTCTTCTTATTTTACTCCATAAGAAGATCAAATAACCACATGAGAGAGAGCGGAAAGAGTTTGAAGTGTCAGTCAGAGTGAAACACTGAGAGGTGCAACACCTGCAGAGACAGAGATTAACGCAGACAAAGGATGAGTTGATGTAAATCTTTTGAAAACAGATGAATTGTCATTATGAGCCAGAGGTGAGGAAATAATTGATGTGTGAGTGATAAAATAGTTCAAATTTCACCTTTAAAAATGATGAAACTTCTGCGTCTCTTAGCGTGTCAGTTTTTCCTCCTCAGAGCAGTTAACAGCGAAAGCAGAGACATCAGTCTGAAAGGAAGTCAGGTTTTTATTTATTCCCACAAGACGAGAGTAGAAAGTGACTGAAAAGTGAGGAAACAGGTCAGAATGAATTCAAGAGTGTAAGGTCTGTGGGTCGTTTGGGGGTCACCTCTTGTTTGCTGAAGTTGAGAAAGCATCTTAAAGGGTAATTCTGATGTTTTTGCTTATTTCTGATATGAAGAGTTTCTTCATGTTTGCAGTAGATGAATAGATCCTGCAGCAGGTAAACAGGCTGTTATGTCCCAATATGATCGCCTCAAAGTTCTTATTTTTGTTACTGACAGGTTAATTTGAGTGTTTGACAACATTGCAGTAACAACCCCTACAGAGAAGGACCTTTATGCTTGAGAAGAAGAAGGTTTGAACAAAAACAGCTGCTGCATCACTCTAAAAAAAGAAACATCAGATTACACTGATAACTGAATGGCTGAATAAAAAGAGTTGGATGATATAGGAAAAGGTAACATTGCACTATTTTTCTTTTCTGCATTATCTATTATGATATGAAAAGTACACGTATCAACACACTTTAATAAATCTAAGTATTAAAAGGGTATTATAATTCCTATTCTCAATAATTGGGGTCTTCAGTTCTGTTTTCTGCATTTAAGTCAAATCTTCCCACTGCTATTACCATCTTGTGTCCAGCTGTGTGACACCGTCATGAGAACGTGCAGAGACAGTAGGAAGGAGTGCAGGTGAAGCAACAGGTTATCTCATGGACTGCAAGAGCAAAAGTAGTTTACTCGATCACTACACTCAATTAATACTTTCTGGCAGTTTTAGAGGTTGTTTTATGGAGACCAAATACCAAATTGCACCAAAACATAGTGGTTTATTTCGCTATCAGCTTTTTAATTTTAATGGCTTTAAACAGCTACTTTTGGTTTGAATAAGAAGATAGGTGGTGTGTGTTTGTCTGGACAGATTTAAAAGAGAGTTATTGTTGGCATCATTCATCAATTCTCCACCCTGTGTGTTGGGATTTTCAGGTGTCTGTTGCTCCATTCTCTGTTCCTGTCTGCAGGTACAGACTGAGGTCAGTGTTTGTGCTGAAGTAACATTGTTGTCTGCTGTGTCCAGAGGTGTGTGGGTGCTTGTGAATGCGTTATTTATAATGAATGACCACATTTAAACACACACTCACACATACACACACCTGTCCCTTTCCCAGGTGCTGTTGGGAGATAAACATGACAAGAATAAAGAATGTCCTCTGTCTGCAGTGTGTTTTCTCCTGTTTGCTGCTTTATTTACCTCCAGTCCACACACACACACACTCTCTCTCTGTCTCTCCTCACTCACTCACTCGCACACACACTCACAGAGTGTGTTGCCTCCTCTGTATATAGATGATCAGTGTGTGTGTGCTTGTGTTGGTTCATCAGCTGGTTGTTCTCTGACAGTCTGCTGTGAGTGAGGAGAAATTGATTCAACTGTAAAGATGACTGAGGCTCAGCCAAAGAAAACAGCAGGAGGACGGGGGCGAATGAGACAAAAGGGGGTCAGAAACAAGTCATACACAGACCCTCACGTGAATCAGGCTTTGAACACTTAGAATAACTGTTGGTCAGCAGTGTGATGGTTTTCAATATCACAGTTTGACTTAAAAATTTGAAGAGCTATAGATTTTGTTTTTCTAAGATAATAGAGTCACCTGAACCTCCGACTTCAGAAATATTAGATGTAATCTTTGTATTTGTCCAGTCTCAGTTATGAGACATCCACAATCACCAAGTTTGACTTATTATAATGGTAAGAATGGTGCTAAAAGTTGGATCTCAGTGCAAATAACCACATGTAGAGTTAGGTGTGTGCTATTTAGTGAGCTGGTCTTCATTATTCATCATGCTGGTGGGGTAATATTTCACAAAAAGGTTAGAAACTCTGCCCTGCAGCTTACAAAGGTGCTAACTTGTATTGCAGGGATGTTTTCACTGTAGTTAACACCTGTTTGCATTTCCTCTCTGTGCAGCAGGGTCTTGGTACGATTTTCCAGGAACGTTCCTGAAAGTGCAGCCCAGTGTCTCAGGGAGGAAAACAGTCGAACAACGGGAAACTATATCCGGGTCCTGTGGGACAGAGAGAGCTTTTTGTCCACCAAACAATGCAAACAGTTAAGGCTGTGTTTCCTAAAGAGTGGCTGGAGGAGTCAGACAGTGTGGTTCTCTGCTAAAATGTGCAGTTAAAGGAGTGTTACAACTGTGTTTGCAGGTTTTTTTAGGTTCAATGTGCTGATAAAGTGTTGGTCCCAGCTGTAGCATGTCTCCAATAATCCTCCTTATTCACAAAAAGCATTGGTGATGGATGCAGTTGTCAGTATGTAGAAATAAGAGATGTTGTGTGTTTAGTGATCAGTTTCGTTTAACGTTGAGGCAGTAGAGTGTTTAAGACCCCCGAGACCTCCTCTGACAACCTCAGCCATCACTGCCATCGACCGGCAGCTGTCCAGAGTTAAGTGCATCTGATTTGTGGGTCTGTGTGTTTTCCTCTGTCCTCCTGTCACGTGTCCCTCAGCTGCTCTGTTTGCAGAGAGAGACAGGGAGTTACAGAGACCCAGCAGGTCCACCTCTGTTCACTGTACTGTGACCCTGTGAGGAGCTCATAAATCTCCCCTCCTCTTCCCCTCTTTCCTTCCTCCTTTATCCCTGTTTTCCTCCTTGGCCCCTCAGTCTCATTAGCAGGGATCCTGACCTCTCTGGGCAGATTGTGAGGTTAGCTTACCTTTTTTGTTTACTAAAGCATATCTGCCGGTGAGTGTTTTAAAAGTCATTTGTACAGTGACTCAGAGGAACCATGCACCACTTCTTCTCTTCACTTTTAGAGCTCTGGGTTAATTTTGCTGATGACACTAAATAAATGAAGTACCAGATTTCATTTGAAAAGAGATATTTTTACACTGTTTCATCTTAAAAAATTCATGATTAAAACTTTTTACAGCTCACTTTCTAATACTGCCTGGAGATCCAACAAATCATTCAGTCTTATCAAGCCTCATTCAGTGTTGTCTGTAACATCAAGACTTAAGTTTGTATTTTGTAATGATTCAGCGCCATGTCTCTCACTTTTGTTGTTAGGTGGTGCACACTTATGATCGATACAGCCCCTCCCTTTTTTATGTTCATTCTGTCCCTTGGCTTTTCAGACACCCACAGAAACACACCCCTATTTCCTCCTGCTCCTCTCTTTGCTCTCCTCTTTCCACTTGTTGCTGCCTGGTAGTTTGAACTGCTGTAGCACAACATGTTGAAGATGTCTTCTTTAGTCTTTATTTATCTTAGTAGGAGCTGTGACTTCCTCATGCTCCCAAACTTTGTTTGATGTTGATCTGAGCTGTGTGAGAAGAGGGCATGCCCATGCTCTGCTGTAAAGGAAGGGAGGAAGGGTGAGATTCGTTCAACTCACAAGACATAACAGGGTCAACACAACGGGCAGCACAATAATCTTTCAGCCTCAATGATCGTATTCTATCATATTTTACAATTGAAATGAAGATCCGATTAATTGCCCAGCTCTGTTCTGAAGCCCGGTGTATTTTAGTAAAAAGAGAATGAAAGCACTCTCACTGACTGGTTTCCAGCCAAAACAAGCCAAACAACCAAGGGACATAATTCAACCTCTCTGCGCCTTGAATCTCACTTTGGTGCCCAAATTTTGCACCACCTAACCAGCAAACAGCAGTTAGTTACACCCTAATTCACTTTGTGCAATCCATTTTACACAGTGCATTTTAGATCACTTATTAATGTGTATTAATTGTGATCCCCTACCTTTAAATCATAGATACACACATAATCCACTTTTTGTATTCACATGATTGGTCCAGAACATAAACACAACACTTCAGATGGAAGCTCCTATCCAACGTCTAGCTGGTGTTGTTTCTGTAGCTGTATCTCTGTGCTCTCACAGCCTGGCTCTGTTTTCTCTGTTGTATTATTTGTGTGTGTGAAACAAACCCTGACAGGACTGTTGGGGTCAACGGTCACTCTTGTGCAATCCATCATCTATATCTTGTGTGATGCAGAAAACAACAAATCCTGAGCCTCATTGTCGCTCGCCTCCATGTTTCCTGCTCTCTTCATCATCCTGTTTTCCCTTTCCCTCCAAACAACCTTTCTCCTCACTTTACCTCACCCTTCATTTCACCCCACTTTACCTCACTCTTTATTCTGCTACCTTTTTTATTCCTGTCCTCCCCCTCTTCCCCTCCCTTCCCCTTTTAATTATCTCTTCTTTTTCACTTCTTACCCCCTCCTTCTTTCTTTATTATTCTCTCACCTTTTTCTCCCTCCTCCTCCTCCTCCTCCTCACCCAGCATAAACTCTCCCCTCATGTTACCTCTTTGCCGCTCTCATCAGCCGCTTTCTGCCTCATCTCCCCCGTCCACCCCCTCTTCTCCATCCCTGTGTACTCTCTGTGTAGCTTGAAGCCGATAATTAGCCGAGCGTACAGTCTGCCTCGCTGTGTTTGTGGCCTGGGGCGACTGGACGTCCTCAACTACCCCAGAGAGACATCATCATCTTAACCAGCAGCAGCAGCATCTTCATCACCATCGCCATCATCACCATCACTCTGACCTCAGAGTCAGGACAACACACAAACATCCAGCTTCTTACATATTTATGTAATAATATTCATAGATACTAACCAATCAAAACCTCCTGACCTTTGATAGATGATGGGAATTTTCGTGGTTTTCTCTTTACAGTGTCACCTGTCAGTGGGTGTGATGTGTTAGGCAGCAGGTAAACATTTTGTCCTTGTAGTTGATGTGTTAGAAGCAGGAAAATAGCTACAAATATGGCCTGGCGATATGGCCTGAAATCAATATCACAATATACTGAGCAGATCATCTCGATAACGATAAATGGATGAAAACTACTCCACAAGCTGCTCACCCCCTCCCACATTAACTCCACGTTACTTCAGCCACCACTCCAGCTGCTACAACTTTTTAATTGTCCTCCAATTAATTGTCCTCACCTGTCTTTCCCTCTTTGTTATGGACTGGGTGGGGTGAAGCCAGGTCTCCGACGTAGGACAGCATCTTAAAGGGACATGAGACCATAGCCTACGTACACACATCCAAAACCAACTTTTATTTATTTTTTTGATGCCAAATATATTGACATGGGCAAAATGACGTCAGTTTCTGTCATAAATTTCGCCCAGCCCTAGTTATAAACCTCTACCATTATTTACCATAGCTTCACATATGCTCATAATTCCTTAAAGCTGCTTGTGTGAACACAAACAGCAAAAATTTCATCTATCCTGTCCTTAGACATTTTCTCGCCAGCCCTGTACAGCAAGACTTAAGTCCCTTTATATGATTGCATGTGTCCAAAGCTCCCTGAAAACCAAACCAAACCAAGAAATAACTGCATACAGATTTTCACCTGTCTTTTTTTCTTGACCGGGCACAAAGGAGCTCCGCACATGTGTTTTACAAAGAGGTCTAACCCTTTATCCATAGAAAACAAGGGTTGCCCACTGAAGCCATGGCTTATGACACTGCTGACCCACCACACACCATGGGAGCTGGCATACACAACAGCTTGGACTGTTTCTGAGTGTTTGAAAAGTGAATGCCACACTGACATGCATAGACAACAACAATTTTTTTTTTTTTTTTTGCCACAGCAACTTACATCCCTCCCCCAGAAAAGTTTGTCTTCTCCCCTTTTCTCTCTCGTACTTTCTCTGAGCCATGCTGTGGCCAGTTCACAGAATGCACATATCTACATCTCCTGATATGGGGCTCATTGGCTATTCATGGGTGAGGTTGCATCCTTATTGCTGACTAGTGGGAGCACACTGTTACTTTATGATTGTTTGGCATTCATGAACATATGAACCTAAGGTCAAATCTGAGTTTTCTGCCATGTTCATGAATCCTCTCTGCAGTAGGCGTGTGGATCTATAAGCTGTAGTTAGTAGCCCTGTCATAATGTCCCAAAAAACCTAGCGGAGTATCTGATTTCGAGGGTGGTAGACAGTTGCATGTGGGATTCCTATGTTGGCATTAGTGTGCATGTGTTTGTCTGAGCAGCTGCAGACTAGAGCCCTTATATGCAGGCAGTATTGAAGCAGGAGAAAAACATGGTTATTCTCAATTGTGGGACTAAAAGGAGTTTTGGTTTTGTAGCATTTTAGGTACATTGAGTGACACAAGTGTGACATAAAAAATGTATTTTTCTTTAATTGGGTCATGAAGAACTTTCACCCTTTGTCCATAAAAACAAACAATCATTCAGGCTTGTTGGACTGCTCACATTTCTTTTTAATAACTTTTGTAAACGAGATATAAGAACACAATGATATGAAAAATAAAATAGGATTTTAGAAAACTTAAAAATCCGACCTGGTCCTCAGAGTGACCATTTTCTCCCTTTCTCTTGATTCATCACCTCTTTATAACCTATAACCCCTCTCTCTAGACACTTACTCAGTGTAACAGCACACATAAATTTAACCTGTGTTTTTACTACCACTGCCTTGAACGCGTCTCTCTATAATGGGAGAGTTCTCCTTTTTATTTGATTTCATCAATGCAGTCAGTGTGCACTGTGTGAAGCTTTATATCAGCTCAGTTAAGACTGTCTGGCATTTATATAGGCTAATAGTCTTCATGAGGTTCCTGTTAAACTGCCTGTGGCTGCTCTATGAGTCCTGCAGTATCCCTCTGTACCTGCTGAGGAGCCATCTGAATATCTGCTGATCTCTTCATGTGACTGAACAGCAGCAGATGATGCCTCTCTTTAAATTTATCACAATGAATCAGAGCTGCTCTCTGTGCTCTCTGTAGAGTCTTTGTGATAAGACAGGAAACTGAAGAGGGATGGCCGCAGAGAAGAAGAGTTTGTGCAAAGTTTTCACAAGCACCATTCCTCCAAACTTTAATACACTGCTGCTTTTACTGCTGTTCAGATGTGGGATGTTTGATGGTGACAGAAGCTTTAAAGCAGACTGCAGTCTTTTATTTTAAAGCAGTAAAAGTCTGTTTTGAATCAGGTTTAAATCCTCCCACAGACAGTCGGTTGCTGTTATAAATGAATTACACAGTGCAGCAGTCTCACTCTGATGTAAAGCAGGGGTTTCTTTGCAGTGAGGATGATGTTCAGTGCGCTTTGGATCTGACGGGCTGGCAGAGCTTCAGAGAAGAGGATCAGGGGGTTTCTGTTGGTGTTTGGGTTCTCAGTGATGTAACTTTAATCCTGAATACCAGACCTCCTCAGCCAGGTTTGGTCAGGTTTGGCTGCCGTCCGCAGAGTGTTTCTCAGACAGGAGGTCACACACTGTATCAATCAGCTTACAGTGGATCCAGACTGCTTACAGGAAGGGAGTTCCTCTGTTTTATGTGTGTGCATACAATATGGACATGTGTGTAACATATGCTGTCTGTGAATTGCTGTATAATTCACTCACTGGATACATAAGGAGTAGTTATCTGTGCTTATAAACATCCATTTGAATATATCTGCTATAATTATATGTGCTATTTAATAGACCTTTGTTGGGCAGACATTACCGTGACATTACAGTGTTAGCCAGAGGCAAAATGAAGCAAAGCTAAAGCGACACATGATATGAGTCGCCCCCACAGTGTAGTGAGTGATAAAAGGAGTCTTCAAATGTTGTTTTGTTGTGTTGTTGAGTACCAGAATAGAAGAACTAACAGCAATGTCTCATAAATTTGTGAAACAAGGGAGCCATTAAAAGGAGTACTTGACTTCTCCAAAATGCCTCAGCTTTTGTTTTTTGTTTTTTTTTCTGAGTGGTGTAGAGAGGACAAAATAAGCTTTCAGTGAGTCAGGCTGATGTTAGATTGTCTGTGCCCACGTGAATGATGGTTTTTGATGACGTGTGGTTTATTTTGAAGAGCTTCAGGGCTTTGTTGTACACAAGCTGTGGCTCCTTAGAACCAAAAATCTACTGCTGAGCTAAAGCTAAAGCTGACTGTCTTTGTGAGTCACTTTTGGCCGAACCAGGGCTGTGTGCTCAAGTGGTGGCTGACCTAAGGGTATGGAGCTGGTTGTCCTGGGTAAGAGGGGCAATAGTAGAGCTTTGTGACCTGTGTTGTCACTAGTGACTGACAGGGTGAGACACCACTTGGACCTAGAGGTGGCTCTGACAGAGGCTGAGCTGGACTGACTGGGTCACGGGTTGACAGTGAATGGCTGCTGTGCCTGTTAGTAACCTCAGTACTGACACTTTTCTCTCTTCTTTCCTGTTTCCAGGTAATGACCTGTTCCTGGTGGCGGTCCATGAGCTCGGCCACGCTCTGGGGCTTGAACACTCCAATGACCCGACGGCCATCATGGCTCCGTTCTATCAGTATATGGACACCGAAAACTTCAAACTGCCGATGGACGACCTGCTGGGGATACAGAAGATCTACGGTAAGGAAACCTGGGTTCATCAATATGTCTGTGCTAACCCCTTATCAAAGCTGGCTGTGGTCATGCACTCACTTCTTTATTGTTGTTATAGAATTTCATCATCTCTTCAAATAAGGCTGTAACACTAGAGATTATTTGTTTGTGAGATGAAAAATAAATGTTGAGACTACAATCTTTTAAACTTAGCTTGAGATATATAAACATTTTACTTTAAATCTAGACAAATATTGTATGTGTAATGCATAAAAAATTATGATAGAAATTTAAACTAAAAGGGTTCTTTGCGTCTAGACTTACTGATTGGTCATGAATTTCCAGTCCAGGGTAAATTGTCTGTGCGATCATGAAAAGAGCTATTAACAAACAGACATCAGAGTTAAACAAAAAGGGAGTAAGAAATACACTTTGTTGTTTTGAAGGGGGCTTGGCTAATAGGATTTAGTGATGCTGGTGTCTTATTTGGCATCCCTTGCCACTGTTGTCAAACATAAGGGTCAGACTCTGCGTGGATTTTGATGGGTAAGATAACATAAAAATAACTTTATTCATCCCTGAGGGAAAATGCGAATCAGAGTATGACCCGTTTAAAGCACATTTCAGTAAAACAAGGGTCCATGTAAAAATTGCTGTGTTCATTTAGCTTGGCTAAGGCCTGAAGCTGTTGTTACACCATGTCGAAGAGGTACATCTGATCAGACTTAACCACAGACAGGAAAAGACGTTTCCTTCCTTTTAAAACAAAAGCTTCTAAAATAACAGTTTTATAAGGCAATCTCCTCTTAAATGCTGAACATCAACTGGATTGCATTGAGCCTAAAAAAATCCTAAATGGAATTTGTACTGTGAAGTCAGCATTATGAATTGTATCATGAGTTTAATCGGACATCATATTCTGCAGGTTGGACTGAACTCAAACAACCAGGAATTGACATAGAGTTTTGATACTTAAGAGAAAATGTTGACCATGTTACTCTCTCCAGTTCAGAAGCAGATATTTAGGAATAAAGATTTTATTCAACAGTAGGAAATAAAAAAAGGTTGAGTATATAATATCACAGGGGTAATTGGGTCGTGAAGCCTGCAGTCTGAGTAATAACAAGATCTCTGGTTTATTTGATGCGATAATGTAACCCCGCTTTAACATCAGGTGTCTTTGACAAACATATTTAGCACTGATCTGAGGATCTGACCTGATTCACAGCATGTAAGACTGATCACAGCTCAGTCACACACCAAGATCACAGCAGAAACACGGCTGTTATATTCAATTTGATAGATTTATAGATTCTGACAGCATTGGTCCAGAACTCAGAGTCTGAAATGTAGATGAAAGCTCCATTCAGGCAGATGAGCTTTTACTGGTTATTCCAACGTTTAGTAGCCTGCTGTGTTACCTCAGCTTCAGATTTAGGTTTAGAGACACTTGTTGGGCAGTGACAGTGTTGTTCATACAGCTGCTGAATTACACACATGCACAGAAAACAAGCTGCCATCTGCCAACATGACCTCAGCTCGCCCCTGTGGGAGTGACAGACCCGGGCAAACGATCACAGCTCTGCTCATCTCTTTCTCTTTAACTCTGCTGACCCTTAGTCAACTCTTCTTCCTCCTCTTTTGCTGTCTTCTCCTCCTCCACCCCCTCTCTTTCTTTAACCCTAACCCTTGAAAAGAATTGCCACTTTCTGTTAGAATAGCTTTAGACTCCCAGTGATGGTATACTTAGAGATAGTAAAGAGCCGTCAGTTCAGTCTCTCTGACCCTCCTCTCCTCATAATGATGTTGTGGTGTGTCAGCGAGCGAGTACAGTTGTTATGTAAGAGAGCTCAGAGCTGTAATCTGGATCAGTTTCAGAAGATTTTACTATGACTGAGTCTGAGAGGAGATAATCCCCTGATCAGCTCTCTGACTTACTCTTTAAATCTACATCTACCTTTTGTTCATCTGTACAACTCTCTATTTATATACTGCTGTTGCTGCTCTCTAATTAGCTAATCATTGACTTGGCTGTAATATGCACTTCCTTTTATTAGTGTTCACACCTTTGAGTTTACAGCGGCTTTCAGGCTCATTATTGTATAGAGTTAAATTAGGTGGCCCACGAAGTGCATTCATCTCCTCCTGTTTGTGTTGATTCTGAGCAGACTGACAAATCAGAGTGTGTTTCTCACAGATGAACAAAGATATTCAGCCTCATGATGTCTCACCTCTTCTGTTTTTGTTGATACAAAAAAAAAGTGAATAACGGCTGTTTTGTTCATGTACATTTTTCTCTGACTGTTTTGGCATGTTACTAGAGCAAAGTTTACAGCATCCCTCTGTTTCCTGCCTTGGTGCAGAGTTATAAGCTAGCCAACTGCTGTCATAGCTCCATATTTACCAAAAGGTGTGCCAGCAATATTTAGAAAACCTAATCTATTCCTCCGTGTCTCCCTGCAGGTCCTCCTGACAAACTCCCACAGCCCACCAAACCCCTGCCCACGGCACCCCCACCTCGTTCTCATCCTCCCTCAGACCCCCGCAAACCAGACAGACAGACCCGACCCCCCAGGCTGCCCCCTGGAGACAGACCTTCCCACCCCAATGCCAAACCCAACATCTGTGAGGGTAACTTCAACACGCTTGCCATCCTGAGGAGGGAGATGTTCGTCTTCAAGGTGAGTCTGTTAGAAACAAACACACCTGAAGGTTGAGGGGTATGAGGATTGGGTTTGTTTGGACCCTGAAGCTGTGGGTGTGAGAGCACAAGCCAAACAAACCTGGAGACTGTGTTGGTGAAGTAGTTCCACACTAAACAGATGTATTCCTGCAGCAGAACTCTGCCTTTAACTGAAGTTGGGTGAACTGAAAAAAATGCACCTGGAGAAGAACTCATGTCTGGATTCAGACCAGGGAGAGTGGATCAGTAAATGTAAGGACCTCTGCAGAAACAGGGCGCCTGGGATTACCCATATATGTGTTTAGATGCAGAGAGAAGGAGCTGTTCTGTCAATCTGCTTCATTTTCAATCTGCTCAGGTTTACTTGTTTGAAAAGTTTCTCGAGGGGAGCATTAGCAGAGTTAAGCTTGTCCTCAGTCTGTAGCAGATGAAAAATCTAGGTCTGTCCTCAGTCATATTAAACCCACAGTGCGTGTGTGTGTGTGTGTGCATGTGTGTGTGTGTTTTACTGCTCAGTTAAAGAGCTGTTGTGCCTAAAAGGAACTCGCTCAGGTCACTCTGGGACAGTTGAACTGGAATTTGGTTGAAACGGATGTTTAATTCAGATGCTATGCACTCTGCTGCAGCACAGTTTAATCTGAAACTCTGGATTTATGGTTATTCCCTCTGTCACAGTGAGCAGGAGAGCTGTCTGACTCCCCTCTCGTGCAGGAGAAAGAGAGAGAAGTGTTGGTCCACCTCAGAGCTGCCCTGTGCCTCAGTGCTGAATCAGAGAGAGACTATCTGTGCAGGGATATAAATAGAAAGCTTTCAGTGTTAAATCAGAGCCGTGTGGATCCAGCAGGGATCCCCCACCCCTCGCCATTCTCTGTCCTCTCTGAACTTTACTCCAGTTTAAGGCCGAAGCTGCAACCTGTGGAAGTGTTTCACTGAAATCTGACCCAGATTTTCCTCATGGTGGGGATAATAATGTCTCTTTTCAAACGCTGTAGAATGCTGCTGTGAATGATTGGATTTCTGCAGACTGTCTGTGTGCACTGTGCAGACTGAAGAGATATTCAACAATCACTCGGCTTCTGTTTCTGTTTGAGTTTAGGAAGTGAAGTGAAACAAGGCCAGCTGGGTCTGAAACACTTTAATATATCTGTGGTTGGAAATTAAATTTTTTGCATCGTTGCTCAGACAAATTGTCTTGGCACAACTTCATGAAAAATAAATTCTGTGGTGTGGCTATGCCAAAGTCTGTAGCTTCTGCTGGAATAAAAATCATACTTTATATTGGTGTTGTGCACCTGATTTCAAAATCAAGAATGTTCTCTCTGTTTGGAGCTTTGTTTCCTCCTCATCACAACTGACAGACCAATGTGCAGAGGAAGTAAACACTGGAAATACTCAGCTTACAAAGACAAGAAAGAGGGCCCTCAGATGTGTGTTTGATGTAGATTGAACTACATGAGTAAAGTAATAAAGAGAGCTAACAAAGTCTGGACATTATAGCCTGCAACAACCCCCACCCCTGGAGGCAGCAGCATTTTTCAGTGTAAACAACATAAAAGCATTTTTATTTACCTGTTTTCATTCCACTTTATTTAAAGGGTGAAGTTATTACCTCAAGATGGGTGCAGCAGTATTACAGTGCAGTGGTTCCCGCATGTAAACAATACCTTGGCAGGACTCCCAAGTATAATTCATGACCATTTTTTCATCAGTACAAGGTTTGCTTCATTGATCAGTCATTACGTTTACATGACACTCAAGAAAAACAAATTATTGCCTTACTCCGATTAAGACCGGACAACTGAATTTCATGTAAACACCTTGGTCTGACTAGAATTGGAGTTTGAGAACTCTGATTGGAGCCGGAGAACCCAGATTAAGACACCTAGATGATGCGATTGGAATTGGATTTTTTCTTCCATGTAACCAGCGTAGTCAGAGTATAATCGGACAATGCATGTGCACCACGCTCTCGTAACCCCGGAACAAAAACACCAGAGAAGAGGAGTAGCGTGCATCTCATCTGCAGAAAAAGTAGTGCGTACATCATGTAGGACAATAACAACGCTGAACTGATGCTCCATCTTGTTGCTCAAAATGCCCAGCAGCAGTTGTAGCCACTTCTGACGTCTGGCACGGACCTGCTGTTGTTGTTGGGTCAACCGGAAAAAGTGCAGCTGAAAAGACCCATATCGCCCTCAAGTTTTGGGGAGGAGGACACATTCACGTCAGTAATTCGATTTTCTCAGCTGGATGTATACGCGGACAAGGAGAGAAGTCAGATTTGGTGAAAAAAGATGAATTATGAACTTAGTCCAATTAAGCTGTACTCAAACACATATTTGTTTGATTTTTATGAGGCATGACATATTACATTTGGTTATTAGCTTAGTGTTTTAAGTATATAGGTTGTTTCAATACACATGAGCAATCAATGCAGAAAGATTCCCCAGACCACCAAAGCTATCTGAATACTCAGAGCTGCCTGAGCATGTGTTTTCTGCATTTACTTTAAGATTGATTGTGTCCTGGTTGCATTCCTGACTGAAACCCAATCATGTGGACTTGTTTTTATTTGATCAATCAAACAAATGGGCGGAAAACTGGAAACACTGAGAGTCTAGAATAATTTTCTGTCAAATGTTCTTGTTGCAGCAATTCACATCAGGTAGTTTGAGCCTTGCTCAACAGTGTATGTCTGCAGAGATTGAATGTTAAACATTGTTTATGGTTCTGTATGTTCTTAATCTATGCAATGCTATGAGTTATATCCAGTATGTTGCTGTGAAAATACGTGGAAAAAATGCATTTTTTTTTTTTTTTTTTTTTTTGCCATAGGATAGGTCTAGTGCTTTTTAAGCTCGTAATGATAATTAATCCTTAATATTTCCAATATTCCACGATCTATCATGAACCAAACTTTGAATTTGCATTCCAAGTCTGTACCCTGGCCCCCACCCTGGAGGTGAGGTGTGCTCTCCGCCTCAGGCTTCCACATGCACATATGGACAAGCAGGGCCAAATAAAACTATGAGGAAAAAATAATAATTCTCTTGACGAAAGCGGTCCTGACTGAACTGTGATTTATCGAGTCTCTGGCTGTCAGCCCGTATCTCTGGTCTGATGGAAACATGTGGAGTAAAAATGTCCGTCAAAACGTTTATGATGATTTTCTTTTAGTCCATAAAAGAAATGCAGCTCTCTGTTTTTTTTCTTCAGAGGGTGGGTCTGATAAAGAGGATGAGTTGCACATGGAGCTGAGATCATAAATCCTCTGTGTTCACATCATCAGGACCACCTGTAACAGCCTGTGGGCAGCAGTTTGCCCTGGTCTCTGTCTGTCAGGGAGTTTCTCGGGTGCAGGTGGTCCTCTTATTTCTTCCTCCACACAGAGAGTTTCCAGCAGCTCAGAGGTTTCTGTTCTTTAAATCACTGCAGACTTTTGACCAGCTGATCTTGAGTTTGAATCACAGATCTATGTGTGTGTGTGATACATATTGACTTCTCAGATTACCAAGGTCCTCATATTAGTCAGTTTTCTGGGTGAACTGATGCAGATTTACAGTCAGAGCTGTGTTTCGGCTCAGGTTTTGTCCTCGCTGTGGGTGATGTGACTGATTGGCTGCTCTGTTACTTCCTGATGTAGATCCTTTCTCTGGCTTCTCTCCGTCCTCTGCTGATTGTTTTGGGAGAGTCGAATCGAGTCGAGTCGATGCCAAGTCATTAAACCCAGATCCCAGCAGCCCCTGAGGCCCACAGGTGGTGTGGAGAGGGAGGGGAGGGGGTTTACACAGGGAGGGTTTCTCTGAGGCTTTTACACGGTTTCACTTTTTCCTCTCTGACTACAAGTGATCCATCAACTTCTATAGTTTACATCTTAGGCTGGAGCGATACCAAAAACCAACAATCATCAGCGTTTTATCTGCTTTCAAAGCTTCATCCGAGGGAACCTGTTGGTCTCCAAGCCAAAAGTATCATGTTAATATTCCTATAGAACAGCTGTCTGTTGTTAATTCATCCTCCCTTCCATCTGTTTATTTGTTTGCTCATTTGTTCCTGCAACTGGAACCTGACTCCTTCATAGCTCTGAGATTTCGTCCTGTTTGCTCTCAGCCTCCCAAAGGTCTTAAAGAATACAGGAGTGTAGATGAACATGTATTTGCCTACAGAATATTTCCTCTTACTGTATATAGAACAAATTTTTGTTATTTTGACAAATTTTATAGCTTCAAAATCTGCTTAATGAGAATAACACTTCATCTTTTGTGCACACTCTTAAAGGTTTAACTTTTCTACATCCATACTAGGGCTGGATATTGTCAAGAACCTCACAATTCAATTTAGTTTTGATGTTTTGGGTTAAATTTTGATTCAGCTATACGCATAGACAATGGTTATCATCTGTCGTGTAATTTCATAGTGTTGTTGATGCAGTGTGGCTCCACTGTGGGTACGATCTTCTTAAAGCTGCATTTAACAGTAATCCAGCAGACTCATCTGAGCCACAGTTTGTAAAGATCAGCGCAGTGTTAGTTTAAAAGGGTTGCAAAAGTTTAGCATGTTATTGTTATATTTTGCCCACCCCAGCTTATAAACATCCCATCAGTGTCTTATCGCAGTTTCACATCTAAATTTTGTATCATTTAGTTGTTGTTTTTAAATTATACTGTTTCCTTTTGTTGTTTTGTATCTCTTTGTAATTGTTTCATTCTGTGGATGTTTGTCATAGTGTTTGACCAATATTGGTTATTGGCTTATACTGATTATTAGTTGTTTACTAGAGCAAAAACCAATATTTGGAACCAGTATGCACTGACAGTAAAAATGAAAAACTTTCTGTTGACATTTAAAATTGAGGATATCACAAACTCTTGTACAAAACACTTCAACGAAGCTTGAAGTTTATATTTTATTAACGTGTCAAACATATATATTTGTTTGGCCAGTTGGCATGGACATACATGTCACCTCAAGTTCATTTGTCCACTTTCAGAGCGCAGAACTAGCTAAACTCATTGAACATGTGAAGAAAACTGCTGCATCAGTGCTTGTAAAAGTAGATCTCTGTCCTGTATGGACTGGATTTATTATGCTGCTACCAAAAATGTGTGTTTAAAGCAGTGTTGACAGAACTACAAAGTCCATATCATGGCAGATTGTGACACCAGTGACAGGACTGAAACCCACAAACCGCCCACCACTACTTACTAGTTGTTTTGAATCTCTTCATAGAGGCTCTGGCTTCCTCTCCTTCACATTTTTTTTTACTTTAGAGCTCCAACAAAGTAGCTTTTTGATCATATAATCTTTCTACCTGTTGGTTTAAATTTTTATCAAACTTGACTTTCTCACCATGTTTCAGTCATTGAAGCAAATCATGGAGCTGTCAAAGCGCAGAAAGTCTTTCTGTGCTGTGACGGGAAAATGTAAAAAAATGTATGAGTATTCATTTAATCTGCAGAAGATGGAGCAAATCAGCCGTGATGCTCTGCATGAATTAGCATGCACAATGAGACAGAATTTATGCAGAAACATGTTTCATATTTTAAACTTGTGCAAAGACTCAACATGTTATGACTGTTCTGTAGGTTTCTGTGATTGCAGCTGAAGTTTGTATGAGTGCAGTCTGCAGATCAGAGCTTTATTTTCAGAGTGGGAGTGGAGGAAGAACATTTTCTTTTTCTTAAAAGTCAGAATGATTCAGAACGGTCAGATTTCACAGTTTGATCTGTTTTCAATTACCCGGCCAGGCTGCGTTTAGAGGAAAACGCTGAAACATGAAATCTACAGAGGCAGACTGTACAGAGAAGGGGGAGGAGGAGAAGGAGGGGAATGAAAAGATGAGGAGAGGAGTGGAGGGAGAGCCCCGCAGAAACAATCAAACAGAGAGAGAGATGGAGCAGAGAGGGTTTGATAAATGTTCTGTTTGTTCAGCTCTCACCAAGGAGGAGGACGTGAGTCTTTATTGTCCTATCATGCCAAAAGGTGGGACATCTCTCTGAGTTCTGATGACTTTCACAGCTGGGTCTCCCTCCCCCTCCACCTCCTCCTTCTCCCCCTGTCATTGAGTTTCATCCAACATCAAACAGACACACCTTCCAGTTGGCTGCGCTCACGTTTCCCTCAGGAGGAAATCTGAGTGTGTTGGCGTCTCATGGAGCTGCTGGCCTTCTCTCTGTTTCTGGTGCTTGTTCCAGTTTGTTCTTCATCATCTGTGTGCGCTCTGACGCTCTCGTCGCTCCAACTGGAAACCTGAGAGAATGTCAAAGTCATCAGTTATCACAACAGCACCAGCAGACGAGCCGGCTTCAGCACTCAGATATCAGGTGTTGGAAATCAGTGCCAGCTCTTTAAAGATGCAGAATTCATGATACTTTTACAAGGCCGTTTCCAAAACAATTGGGGATCCTCTGTAGATGCAGATAAAAGCAGAGTTTGATGGTTTGCAAATCATTTAAAATCTGAATTTAATTGTAAATAGTGCAAAGACAACATGTTGACACTAATTTCGATTTTCTTTTTTCTTTTATGAAAAAACAGCGTTGAATTTTTAATTTCACACTGCTACGATGTTTCAAACTGTTAAAGCAAGGGTATGTTTTTGAGTGCTTTGCATCAGCTACACCTTGGAAATGTTTGTGAACCGAGGACTCAAGTTTAAAAAGTTTTGAAAGTGGAATGTTTCATCCTTACCTGACAGAGAACATCAGCTGCTCAGTCACAGGTGTTCACTTCCTAGAACCCGAAATCTTAATCTTTTCTGACATCCCTGTTTGTTTTGTGTCTCTCTGTGTGTCTCAGGATCAGTGGTTCTGGAGGGTCAGAGATAACTCTGTGATGCCGGGGTACCCCATGCTCATCAGTGTGTTCTGGAGAGGTCTGCCCCCCAAAATCGACGCTGTCTACGAGAACAGTGAGGGGAAGTTTGTCTTCTTCAAAGGTGAGTCTACGTTTGACTTAAAACATGTCTGTGTGAGTTTTTTTTTGTTTTTGTTTTTTATTATTATTTATTATCAAAGTTAGTGAGAGTCTGGCCTAGTCTGGTTCAGACTCTTCTGTCTTTTCCCTGCTGTCAGCTCACAGGGTGAGCTCTGTATTCAGGCCTGTATGTTTCCTCTTTGTATGAACTCTGGTGGTCATACCGCTACTGGTTTGATTAACAGCTGGTGCAGATGCCACTCATCAGAGATCAACGTGGCTGTTGGTCAAGACATACTGCAGATGTCATGTTGTTGTTATTGTTGTGCTTGTGTAATTGATTGAGTACAGCAGTTTTATGATCATAAATGAGAAAAGAGTAATGCATAATTCCATTATTTCATGCTTATTATTTTCTAATACACATGGTTGTCTGAGCCAGGAGTGTGTTTTAGATAGGCTTTAATAAATAGTGGTAATAATGTCTTAAATTATATCGCATCTTTAAAAACATGGGTTAACAAAGTGCTCTGACACACAAGCAAAAATATTTTAGAAGGTAAGAACAAAATAACCCAAACCACAAAGAGGTCGGAGGACAAAATAACAAATCCAAAGCAGAAAAACAACTACAACACCAGAAGGAGCTCACAGCTGAATACCTTAAAAAACAGTGACACTAAGAGGATGAAAAGATTTAAGATATTGTAAGAATACCAGGAGGTAAAAGCAGTGTATGAATAAAAAGATGAAAACTGTTAAAGCACATAAAAGCAATAAAAAGAGATGACCACAGTAAATAAAGCAGTAAAAGTACACTGAAGAAATACAGAAAGCAATCAAACAAGTCAAAATGAAAATAAAAAATAAAAAGGAGAGTGGTTCAGAGAAATAACAAGAAAAATAAATAATGAATAGTAAAAGCCAACAGAGGCATTGAAGGAGAATAAAATAAGAGGCAACAGGAACACCTCACAGAAAAGTGACTGCCTGCAGTGTCTGTAGATGATATTTTTTCCTTTTTTTTAAATCACACTTGTGGTTACAGGCATCAGCTTATTTTAAAATGCCATGTAATGACTAATTAATGAGTCTATTTCTACTCTGAACATTTGTTCTTGTGTTACCCAGCATGAGTTTTTATTTTTATTAATGGTTTTGTTTTTTGTTTTTTGACACTATCAGCATCTCAGAGAATGAATCCACCATCGCTCTGTAAGATTACAGTTGTATTTATGATCAATCTGTAATAAAACTCAAAGTAATACAGCAGCTATAATATTCAATAACACTTGTCTAAAGCTAGATTTTAATATGTTTCGGGTTAAATCTTTATCCCTCCATAATAGATCCGCTGTGAAGGTGATTTTCTGTTCTGTATGAGCTGTCAGATTGAGATTTCTGCTTCTCTGAGCAGATTTGTCCACGTTTCAAACACAGCTTGAGCTTTCAAAACCAGATTTAAAGGTAATTATGTCTGCAGCTGAACAGTCACTTACAGCAGCAGCAGTAGCAGACAGACGTGGCAGAGCTGTTTGAATCACTCACAGAGGGAGGAGGAGGAGGATGTAAATGAAAGGAGACGTGGGTAAGCAATGAGAGTCTGCAGGGACACAAACTACAAATCTTCATTTCTATTTCAGTTCCTGGAAATGCAGATGACACGTCTTCACTCTCTCTCTCTCTCTCTCTCTCTCTCTTTCTCTCTTTCTCTTTCTCTCTCTCTCTCTGTAAAGCAGGACCGACACAGATTCATAAAATTTGCACTTACAGAATGACAAGTTTCGTTTGAACTCACACAGCTGATTTCCCAGAAGGCTTCGTCCTGTCTGTCCCTGTTTGGAATAACAATGAGACAGAAAGTTGGTCAAGAAACCAGATGCAGAAACGTGGATCCCGGTTTCCCTAGCAGCCTTTTTTTAAAAACAAATGAAATATGGAGGTGAAGAGTCTGATGTGACTGAAGCTACAGTTAGTTGTTGTTTTGAACCAAACTTGTTTGGTGTTTCCTGTGTTTCACTGATTCAATTTCTCTCTGCTTTTGCAAGTCAAATACATGTGGTGTGAAAATCATAACCATCAGCCTGTGAACAGTCTGAGTCTTTGCTCACGGCTCACTGACTCCATGCATACAGGCTGTAAATGTCAAAAACACCAGTATGACTGACCTGGATCTCAGACTGAGAGGCTGCTTCGTACATTCACATGAATTTAATCAGGATTTTCACATGCAGCTGATCATCCATTAGTGTGTTTTTCCTTACCAGCTGATCCAAACAGATCATGGTCAATGCTCTCTGTGTCATGAGGACGGACAGAGATGTTAGCTTCTTTACTTACCTGCCACAGGTGCGATAAAGCAGGGGTTCCCAAACTTTCAGATAAGGACTGAAAACAAAAATTAGGGGTCTTTCCAAAACCTGGATTTAAAAAAACACCATGAATCCCCAAAGCTTCATGTTTGGCACTAGCAGAGCTGGGCACATGCATTAATCCATCTATGGTTATCTGCATTACTTTTAAATAACTTTTAACAAGGATGCCATATTGAAAGACGCCAACTAAGTCTGTTAACTTCTCTTCAGCATTGTCATTGTTGCGTCACTTGACTTCATTAAAGGAACGCAGCACTGTGGCAGCAGACAGTATCCACAATGACTCTAGTAGTAGTCCATGTGTTGGTAGCAAACAGCTCTGAAGAGCCATTCGGAAGCCAATAAAAGCCTCCTACTACTGAGCCTAAGGATCTGGGTCCCTGAAATTCCCATCATTGGACGCGTATACCTTGAAGTGGTTTAGCAGAAAAAGAATAAGGATTCAGCTCCTGCTTTTATATGAATCTCCTGCCTTCGTAGATTAGAGATTATATAGTTAATTCCTGAATCTGATGGATCTTTATGGATTTCTTTCGTTGAATCCCGGGGCAAACTGTCAGACTTTCAACAGGTTTTAGCGTAAACATTATGCTAACCTACATTAATTTTGAACAGTATGAATAGATTGACTATTACTGAAGTCGTCTTTGTAAATACTTTAACAATCAGTGGAGTTAAATTTTGGATGAACTCTTCTTACCACTGGAAATCACGCTGCTAACTAGTGGTGAGGTAATTGCAAGATGACTCCGACTCTCTAATGCATTATAATGTAGCTTTCAGTGTAGAGTGGACACAGAAGTATAAACCAGGAGTTAGAGCGCTAGTTAGCCAGAGTTTCTAACGCCTCTTGCTCTCATTTACGACAACAAATACTGTTTGATTTATTCCAGAATAATGAAAGAGGTCAGTAAACAAAAAATAATTCCTGTAGAGAAAACTTATTCTTACCAGGCGGTAACATGTTTGTTTCTGCTGTAAAATTTAACACTTTAAAATAGGGTTCTATGGGGACTGGCTCACTTTCAGAGACAGCCTCTAGTGGATGGTCAGGAAACTGCAGACTTTGATCAATAGCTCCTCCAGAAATGTATGTACATTCAGACTTACTTTCCCAACATTGTCCTGTGTGTGTTTTTTTGTTTTGTTGCAAACATAGAGGTAAGACTTGGCGGTTTTTAACAGCTTTGTTCTTGTCTGAACAAGACCAAAGTCATACTAATCAGACAATTACAAACACCTCAAAACTGTTTTACTGCTCTGAAGTTTAACAAAAACTTTATGAGGAAGTAAAACCCACCAAACTGTTACAAAAAAAGACAACCAGGATTTTATTTGAGACTGTGGGAGAGGAAAAGGCTTTGGGTTTCTCTTTGTTTTTTTGTGAATCAAGTTAAACTCTTTGTGTTTTGGGCTGGGAGACTGTTTCAATCTCAGGGTGTGGTGTGTGAATGAGTTTGTGTGTGTGTGTTAGAGGAAGTGTGACCCAGAGTGAGTGCAGCGCTGTAAGAGAAGGAGGTGAAATGACAGGAATTTCCTCTCCAGAACAAGACCACTCACATTCAGCCAGCACTGCCTTCTCCTCTGCATCTATACACCCTACCCCTCCTCCTGCCTCTCTTCTCCTCTTCTGCTGTACAATAAAAACACTTCTTATAGTTCAAAGGTCAGATATTGTGAAGTTGGGTTCATGTCTGCTGTATTTCACGCCTGTTTCCTGTATTTGTTAAGTAAAGGCAGCAGGTCATCTTACAGCTGATCCCGAAGATATTCCATATCTGAGCTTTTGTTCCGACAATAGATCAGTAATTTCAAATCAAATGAACAAAAACTGTGTATGAGGTGAGTCAGCAGAGGATATCTGACCTCCTGTATGTTTCCTCTCCACCTTCGTCATTCCTCCTCCTACTCTTTGTTCTCTTTTTGCTAACACACTGCTCCTCCACCCTCTTCCTCCTCTGACGCCCAAAACCTCCCTGATGATGACGAGCACTTCCTGAGATCAACCTGTGTCAGAGATGTGCTGTTTAACCCAATTACTCCACAGGAAGCACAGGAACAACGTCAACACATCCACTTCGACTGAAACTGCACATCGCTTTTCGATAAGGTTCAGGTGTTTAACTCTGACTTTAGAGACTTGTAGTTTAAAGTTACTGTGGTCTCTGTAAAGTGGTTCCTCTGAGGCAGGTGAAAAAGAACACCTCAGCATGTCTGCCTCCTGCTTTCAATCAGTAAACTTCATCATACAGCGTGGTAACACAGGGCAGCAGGTCATCGTATGCACATCTATAAATCTGCCCCAGTAGGCTGATCCAATTGTCCTTCCTTGTCTTATTTAGTCTTTTTCTTCATGTGCAGGGAAGCAATTCTGGGTGTTTAAGGACACAGTGCTACAACCGGGGTACCCAAAGGACATCTCTCAGTTTGGACACGGCATGCCAGCTCAGAGCATTGAGACCGCCCTGTGGTGGGAGGATGTGGCCAAGACCTACTTCTTTAAAGGGGACAGGTATGATTTACTTCCTCAGAAGGGACAGGTGGGTCAGATAAAGTAACACGCCTTTGAGATACTCTAATAATTCACAAAGAAAAGCAGCTGCAGCTATCCGCAAGACACAATCGCCTCCCATGCTCTGTTCAACAAATTTTGGGCAGCAGCGGCTGCAGGATTGTTTGTGCCATGAACTCACAATAACCAAATTCAAATGTGATAAAATGATAATAAACAGGCTGAAAGGGATGCTGTAATGATAACACTGAGATAGTGATGTGTGAATATAAAGTCTAAATTGAGGATTTGTCAGGTCAGTCTGTGAGACATGAAAAACAAATTCTTTGTAAATTGGACTCCTTGTTTTTTTGATCACAGCACAGCGTCACACTTACTTCCCAACTTAAATGAACAGAAAAAGGCCATTGAACAAATTAGCATTTTACAGCACAAATCACTGTGTTGACTTAACATTCTGTGCTCTGCAAAACTATCCACCTCCCTGGAGCTTTTCTGCATTCTGTCATGTTCAAATGGACTCTGTGGAAGACTGAGTGAAACGGATCAACATTAAAAAGTACAAAACTCTAGAATTGACTAAACTAAAAGTGGATTTAATCCAAAGTTGTCAAACAGATGGAAAACTCCCCTAGTGTTTGGAATTCCCCAGGGTGTGGTCCTTGGGCCAATGCTTCTGCTCGGCCATTTGTTTTGGCAATTCCCTCATATTTCATATCATTATCAAGCTGATGACACACATATAAATTTTTTCATAAAACTCAATGATGTCAATTAGGTAACATCTCTCCATAACAGTTTTTCTGTTTTCCATCTTTGATTTCCTTCATCGAACAAAATTGAAATACCAATAATAGGTTCTGACACCTTCACCACTCCTGTTCAAGATGTTTTTGTTCAGCTGCAATCAAATATCAAACCCTTTGCTAAAAAATGTTCCTACTAACAGTGCTTTGCTGTGAGATCTCAAAAAACTGATGTGTAAAATGCATGCAGGTTACGTTTTCCCTAACCCAGCTTTTATGCATCATTAGCGAAGTTTACTTCAAGACTTTATTCAACCAAAAGAATGAATTAGTCATGTTGCACATGAAAAATCAAGGCAGGGAGAGAATCAGCGAAAACCCGTATTCTACAAAACAAAGCAGGCATCAGTGTGACACTGGTAAAATCAAACACTGCATAAAAGGAGGAGCTGGGATAGAGGTGGGATGCATCAAAGGTAATTGGCTCGGCTGTCAGCTGACACGGGCTGGGTTTGCTGATGTAATGTGGGCTGAGCTTGACTCTGTTGCTCAGTCAATGTGAGACATTTACATGTTAATTAGTACTGTGAGACTCTGCAGACATCGGTCAAAACTCCTCAAAGAGCCTTCAATTTACAGATCTTTGTGTCAAAATATCAACTTAGCATCAGTTTCTGCAGAGTAGAGCTCAAAGGTCAAGATGCGCTAAATGTAATATATTTCATTCAGCGTTTGCTCTGTCTCTGCCGTTTTGTGTGCAGGTATTGGCGTTACAATGAGGAAATGAGGACGATGGACCCTGGGTATCCAAAGCCCGTCACGGTGTGGAGAGGAGTGCCTGACTCACCACAGGGAGCCTTCGTGGACAAAGCCAATGGTACGGACTGTCCTGATCCCCTGAGCTGGCACAAACACACACAAAAGCACAAACAGCTTCATAGGCCAGTAACTTGCGTGGCACACTGAGCATTGACTGAAACATGCTTCTGTTCTCGTAGTCTGGGGGTGATGCTACCGTACAATCAGAGGAGCTGATGGCGTGTTAGCGTTGGGAAAATATATAATCAGGTCAGGTTTTAGTTTTTAGTCTGTTTTTACATCGCTCTGTCCTTCTCGCTGTGTCATGAGACCCATGAGGCCACTGCTGCGTCTCATTCTGGCTTGAGCTCTCGCCAAGCCTGAGAAGGTGGGGCTGACACACCTCAGAGAGCTCACTGATTGGTTTGTCAGATTGACTCACTCCCCATTGGCTGTCATCAGTCAGGTGTGCTGACGCTGGTCTTGGCATCAGGCTGTAGGAAAAAACAGAGCAGGTGGCGCTGAACACTCAGACCATCTGTGAGAGGATAGGCTGCCAGATCTGAGGGGGCGGGGCCACCGGTGAGGGCATGTGAGGCAGGAAGGGAGGAGGCTGATGGTGTTTCTGCATTATATGAATCTGCAAATATGTGTCAAGAGTGTTTGGCGCAGACAGTGTGTGAAGTGACACGATTGTGACATTGACCCACATAATCATTTATAGTGTGTGAGAGTGCGTGTGCTGGTGTAAGAGTGTGTGTGTTTGAGTAGGCCTCAGGACTGTGTTAACCTCGTTGTAACCCACCACAGCCCATCCCCTCTCACCTCTCTTAATGTCTGTGTTCAGCATAAAAGGGAATCTTTCTTGCTTATTTATTGTGATACAAAAAGTACAGGTAGTCCATGTAGAAAGCCTTTAATAGCTTCTGCTTTGGCTCCAATTAAAAGTCCAAAATTCCCCCAAGTATAATTTAATGTTGTAGAAAGATTCAACTTCAGCTGCAAACAAAGTAAATCAAGTATCTTCCTTCTTGTTCATGCAGAGATTTGGATGTGTTTAAAAGTATAACCACTGTAAAACAACCAGAAAATAACTTTTCATTTTCAGTTTGACACATTAACTTAAGCTGCTCTCTCTCTCTCTCTCTCTCTCTCTCTCTCTCTCTCTCTCTCTCTCTCTCTCTCTCTCTCGCTCTCTCGCTCTCTTCACTTTGCCTCTCAAAAAAATTTCTGGTGAAGATACCAGTTTTAATATCTTAGAAAGTTTTGATGCTTTTTGAAATTAAAAAAAGATGGATATTATTTTATTTCAAGCATGAGGTGTTTAAAAAGAATCAAATGATTATAAATTCTTGCAGCCTTGATCAGTTTATTCAAAGATGGAAAAGAAAGGATATTTGAATGCTTTCAAAACTATTTCATGATATCTGAAACTCATAGAGACAGGTCAGGCTGTGATAAAAGGTTTATAATAAGCCTGCTGTGGATAAAGTTTGTAGGTTACATAAACTACAGTCCGCTCTGCTCTAACAGTCCTCTCTGGCACCCCCTCAGGTTTTACGTACTTCTACAAGGGGAGGGAGTACTGGAAGTTCAACAACCAGTTCCTGCGGGTGGAGCCGGGGTACCCTCGCTCCATCCTTAAAGACTTCATGGGCTGTGACCTGACCCCCATTGACCCTGCCCGCCCCCCCACAGACGATGGGACGTCAGATGTGGTGATCGAGCTGGAGGACGAGGCAAGCACAGTGCAGGCAGTGGCCATCGTCCTGCCGTGTGTGCTGTCCCTGTGCCTGCTGGTCCTTATCTACACCGTGGTGCAGTTCAAGAGGAAGGGCACGCCGCGCCACATACTGTACTGCAAACGCTCCATGCAGGAGTGGGTCTGAGACACAGGGTGGTAGAGAGGGGATAGGGAAGCTCCCACCCTCACATTGAAGGACCATGACTTTGCACAGTTGCGCCCCCTCCTCCTCAATGGGGACCATCAGCCTGTCTGCAGCCCCACCCCCCAGGACCCAAAGCAGACTCTGCTGACCCCCCAGCCTTTTTGATCAAACAGGGGGGGAGGCAGAGGGACAGATCTAGAGACGCAAACAGGGGAGGGGGGGTCGACTTCTCTTTGTATGTCATAAACTGGACGTCCTACTCTTTAACTCTGCTCTCAATCAGGAAGAGGACCTTCAGGGGTGTGTGCCCCTCCCCCCACAGGGCACTGCATCCTCATCTGTCATATCAGGTTGTTGATAAATCTGCAGTTTTATATTTTCTGATCTCAGTTCCCCCCCTTCCCCCCTTGCTTCATTATGGATAAACAGGATGTGATCACTTGACCAACCTTAAGTCTGTGTTTTGTTTTGTTTTGTTTTTTTAAGTTTGATTTCAGGAGGTCCTCACTGTTCCCTTTAACGCGACCAAGAGACCAAACCAAAAAAATCTTTCTCTCCAAAGAGGATCACATTGGTTTTAAGTTTTTATCTGTATTATTATTTTTATTTTCCTTTCTGCTTGGAGAGGCGGAGCTCTGACTGTTGTGGCGGTCTGTCTGAGTCACAGGGGCCAAATGATTCTGCAATATTTTAACTCGCCTTAATTATTCATCATACTACATGTGCTTGAGTTCTTTTGATTTGTCTACTGCTTTGTTTATTTGTTTGTTTGTTTGTTTTTAAAAGAAGCTTAATGGAAGCTTTTTGTGATTGCTTTTTATTTCTCTGAATTTTGCTACGTTACCCAGAATCCTCAGCACTGGTTTGCTGAGTCTCTGTGGACAGAGTCCCATCAGAGTCATGGTGCGTTTCCTTTACTTCAGAAGTTGGATAACAGAGCAGTGAATAATATCATGTGAACCATGGTCCAGATCCACTTCAGAAAGCTGCTCAGCTTGTAGCTCTTGTTGTTGTTAACATTGTTAGCTAACACCAGGTGATAATGAGACATGTAATGGTTTGCGCAGCATATCCACTGATGGAACTTGCACAAGGCCGTGAGTGTGGTTGACTTTATCATAAAATAAGTTGCTGATAAACACTATTTCAGCTGTTGATGTAAGGAGTGGCCATTTTGGATATCCAGTTTGAAGTTGCTAAAGTTTCTCCCAGTTCCATGTAGGAGTCTTAAATTCTGAGGGTGTTTCTGATGACATATTCTACAAACATCCTTAAAATCCAACTTCTGAGATCAAGTGAAATGCACCGAGTCTCATTAGGATCAGTCTGTACCCAGAGTGATGATGTGTGAGTTTAAAGAAAGTTCTGGATTAAAGCCACTAAGTCTGTGTGTTCATGTTATACAGGATCAGCTGATATCAGTCATCTCAGAGTGTTTGTTTTTCTGTCTATGGCCCATAACCCCTCAGTCTGTGTGTTTATCTGTGAATGAACAGAGCTTTTTTTTTAAGAGTCCAGTTGACTGCCTTGTTTGAGAGAGCCTACAGTTCCCAGAATGCTCTTTGTCTCCTGACTGAGGACCCACAGAGTGAGGTCCAGATCAGTGCCTGTGTCAACGTGCATGCAGCATTAACTGAACATCAGCCGCTTCTGCTCAGCGTGGCTCTGAAAGAGTTCTCTAAGAATACTGTTTGCGTTTATTTTCGTACATTTTAACTGTAACCCTTGACCCCGACCCCACCAAATCAAACCCCTCCCCCAAACCAAACCCCTTCCCCTCCCTTGTTACCTGCAGGTACAAAGAAACTCTCAAGGGTTCTTGTGGTACATGTTGGCAGATCTAATCAGCCTCAGCTATCAAACTGACCATCAGTCAACCAATGTGTGTCTGTTTCCATGACAACAAACTGTTTATTTTTCTTCTTCTCCTGTTTTCTGGTCAAAACAAAATGGACATCCCTCGATGTCTTCTGTGTGTAAGAGTTTTTGGCGACGGGGAAACGTGTCCTGATAGAATGAATAAACTGGTGATAATGATTCAGAGCTGCCTCCGACTCTCTCCTCTTCTTTAATGTAGACGTGGGGGATGTGTGAGGAAACATTCTGATATATGTTCAGCTGCTTCTGCCTTTTTTAGTTTATATCATCAAATTCTGAGGATTGAGCTTCTTGAGGGTTTACTCATGTCATATCACATCACGTAGTCATCTGCATTTCACTTCTACCTGTTGGCACTGTGGCAAAAACATTAGTTTCAGCTGACATGCCCAAAACATGAAAAAATATGTAGGATATTTTAAAGTGAGAGTCTGTCCTGCAATCAGGCAACGGAAGCACCACACCAGCATGCAGTTTATTGGGCCATGGTCACTGGTGGTATTTTGCACCCGTTAACAAACTGTCTCTGTTAGTCTCCCCTTTTCTTTTATTATAAGCCCCAGAAATTGATTTGTCAGGGCAAAGCTGCTGCATTTAAGACTGCCGTCTTGCCATCAGTGAAGGGGAAATGAAATAAAAGGGTCATTTTTTTAATCTCTTCCTATAAGAAAGACAGATTCAGAGAGTGAAAATGAACAAATTAAGAAACTAAGGTATTTATAGAGCTGTAGAAAAACGCTAGGCACACATTAATCAATCTGTTGATCATCAGTGTTAGTTTTTTTTAATTTACTACTTTGAAACATTGATTCAAAAACTGATTTAACCTTTAACTGCTGTTAAATTCAGTTTTGGTCTTCATTTTTGCATCCCCTGACTATACTGCCGGAACAAAGAATTGTGGCAGCAGATGGTATCAAGTGTGTGTCAGTCCTTAATGACTCTGTTCTTGTGAATAAACAATATGAAGAGCAAACTAAAAAAAAATTCTTGCTGGATCTCCAAAAAGAGCCTGAATTCCCATCAGTAAGATCTTTACCTGAGAAGAGGAAGGTTCCAAACTTCGCTCTTAGGTGGTAAGATGGATCATAAAGAACCTGAGCAACATCATAAGGACTTCGTAGAGTTGAAGAAATCTGTAGATTTTCCTTGGATGTTATGTGCTAGGGTTTAAATTTTTGATGAACCGTGCCTGCCTCTGAAGTAAGATTCACACTCCATGTTTACCATAAAAAATGAGGATTAAAGGCAGGTTCTGAGGCTGATAATCTCCATATGAAAACAGCAGGAGTTTTGTTTTGTCAGTTTAAAAGTTTTGTTAATTAGTGTCAAAAGTTGGCTGTGGAGCTTAGTTGGTAATGCACTACAGTACCATCAACAAAGAAATCAAATCATGCATCCCTTTATGACTGAGGGCAACCCAACCAATGGTTCAAAACTGTCAGTGAATCATTTCTAATGCTGGATCATACTTCGATTCACTTATGAATGCATTAAACACGGTCCAGCTGTGAGTGTCTTGACAGTTTGAGTTACAGATGATCAACACATGCTGCTCATGTCAATGTGAAACATTCATCCTGGACCTGGACTCTGAACTGTATTTTACTGCTCCCATTTCCCTTTTTCTCACACCCACACTCTGATCACGCCAGCCTTCACTCCTCCCACATCCATCAGAGCTCCTCCATCAGCCCCTCAAAAAGGAAAACATCATTTTTTCCTTTTTATCATAAGAAAACTTATCTTCTTCTCTGTGCAGAATGTGACAGATGAAATCCTCCCTCCATATCCCTCAGGTGCATTGAGAGCCTCACCACAGAGCAGACCCTCTTTGTATTCCTCTGTAAGGATGGAGGATGAAACAGGGAAGTTTGAGACAGAGACTGGATGAATAAATCAATGAAACTGTCAAACATTTTTCTCTCTTTCTCTGTGTCTGCTGGCCTGATCCAGCTGCTGGGACCAGACCTCAGCTTGTGATCTGTTTCCTCTTGGTCTCATTCCCATCATTGGTTCCAAATGGTTTTCAGAGGCACCCCTCCTCCTCACTCTTACAATAACACCTACATGTATATGAAAACAGGACCAGCTTATATTTTACATTCCACACACTGAAATGAGACGCTGCAGTGTAAAGTCCCTGCACTCTGCAGAAACAGTTTCTAACCTCTGACATGTTTAGGTTTCTGAGTATATGAGCTGTGTTCACATCATTAAGTATAGCTGTAAGAGGCTGATGGATCGACACACACAGGAGGAGGCGATGTTAAACACTAAACAGACCAAAATGAAGATAAAAACTCCTCTTCTTTCTGGTCCCTCGCTCCATCACTCCCTGTTGGGTCTGTTTCCTCTCTCTCCCTGTGAGCCTGAGGTTTAATGATACTGATGGAACAACATGGTGGAAACCACAATTAGTCTGATGAGATTCAAGCTGCAGGTGATATTTCTGTGTACAATTAAGTGTTATAGACCATCTGCTCTGTTATAGACCATCATTAAACACTGATTTCACCCTTTAAAGCTCCATTATTCCCACAACCTCCTGCAGCTCCTGCCCTCTACAAACACAATAAAATACCATCAGGGGTGAACAATAAAGGTGAATTAAACACTCGCTTTTAAGTTTAATGCAATATATTTGTAGTTCTTTTTATAAAGGGGACCTATTATTCTGATTTTTATTTTTCAGTATATCAATCTGGAGCATCTGGAGCAGTTATGTATGATTGCTTCACAGGAGTCTCCTTTTTCACTCTGGTGACTGTTAAAACCTTCTGGATGAGTCATTTTGACTGCTCTTCCACTGAATTAAAGTTTGACACAGCTTGAGGGTGTTACGTTTTACACAGTTTTGTAGTCATGACACAAAACAAAAGTTATGCCTTTATAGGAAACTACAGAGGCCGAAAATGGCAATGGATTTTCTTTTTATGCACTGTTATTCATGATAACAAGTTATTACCTTGTTATCTAGATATAACAAAGTTCGTCTTCTCAAATTATAATTTTTTCACTATCTCAACATAGCAAAGATTGTTTTCTCATGATAACATAAACGGCCTCTTAGCTGACCATAACAGTAACTTTTAAAATACCCTCCAGATAAGAATATCTCTGAAACACTGCAGCCACCGTTGTCAACAGCAAATAAAATTGTTGACGGCACACTCCTTTTTGTGCATGTGCATTACACTTTCAACGATTCAAGTTTGGCAATGTTCCCACGATGAAAAGTGCTGACAGCAGAGTTTTCACAATAGTCAGTTCAAGATACATAAGGAGTATTTTGAGCTTTGAATCATGCAAAAATGCTGCAAATCTCACACAATGAAAGATAAGAATGAGTATAATAGGATGTGTCTAAATAAAAAAAAAAATGGTCACAGCAATAAGGACACTGTCTCTTATGCTTTGTGTGTTGTTGTCTTGGCAGAAATTTGAGTGGAAAATCAAAATGTCTGCATGTCTAGATTACAGTAAAAAACATCAGAGCTGTGTTTGTATTAAAAAATAAATGAGTGAGCCGTCCGACACTGACACTGAGTCCAGTTGTTGAATGGTTAAAGGAGTCATTGACTGAGCAGACTCTTGCTTCAGCCCCTGTGGGTCTGTTTTTTCTTGGGTCATGAGTTCACCTTCTGTCATGTTTTACAGCCCAGTATCTGGTGACCTTTACAGACGTGTGACCTAAACTCAAGGAAACAAGATGTCATACTTATTTGCTGAAACCTACCAAGAAAAATATGGCTTGCTACTTTTGGCTGCCACTTTGACTTCCTGAAATCAATGCTGTCCTTATTTGTGGTATCTCAGAATATGGTGTTACATCTGGATCTGTCAGGTCAATGTGGTTTATTTTAAGTATCACTCGATAGATTGACTTCAGGGCAAATACACTGAGTAGGACTAGAGTTTGTAGAGCTTGTTTCTTTGTGCAAAGCTGAAGTCATAGCTTACCTGTCCTCATATGTCCACTCTTCTCTCTGTCTCTTTGTCTTAGTGGGACTCTCATTAGAGTAGCTAAACACTCTGCACGCCGACTTTCTCACAGTCAGAAGGTAATGATCCGCAGGGTGCAGGTAAAATTAGCTCCATTAATCACTGCATTGATTGGTCAGCAGCAGGACGCCGTGCCCCCTCCCTAACTGTCTCACAGGGTCTCTAACTATAACTGATATGTTTGGACGGAGGAGGAAAAGTCTTTTCTTCTGTTTGTGTTTTTCTCTCTGTGGAGGAGCAGTCGATACCCGTCTACTGCTGGATGAAGAAGGATTGGGGTTTAAAACTTCCTCCATCAGAGCTCATTCAGAGAGGTCAGACTATGCTGCGAATTTCCCAAAAACTTTCATTCCGGCGCTTTCTTCACTTCTCCTGTCTTCTCTGTTTCCCTCCTCCTGATATATTTTCATTATCACAGACATTATGAACTGTTTTCATCCTCAGCACCTGGACTCCAAAGGAGAAAACAGCTGTCCTGTGACTGATGCCCATCTTTCACGCAGCTCTGAGGAGGACAGCCTTTACTGTACATCAGCTAGAAAACAGCTGCTGTATACCAACATGTCTGCTAAATAGCTGCCATATGTTTGTCCTTTCTGTGGATCTGGATCTATTTTTGAATCTTAATCTGAATGAAAACATCTCCATTCAAGAATTAAAAGTGCACTTTGAATTTAAATTCATCTTTATAAACAGGTCACGTTAATTCAAGTTAAGGAGTGTCTGACTACAGTTTCTGCAGAATTTCTCATCTATTATGTAGTGGAGCTACAGTATTTCCTGAACCCATCAGCTAATGTCTGACAAGGATGCTTGCCTCTGGGAAAAAATAACCAACTCCTCTGTATTTCCAGTGAAACCAGCCCTTCCCAAAGAGTGACGTCTTGCCTAGATTTCCTTTGTTTAGTTAGCAGTTTAAGAGAAAACAATGAATACAGATCTGAAGAGAAGTAAAATCAACCCCACGAAATATGTATGTAAGACAAACACTACCCATTTTTTGTTTCATTATATACTTGAAATGAGTGTTTATTTATCCATGTCTAGTGAGTTGCTGTAAATTGTATGTTGAGCAGAGGCTTTGATCATTTGTTTCTGAGTAGTCTGGGATTAAGTTTCATTGCTTATCTCTCACAAAGGGTTCACCCATTCAATTCTGAAGAGTCACAGATTTGGCGTGAATGGTAGGTTAAACAGAAGTTTTGTTCATGTCTCTGTTCAGTCTCAGTTTCACTGTTCATGGTTAGATATGCAAAGGCTTCACATATTTGTTTCTGGTGAGTCTCAGTTTCACTGTCAAAAGGAAGTTAAGCAGAGCGTCTTTCATATATTTCTGATGAGTCTTAGTTCAACTGCTAGTTATTATTAAGGCAAGGTCTTTGTTTATTTGCTTATGTTGAGTCTTAGTTTGACTGTTTATAGTAAGTGACACAGAAGCTTTATCTGTTAATGACAAGTCTCAGCTTCATTGTGAGTACCAGGTTCACATAGGAATCAATTATCAATTTCAGATGAATCTCAGTTTCACCAAAAATAGTAAATTACTGAGAGGCCTTGTTCATCTGCTCCTCATGGGTCCAAGTTTCACTGTCTTTACTTCCTTACCACGAGGTTTGTCCATCTTGTTCTAGTGAATTGTTGTTTCATTTGTTTTATAAATTGTAAGTTAAATTAGGGTTTGTTCATGTTTCTGGTTAGTCTCGGTTTCACCTTGAGAAGATAGATTTGCTGAGGCTACATGTTTTTTCGACTGGGTCTGTTTCACTCTACATGAAAGTTTAACAGGAGCATCATATGATTCTGGCAAGTCTTAGTTTCATCGTTAGTGGTTAGGTATGCAGAATCTACATTTATGTGTCTGTGGCCAGTTTCAGCTTCCTCTGAAGTTACACAGAAGCTTTATTCATGCTTTTGGCAAGTCTCAGTTTTATTGTAAAAAGCAAGCTGAACAGGGGCTTCACTCATGCTACTGGTAAGTTTGTTGTGCTGAGTCTCAGTTTCACTGTAAGTGGTGGGCTACACAGTTGCTTCACTCTGGTCCACTTCAGGGTTGTGAAAAAGACACAGTCCTGGAACTTAACCAAAGTATTGATTTTTTTTTTCACCTTAGTGTTATTAAAGTAAATTTATAACATAACTTTTAACATCTTGCACCAGGGTTCCCCTCTGAGAAATCCAGCTTCCTTAAGGCTGGGAAAAACTGTGTAAATGAGCTTAGTAAAATCAGGAAGTTTTGGTTAAACCATCATTACCAGAGCACAGGATCTGATGTAAACTCACTGAACCAACTGTATGTTTGTAGCCTTCTCAAATTCTACATGTTGACATTAGAGCAATTAGTGGAGTAAAAATATGACATTATTTTTTCCTGCTCTGGCTGCTCAACATCCTGTAACAGTGATAAAGTTTATCAGACAAGATAAGGACCAAGCCTGTTCATGTCCAAGACAAACATTTCTGAAGAGCTCAGCAATAAATCTACTAAATCAACATGGTCCAGACGTTCAGCCTTTTTACTCTTTGTGGTTATTTTCAGAAAGGGGAAACTCCGGCTCAGGAAGAGGTCGACATTTCAAACATCTGAGAGTGGCTGCAGTTTTTTATTTACACCCCCCTCTCTGAGAGTTGATGTGGAGATACAGTTTATATTCTGGAGCTGAAACCATGATGGACCAGCTGTGTTTCCTGTGCTCAGCAGAACCGCAGTTAGGATAAGATCTTTACAAGTCTCAGTCACACACATCCCAAAAAATCAAACACACACCTCCTCCGGGAGACATGGGGACAGAAAGTCAGGGTTATGAGAGGACCACGGACGGCTGAGGACATCACTGCAGCCCAACCAACCAGACAGTCTGAGTCTGCAGCTATAATCCATACTGTGTATGTCTGTGTGTTTGTTGTGTAGCTGCTCTCTATAAACAAAGGGTCTGAGTCAGTGAAGTCTACAGCCTCATGCCACTTAGCTCACAGGATGTACGGCCAGTGGACTGAAACACGTGCGTGCGTGTGCATGCGTGTGCGTGCGTGTGCGTGCGCGCATGTGCGTGCGTGCGTGTGTGTGTGCATCAATGTGCATTATGACTCATTGCTGTCCTGCTGTGTGTGAGAGTGCATATGTGTGTGTTTGGCAGCAACTGTTAGACACACACACTGAGTCTCTGTTTGTGGCCCTCAGGCTACGTGTATGTCTGGGAGTGTGTGTTACATACATGCTCAGTAGTGTAAAACAGGTCACTTAACACAAAGAAAATCTCACGTTAAAAACTCTGAAAAGGCTGCAGAATGAAATGAGTTTTCTGCCCAGTTCAGTCAGGACCACTCCCTCAAAGAAAAGGAATGATCTGCATGCAGTAAGTAACATTTGGTGGTATTGATCCCCCTTCTGTTTCATGTGCATGGATGAAAAGCAAGGACAGGGAGAGAAGCAGCAAAGACACCCATTAAACAAAGGTAAACAAGAATATGATCAGACTCAGAATAAAAAGAAAAGCTGCATGAAACTGCACTGGAGATCACTTTTTACATTTGCATACTTAAATTGACATCAATCACACCTGCAGTAGGAGCACTGATTCTTTTAAATCATGTATTTTTAGACCTTGCTCATTTAATCCATTTTTTGAGGTGTGAATGATCCTGTTATAGCCTTCAAGTTGAAACATGTTGATCCAAAGATAAAGATGCTTAACACATACAATGATAAAGACACACAGCCCTCACTGACTACTGTGCAGAAACTACTCTAAAACATTGTGATGGCTGCTGCTTGTATGATGTTCTGGTAACCACACTAACTTGTATGTGCTTCTTCCAATGAGCTGGTTGGCTGTATCAGCTCAGGTGTGGAATGCTCCACACCAGATATATAATCTGTTTCTGGTGGTGTCACCCTCTTTTTTTGGCTCTCTCACTGGCTCCCTCACGTTCCCCAAGCCTGACCAGCTTCACACCACTGCCTTAGTTAGATTTTGTGTTAGTGCACTCTTCAACACCCAACATTACACCATGCTCACACATCCACATTCACACTACTAATTTTACAGACTCTGCACACTCAAGCTTTCTTATTGTTTTGTTTATTTATTCATCTTATTTTATATTAAATATCGTATTTACTTTTGGATCCGTTGAGTTCTACCGAGAAAATAATGGATACTTCCTCTTTGCATCACCCAGAAAACTCATACATTAAGCAGTGGTACACATCTGTGAGTCTTTGTATATATTTACTAATTGTATTGCTATACTGACAGCTCCATACTGTGGTCCAGTTAACTGTCAGTTGCTCTGTAGACATGAATGCATTAGCTACAGCTAAAGTAATAGTTTAGCATTATTCCCTGTTGTTACTCTATTTCATTTTCTCATCTAAACCCTCAGTTAAGTTTCTCACTGAGTTTTGGTTAAGGTGACTCGGGCATTGCTGTACATGTCAATATGAAACTATTCTATTCTACAGGCCTGAAGAACTTCTGTTGCCATAGTTGCAGCATTAATAATTTGAGGATTAATGGATTTAGGTTTGTGAATGCAGTTGGAGTTTTGCCATTAAGGCAGTTCTTTTGGCTTTTTGCAGCATTGTTTTTATTCACAGCACTTTTCAATTATTGCATTTTCTACAAACTTTTGCATGTTTTTATGAAGTTGCACTGTTGCATTCGTATTTGCAGAACTTTTCTCCTGCTGAAGTCACCATAACTTAATCCAGTCAGAGTTGAATTCTTCCACAGTAACCCTGTCTGTGAAGTCTGGTCCCCCAAAACACTGAGTGCATTCAGTTTCCTGCATTTACCAATGGTAGGGAAGTCTCTGCCACTGCACAACAGTAGTAGCTATGGAGAAATTAGACTATAAACTACCTATGTGCCTTAAAACAGTGACACAAACAATTAACACTCTTTTTTAGTTTAGCTGCACGTCCTAAAGAGCATGACTGCCGACCGTACTGATGCAACATTGTTATTTCCTCTCTACCTCCTTTAAACTGTTACAACAATAATGAACATTATAACATGAAATCAGGTCATTACCTCCCTCTCTTTCTCTCTTTGTCTCTCGCTTTGCCTTTTACCTTCATAAATTAGTCCTATAAAACAGCTAATTAAAAGCCACACTAATTCAAACACTGTGGATTTTCATTTTTATCTGTGATGATCAGTTCTCTGCATCAGAAACAATTAAAGAAACCGGATGGGCTGAGTTCGCTTTTGTTCTCTTGTCAGTTTAATTAGAGGGATGAAAAGTATAAAAATGAGGATGTGAATAACATTCAGCTCAGAACAACGGCAGTCTTTAAGGAAGGCTTCAAATAAATCTGAATCAATATTGTGCAGTGGAAACCGCCTTGGTAGGCTGGATATGAAACATGTTCATCACTGCAGACTGTGAGTGGACCTGGGCTGTACTAAACCAACACTAAACCTTATTTCTCCCATATGATCACTTCAGCTGGACCCTGTTAAAACCATGAATAACTGCACTGTTATTACCAGAGCCTGTTGCACTTGTTCAGTGATATTTCAACCATAAATCATGCAGCTATAAACTGTATAAACCAAAACATTGACTAAGGCCATTATTTCTTATTTCTTATCTCCAATACAGTGGAACCAGGCTTTTTTTTATGAATTTAGCTAGACTGATACCTTGGTGAATTTGCTATAGATCTAATGGTCATTAAATCGCAGCATTTGGGTTTTTTTTGTATAAAGTTTTTTCCAAGCTATGAAAGACCAGATTACTGACCGGGAACTCTGTGTGCTAAGAAAGATATTTGGTATTTTCAACCGCTTTTTAAAAACACTGGGTGCAATTGTAACCATGACTAGTGCAGCATCAAGCCTGTGTGTCTTTGTCAAAGTCATACCTTGAAGTCAAGAGTGAAGACTGCATTTCTTACATTTACAGTGAAACTGAGAGTCATAACAAACTCTGCTCAGCTTATTTCTAACAATGAAACAGAGAACCACCACAAACAGATGAATAAAATCCCATGTAACTTTCCATCTATGGTCAAACTGAGACTCATCAGAAAAAGACAAAAAGTCTTTACTTAGCCTACTGTTATCAATGAAACTGAAAAAGTAGGAAGAAAGCGTCTGCGCAGCCCACAACTGACATTGACACTGAAAGCCACCAGAAGTCCATGAACAATTCCTCCGATTAGCCTATTTACAACAATAGGCTAAGGCCCATAAACAAAGAGACAAAGCCTCAGCTGAGCTTACTATTGACAATGAAACTGAGATTTACCAGAAATGGATGAATGGCACTCTGCTTTGCTAACAGTTTACAACGACGCAGAGACCCACCAGAAAGCATCAAATGAGGCCCCTGTGTAGGCTAACTATTTAATGTGATACTTAGACTCACCAGAAACAGAAGAATGAGGCTCTTCTGGGGGATGCAATGAACCAAGAAATGAAAATGTTGTTTTGACATGGCCTTCTGTGCACAAAGGGGTGATATGACTAGCCTGGTAATTACACTGCCAACTAGTGTTTTGGTTACATTTTGCAGAGTGGCACAGACACTGTAATGCACAAAAATGTAGTGTTTAACACCAAACAGTTTACTTTAAAATGGACACTGCATGTAAAAGATTATGTTGTCGCTGATACTGGCTCACTGAACATCCTATACTAAGTGAACATTCAAACACAGGATCCAGTTAGACGGTTTATTTCGCTTGTCTTCAGTGGATGATTTTTTATCATAGATACATCCACTTCAGGGCTTGAAATCATCATTACATTTGCGTTTAGTTTGACAGGAATATTCAGACTCCCTTTGTTCTGTGCTGATCTTGGTCAGGGTGCAAAAGGAAGAGCAGGCCTGAGGGCTGGCTTTTATGATGTTGGGGGTGTGGCTTGGCCTTGGGTGTCAGGGGAGTCAGATGGTGAGGTGAGAATTTGGGATTTAACACTGCAAGTGTAACTGACCAAGACGCCATGAGATATAAAGCTTCCTCTGCTGACTATCTGCAGCATACGCCATATAATCCCCAGCTCCCCAAGTTAACAACAAAAACAGAGGCCAAACTATAAAATCAAAATACATTTTGAATAATTGTAGTACTTAGTTTTCATCATGCTGATTTTACCCTGAGTTTATTTTGAGATATCATGATTGACAGCTCCATAAACAAATACGGCTACTGAGGCACTGGGACTATTGTGGTGAGACGTCGCCACTTCCTGTTTTATTTTGTTTTAACTCCCTGTTTTCTTTGCTACCCTGGTCCGGCTTAACTGATTTCAGAGCACGCTCCCTGTCCCCGGTCGCTGACTGAGCGAGACTCCACACCTGCGCTGCGTCTACAATCTCCCTCTACACCAACGACCTCCGATCAGCCTCTGGCTGTGTCTCATTTCAGAGACCGCATCGACCTAAGTGCCCTTCTGCACCGTCGAACGGTGCATTTGAAGTGTGCATGACGTCACGACGGTGCGAACGGTGTCCCGTTTGGCACGAGATGCTAAAAAATGCTAAGCGCGCTTAGCATGTTTTCAAGCGTGCATTTATCCACGCTTTCGTGCCGTCGGTATCCCAGAATCCTTTGCGTGCCGCTGCACAGCTGCGCATTTCAGGTGAGAGGCTGGACTCGCTTGGAGACGTAGCGCGTCTTCAAAGAAATTACAAGCAATCCAAAAACAGCAGACAGTCAGCTCAGGCTGTATGAGAGCATGATCTCTGAACTCACTAAAATCTGTTAACCAAACATTATAGATTTAGAGACGAACCGATCCGCTCTGCTTCAACAATCAAAAACATTAGAAATAAGAAAGCTGACAAAACTACAGCAGAGTATCAGGACAACATTGAGGTTTTTTTCTTTTAAGATTTAGAGATTAAAGTTGTAAATTTAGGAGAATAAAGTCATAAAGTAAATAAAGTCATAAAGCTGCTTTTGTGGAGGGGGAAATGACTGAAGCTGGTCATCTGCAGGGTTATCTGTGGATGTATCAGCGGGTCATTCAGAGAGATTTTGTGGTTTCTGAAGAAACAATCAAACTGATGATAATCAACATTTGTGATCCAGAGGGAGTCGAGCTCCGACGAGCACCACGTCTCTGACACCGGCCGTAGCCTACACCTGCAGAGACACCAACACCTTATTACGGCATATGGATTCATATCATAAATTAAAGCTCAATGTCATTCACGGATATTTACGGCTGCATTGACAGATATATCCTCAGCATATTCATTTCTGCCTCCACAAAAGCAGCGATTTCCTTCAAGTACACCAGTTTTTTTCCCCGTGGAAAAGACGTATTTCTCATATATTCTTTTTTTAAAGTCTTTATACTTATGACAATGTGATGCTGATGTGCCAGAGGATGAAGAATCTCCTATCCTCCTTCTCAATAGGGCCCTCATACTCCTTCATACAAAACAATCATTGGATTAATTTTGTGGGAATGATCTGGGCTTGTATGTATCTACTATTTTGTGTCTGTGTAAGGTCGCACAATTAAAACAATACATGCTGCGCTCCGCAGCTTTTTTTCTAATCAGTCGTGACGTAAGCCTGAGGGCGGGGACATTTGGAGACCTTCGGAGGACTTCCTGGTGGAGTTGCCAAATGTCCCCGCCCTCAGGCTCGCGTCACGACTGACTTAAAGGAAACCCGCGGAGCGCAGCATTTATTGTTTTAATTGTGCGACCTTACACAGACACAAAATAGTAGATACATACAAGCACAATTCATCCAATGATTGTTTTGTAAGAAGGAGTATGAGGGCCATATTGAGATTTAAGACTTTAAGGACTTCGAGATTTAAGTCGTGAATTTACGAGAATAAAGTCATTAATTTATGAGAATGAAGTCATAACCTGTTATTTCAGAGAGACTTGTTAAAATTAGGGCCATGAAGCATTTGAAGGAACTGTGCTTCAGTATAGGTTTCACAAACAAGGAGATTCTTCATCCTTTGGCACATCAGCATAACATTGTCATAAGTATGAAGACTTTAAAAAGAATATATGAGAAATACGTCTTTTCCACAGGGAAAAAATTGGTGTACTTGAAGGAAATCGCTGCTTTTGTGGAGGCAGAAATGAATATGCTGAGGATATATCTGTCAATGCAGCCGTAAATATCCGTGAATGACATTGAGCTTTAGTTTATGATATGAATCCATATGCAGTAATAAGGTGTTGGTGTCTCTGCAGGTGTAGGCTACTGCCGGTGTCAGAGACGTGGTGCTCGTCGGAGCTCGACTCCCTCTGGATCACAAATGTTGATTATCATCAGTTTGATTGTTTCTTCAGAAACCACAAAATCTCTCTGAATGACCCGCTGATACATCCACAGATAACCCTGCAGATGACCAGCTTCAGTCATTTCCCCCTCCGCAAAAGCAGCTTTATGACTTTATTTACTTTATGACTTTATTCTCCTAAATTTACAACTTTAATCTCTAAATCTTAAAAGAAAAAAAAACCTCAATGTTGTCCTGATACTCTGCTGTAGTTTTGTCAGCTTTCTCATTTCTAATGTTTTTGATAGTTGTAACACAGCGGATCAGTTCGTCTCTAAATCTATAATGTTTGGTTTACAGATTTTAGTGAGTTCAGAGATCATGCTCTCATACAGCCTGAGCTGACTGTCTGATGGTTTTGGATTGCTTGTATTTTCTTCGAAGACGCGCTGTGTCTCCAAGCGAGTCCAGCCTCTCACCTGAAATGCACAGCTGTGCAGCGGCACGCAAAGAATTCTGGGATACCGACGGCACGAAAGCGTGCATACATGCACGCTTGAAAACGAGGCGGGGGTAGTGTGATTTTGAGACCGAATTTGAAGCGCGCTTAGTATTTTGTGCCAAACGGGACACCGTTCGTGCCGCATGGTGACCTCACGTACGCGTCAGATGCGCCGTTCGATGGCTGCTGTATTTGAAATGGGACACAGGAAGGGCACAGAACGGCGCAAAACGGCGTAAAACGGCTCAAAACGGCAGTGCACTCAGCTAAGCGCCGTTAAGCGCGCTTATCACGATGCGGTCTCTGAAATGAGACACAGCCTCTACTTCAGTCAAGCTGCTGAAATACGCGGACAACACCACCATCGTGGGGCTGATTACCAAAAACATGGAGGACGACTACAGGTCAGAGATCGACAGAATGGTCAACATGTGCAAAGACCACAATCTCATCCTCAATGAAAGCAAGACAGTTGAACTCATCATTGACTCCCGGACAAACACCTCCATCAAGACACCCATCATCATTAACGACCAATCCATTTCTGCTACAGACTCATTTAAATTCCTAGGTACACACATCAACAACAAGCTGAACGGGATCATCACACCACTCACCTTCTCAAAACAGCAAATCAACGACTATTCCACCTCAGACAACTCAGGAAATACAGAGTCAGGAAAAATGTACTGGTACAATTCTACACCGCCATAATTCAAAATATTCTGTCTTTATCTATTACCACATGGTACGGCAACACACCAAAGCACATGCTAAACAGGCTGGGCAGGGTGATAAAAAGGGCCTCCAAAATTATTAACTGTGAACTTCCCACACTGGACTCAATCCACAAACACCATACCATCACAAAGGCATACAAAATAATTGATGACCCACCGCACCCAGCTCACCATCTTTTCCGGCTCCTCCCCTCGGGTAGAAGGTTCGGATCTCTGGGCAGTTCAACAAAGCGCCACAGTAACGTATGTGAAGTCTGTGTATTATGTCCCGTGGTACTGTCCTGTTTATTTTTGTCCCTGTGGATTGTTTAATGTCTGTTTAAATAAATGTGGTGTATTGATGCAGCTACCACCTGCACTGTGAAAAATTCCACCGGCCTACCCGTGTGGCGATTAAAGAAACTTGAAACTTGAATCAAGGCCCTTGAAGAAGCCAGCAGCCCGCCGTCTCAGCGCCTGAGTATTGTCTTCGCTCCTCAGCGATACAGATGCCTCTCCTGGCCTTCTCCTCGGCTAAGTGCTTGTGACTTTTGCTCCCTGTGATTCATTGTATGACTTCTAACCTGATTCTCTTCTGCTTGTCCACAGTGTCTCCAGCCCACACAACAGTCAGCCAGCCAACTGGACTTTCCTCGTGCCTTTTCCCCTGTGTTTTGGACATTAAAAATACATCTTTAACTTGCTGTCTGAGTCTGCTTCTGGGTCCACAAAATACACCACACGCCACACCTATTGGATTATTAGTGTTGAAGAGGAATTAGGAGAGCTGCTCTGGCTGCACCGCTACAAAATGTCAGACCCTATAGAGGTGGTCTTTTGCCTTCAAATTTCATGATGGATTCAGCGCTCGTGACCATGTAAGCCACTGCGACTTGGCTATATAGTAGAGTTAACACAGAAGTGCAAAGGCTTAAGATGTCTAGAGCCTGAGATTAGAGCCTGCTTTTGAGAAACAGGCTGTGTAATTGGCCAATCAGAGTGAAGTATGTGACAAAACTATGTATCAAGAACATGACACCCTCAGCTCTACTGACGTCCCTTAGATCTCATTCAAATGTACAAACACAAAGGCATGTAGGAGGTTCAAAATTAATCTTCAGATTGGCTTAAAGATGACTGATGAATGACACATCATGATGCTAATGAATCACAAAAACATGTAGACAGCCAGAGGGGAATCTTTTGTGGTTTGATGGACACCTGAACACACACAAAAACAATATATGAGTGTCTTCACTCTTCTATCACAGATCCATGCTGTCCCCCCCCCTCTCCTCAGTGTCCCCCAGTCCTCACCCAGAGTTCAACAACAATCTAAATTTCAATTACAGAGTAAGAAGCTGCAGATAGGGAGCGGCTGAATGCTGATGCTTCTTCGTCTGAGGGTTCAGGTTTCAGCTGCTGCTCAGGGAAAAAACATTTGGAGCAATTATTTCATTATCTGACTCGACTGAGAGAGGGAGGGGTCACAGCCCGCAGGAGATTAGGAGAAACCACAATTATTATTATCACAATTTATTTTTACAATTAGAAAGCAGACAGCAGAGGAAGAGTTTGGCCTCCGGAAATAAACTGAATGTCAGCCAAAGACTGTTATTAGACAGCTGAGGGGGGAGGAAGAGAAGGAGAAGGAGAAGGAGGAGGAGGAAGGTTTAGGAGGCAGTTTTTTTGATTGCCTGCCATTTTATTCACAACCTGCAAGAAATCTGTGTAAATGCTGCAGATTGATTAAATGGGCACAAAAACAGGACTGTGCAGACAGCCGAGTGCAGTTAACATGCATTTAAAAAAAACTAAAAACCTACAAAAATGGTCAGAAACAAGTTAAGATGCAGAAGCTTCAACATCAACCTGCAAGAGAAAAGAATAAGCATCACCTGAGGGTAAAAACATGTTGACTGAGTTTTCCTGAGTCTTAAATCTGGTGAACTTGGTCCAACTTCACCAGATTTTACTTAACTCTTCAGGGTTTGAAGAGCAATGAGAGGAGACAGCTCTGTCCGGCTAAGAGAGGTGTAGTGTGGACCTCAGCTAATCAGATTTACATCTGTGTTACAGATAGAGTCCAGCTGCTCCTTTCTGACATCATGCTCCTCAGATTACTGCTAACAGAATAAAGATACTCTCTGCAGATCACAGCGGAGGAGAAAACATGGAGGAGAGCACACAGTATGATGGAGAGCTTGCAGAGAGAGCAAAGTTTTGTATATAAATGTGCTTTTGTAGATGTAGGAACAGCAGCTACTCAATTCATGATAATTACTTAACATGTTACGGAACATTTCAAGTGGATGAAAAAAGACAATTGGGATGACTCGATTAAAGGTTATTTTTGAAGAAGGATCCCATGGGTTAAAAAATATAGAATATTTTTAACCTACATCTGCTGCCATTTGTGATGTGATCAAATTACAAATAAGGATTAGATAACAATAAGTATTTTCAATTCTGGCTGAGCAGCTGTGCCTTCAGAGCGTCACATTTATTTGCCTTTGGCATAATAATAATCATCAAACGTATTTCCCTAGACTGTAATTTGATTTGTTTTTATCTCTCATTTGTTTTTTTTCTAACCCTGAAACCCTTTTATCAATTCTATTTGAAATTAATGTTTTATCTGCTGCCTGGATGCAAAATCAAAAATGTTGTTTCAAAATGTATCATGGCTTTTCACCCTTGGTCAATGAAAAGTAGCAATACAAAGTATGACCAGCTGCCACTGCAGGCTTTCATCTGCCAAAGCCTGATGGAGACAGTAGCTCCACCTATCCTTTGCCTCTGGCTACCTTTAATGTAAAACTGAGTCTCCCTGAGTAAAAAAGACAAAGTTTAAACCAACCACAACTTTTTCAATGGAAAAAAATTAACAAACACAAGTAAAAACTAAAGGTTCCAAGTGAGAAAGTTGCCTGTCAGACACAAGACTTTCGCTGCTGATGTTTTAATGACTCCCCTTCAACTGCAAGCAACTTCTGTCATGTTCACAGCAAGTGCAAGTAAAATCATTTGTGCTAGTGAATTACATGTAAAGTCAATGGTAAGACATGATTAAATGTGCGTTCTACTCACGTGATGTAAATGATGCAAATTGTGCTGCGCAAATAGTGCAAATTGAACAAACTGTTCTCACAGATTGCGCAGATCTGTGAATGACACGGATTCGTGTCATGTCCAATGGGCTACCTGCTTCAAATACTCATTTGCGAGAGTTTAAAACATGTAAACTTAAGCAAATGTTTGTGTCGTGATAACCAATCAATATGGAGACAGTGACGTATGTCAGGAACGGACTAGCAGAAATTAACTCATGAGAAAAGTGAAGGATTAAAGGGATATTCCAGTGTAAGATTAATTTAGCGTCAAACACACCATTAAACCAAGTTAGACACCCCCTCGAGAGATGAATGTTGTGGACTGCTTGCTTCTCTAGTTATACCAACTTTAGTAACAAGAAACAACTAGGGGGTGTCTAACTCGGTGTTACAGTGTGTTTGACCCTAAATTAATTTTACGCCAGAATATCCCTTTAACTGATCATATGCGGCCACCTGAGTTATAGGTTAAAACTTGTCTGTGACACTGAGAGAGGAGTAAAAAGGAGTTTAACTGGAGGAAAGCAAGTGAGGTGGTCTAAATATCTGGTAAGATAGTAAGACTCAACAAATCTTCACAATGTAGTCAACCCCTGCTACGTCTGATATAAACAGACTGACCTGACATGCAGGGACCCCTCCTCTTATTTTCTCCTCTCCCACAATTACATGTTTGGGCTCTCTGTAGATGCTGTACATACATGTGAATCAAGTGAGTAAATGTACAACATTCGCAGTCCAGATACACGCAGATTAAGCTGGTAGAGGATTTTACTCGTGCTTGGTGTGAATGTAACATTAAAGACAGCCACAGCACCAGTGTACAGCCTACTGCCTGTGAGGAGAGAGGAGAAGATGACTTCAAGTTCAGGGCTCCAGGTAGTGCATTGAAATGTATTTATAACAGTTCACTTCCTTTTCTAAATTTCTGAGCAAAAACAAGCAGAGTTCAGCACAATTCAATAAAAGAGAGGGCAATCATGCACAGGCAGGGTACAAAATAATTATACCTAATGTGAAAACGCCCTATTACAGTAAAAGGGTGCTTAAGTTTTCCTTTTTGATCAAGTCCAATAGTAAAATGTTTAACTTCACAGCACAACTATCCCAAAATTCCCTCCACACATGTAAATTTGTTACTCTAAAGCAGGGGTGAGCAATTAATTTTTACACAGGGCCACAAGGGAAACCTGAACTGTGTTGGAGGGCCAAACCAACAATAACTTAAACTTCAAATTGGGGGGGTTCACTGGGGGCTTCGCAACTATAAGGCGTCTGTTGCCGATGTTTAAACTTGTCTCTGTTCACGAATGCAGATCTAGGATGTACGCACGTGCATCCAAACGGAAATAAAACAATGGCTAGGTTTTCAAAATAAAAGCAACACACTTGTATAGTGTGTTGATGATTTGATTGAGAGACCTCACGAAGGCCGGGCAGGGACATCCAAGGGGCCAGATGTGGCCCTCGGGCCGTAAAATGCCCAGGTCTGCTCTAAAGGTAAAAAAAAACAACATGTCAATGTTTTAAGCCTTTTGCTTCAAAGTGCCCTCTGCTGGATCATCTGATAAACTGAATTTTACAGTTTTACAGACTGCACAACATCTTCTGGGGTTTTCAAGTCTGAAATCTGTAACAAAGTATCTGTGAAGGCAAATACTTTGGTCTCAGTCTGCATCCTGCTGTACAAGCACACACACACACACACACACACACACACACACACACACTTTGATTAAAGTGAATCAGGTGTAGCTAGCAGCCTGTCTGAGATGTTATTAGCATTGCAGCACCATCAGAGGCTTTTTAGTGAGAGGAGGATGACTGCAGATCTGAGGAGGTCGTCCTACACTAATTAACTCCAGAGAAGAAGAGGACCCTG